CTGAGGAATCGAACCCAGGGGTTCATGCATGCAAGGCAAGCGCTCTACCACTGAGCCCTTGTATCATATTTTTATTGAATCTTCTTTGTTTTGTTGGAGAATCTTCTTTGTTTTGTTAGCTCCTGCTAAATCCTCTATCTTTCTGCCTTTGCTTTTGGGTGCTATTATTATTATTATTATTATAGGTATGAATTACCCTGTCCAACTTTTCTTACTAACTTCTTTTATTTTTTGGTCAGTCATGGGGCTTGAACTCTTGAGTCTGGGCACTGTCTCTCAGCTCTTCAGCTTAAGGCCAGTGCTCTACCATTTGAGCCACAGACTCCTGAGTAGCTAGGATTACAAGTTTGACCCACCAGTGCCCAGCCAAACTTGTAATTTTGTTATTAGGTGGGCTGCCAGGGAGGACCACATGGACATGGAATGCGATCAAAAGGAAGTCTTTATTAGCTGGCTGGCGACTATACTAGATTAGTGGTCCCCAAATGCAGTGCTGAGCCATTTTTTAGGGCTTTCTTAATGTAGAAAATCTACATTTTTGTTTGCTCAGGGGTGGAAAGTCCCTAGTGGTTCTTTCGTGCAGGTTCAAGCCAAGCCAGAAATTACAGAAGCAAAACAAAGTTCAAGCAAGCATGATCTGTTTCTATGGTATGTTTCTAGGGTACACTGAGCACTTTTTTTTTTTTTTTTGCCAGTCCTAGAGCTTGAACTCTGGGCCTGGGCACTGTCCCTCAGCTCTTCAGCTCAAGGCTAGCATTCTACCACTTGAGCCACAGCGCCACTACCAGCTTTTTTTCTTTTTGCTTATGTGGTGCTGGGGAATCAAACCCAGGGCCTCATGCATGCAAGGCAAGCACTCTACCACTGAGCCACCTTCTCAGCCTCATCCCCGAGCTTCTTTTGCTCAAGGCTAGTGCTCTACAACATGAACCACAGTATCACTTCTGGCTATTTCTGTTTATGTGGTACCGAGGAATCGAAGCCAGGTATTCATGCATGCTAGACAAGCATTCTACCACTGAGCCACATTCCCAGCCCCAGTTAGCTGGTGGTACTTTTAAAATAGAGTAACTTTTGTCAGATAAAACCAGGAGCTCTATCATAATTTCATTAAGTTGTGGTCAAAAAATATAATCTCTCTAGCTGCAGTAATTTTAAATTTATTGAGACTTACCTCATGACCTGTCAAAATGTCTATCTGTTGATATTGGTAGAGATACCCATGGTGGTAGGTCTGGTCAAGTTGGTTAGTGGTATAGGTCAGCCCCTTGTACCCTAGCTGAGTAGCGTCTGGAGACTTATGTGGCATTTATGTTTGAGAAGTATTGAAATCATAGTTGGGGAATATTGAATTTCCATAAGCAAGTACTCCTTTTTGGTAGGGGGAGGCATGAGGCTTGAACTCTAGGCCTGGGCGCTGTCCCTCAGCTCTTTAGCTCAAGGCTAGTGCTCTACCACTTGAGCCACAGCACCACTTCCAGTTTTCTAGTGGTTTATTGAAGATAAGAGTCTTTTGGTCTTTATTGTCCGGGTTGGCTTTGAACTGTGATTCTCAGATCTCATCAGCCTTCTAGTGCCTGGCTTATGATTCTTGTATTTTAAGATTCTATCTTCATCACGAAATGACATCCTAATGATTGAACTCAGGGCATGGGCACTGTCCCTGAGTTCTTTTCTTTTGCTCAAGGCTAGCATTCTACCACTTGAATCATAGCTCCACTTTCCAACTTTTTTTTTGTTTGTGCTTAGTTGACTTTCTTGGCCAGCCTGGCTTTGAACCATGGTCCTAAGATCTCATCCTCCTGAGTGGTAGGAATACAGAAGTAGCAATTTTTTTTTGGGTCCGGTCATAGGGCCTGAACTCTGGGCCTGGGCACTGTGCCTCAGCTCTTCACCTCAAGGCTAGCGCTCTACCACTTGAGCCACAGCAACACTTCCAGCTTTTTTCTTTTTGTTTATGTGGTGCTGAGGAATCGAACCCAGGGCCTCATGCATGCAAGGCAAGTGCTCTACCACTGAGCCATCTTCCCAGCCCCTCATTGTAGTAATTTTTTTTTTTTTTTTGGTCCGCTTGTGGTGCTTGAACTCTGAGCCTGGGCGTTGTCCCTCAGCTCTTCAGCTCAAGGCTAACACTCTACCACTTGAGCCACCTTCCCAGCCCCTCATTGTAGTAATTTTTTAAATCTGTAATCTACTTTGATATTAAAGTAGCATAGTTCCTCCAATTTAAAAAAGTGTTGCTGGGGACTGGGGACTCCCATCTGTAAGCCTAGTAACTCAGGTAGCTGAGATCCAAGGATCACGGTTCAAAGCCAGCCTGGATTGGAAAGCCTATGAAGTCTTATCAGCTTCTTCTAACCCTGAACTTCTTTTGCTCAAAGTGAGCACTACTGCTTGAGCCACAGCGCCCTTCTGGCTTTTTTTGTTTATGTGGTGCTGAGGAATCAAACCCAGGGCTTCATGCGTGCTAGGTGAGCACTCTACCACTGAGCCACATTTCCAGTCCCAGTTTATACTTTTGTTGTTGGTGGTGGTGGTGGTCGTGGGACCTGAACTCTGGGCCTGGGCGCTGTCCTTCATCTCTTCAGCTCAAGGCTAGCGCTCTACCACTTGAGCCACAGTGCTACTTCTGATTTTCTGGTGTCTAATTGGAGATAAGAGTCTAATGGACTTTCCTTCCCAGGCTGGCTTTGAACCGTGATCCTCAGATCTTAGCCTCCTGAGTTATTAGGATTATAGGTATGAGCTACTAGCACCTGGCCCAGTTTATACTTTTATATTTCTTTAATTTACACTTCACCTAATGCTGAGATGACAGGTATGTATATGTGTGTACCTAGCTCCATACCCAGATTTTTATTGAGGTAGGGTCTTGTGAACATTTTACCCAGGCTGGTCTCAAACTGAGATCCGTTTGATCTCAGCTTCCCAAGAACCTTGTATTATAGGTGCAAATCATTATTCCAGGCTCTGAATTATTTTTCAATTAGGATTTTGCTAATATGTTGCTCTGTCTAATCTCCTGTGCCTGCCTTCTGGGATTACAGATGTGTATCACCGTTCACAGCGATATTACCTTTGCATCTTTGTTTCTGCCTTGTTGACTAAAGCAGTTACTTACATCTAGGTATTATACCCCTTACTAGCTTTAGCAATTGCTGTTGTATCATTTTACATTGCTAGCCTGTCTATTTATGCTCTTGTGAAACAGAGTCTATAATTCCTACTTAACTTGAGTTTTCTTTTTCTTGCTGTGATTTCATTCTTTTTATGTTTTATGAATTTCTCCATTTATGGATCATGTCTGTTCCTTTTCATTTTTTTCTATGAATTTTGAGGTCTCCAGACTATCCTAGGTAGTGCACACTGTCTGCAGAGGTTGACATGTGTGCACTTCATCTCATGGCTGCTTCCTGTGGGCCTAGATGACGGGCCTTTGACCTTTGTGCTCAGTTCTCATCACCTGTGCTGAGACCAGAGCTAACTTTTTCTGGATTTAGGGTAGGCATTGTGGTATTTTCTCTGTACCAGTAGTTTGTTTCCTTTTCTTTTTTTTTGGTCAGCCGTGGGGCTTGAACTCTGGGCCTGGGCGCTGTCCTTCAGCTCAAGGCGAGCACTCTACCACTTGAGCTACAGAGCCACTTCCAGTTTTCTGGTGGTTTATTGGAGATAGGAGTCTCACGGTCTCTCCTGCCCGGGCTGGCTTTGAACCGCGATCCTCAGATCTCAGCCTCCTGAGTAGCTAGGATTACAGGCGTGAGCCACCAGCGCCCGGCTGTTTCCTTTTCTTTTACTATTCTTTTTCATGGGGTACTATTTATTTGTGATAATTTATTCTTCCTGATAGATTTTATATTAATGCCATAGAGTTCCTCAAGATACTAATTAAAATTCTGATTAGAATATCCCTGGTTTATGGATTGATTTTGAAGGGACTTAACATCTTTGTGATTTTTGTCATCCCATTCCAGGGCAGGAAATATCCTTAACCTCTTTTTTCTTTCTGCTCATAGCCTTTACATAAATTTGGTTGATTTAAAAGAAATTGTCCTTGCGTAGCTGAGTGGCAGTGGCTGATGCCTGTAATCCTAGTTATGCAGGACATTGAGATCTGAGGATCATGGTTTCAAAGAAACCCCAATTAGCCATTAAATGCTGGAAGTGGAACTATGGCTAAGTGGTAGCCTTGAGCAAAAAAGTTCAGGAACAACACCTAGGTCCTGAGTTCAAGCCCACAGACAAAAAAGATTTTTTGTGTTTGAAAAATTTTTTTTTCTTTTGGTGGTCATGGGGCTTGAACTCCGGGCTTGGGCACTGTTGCTCAGTTCTTCAGCTTAAGGTGAGCGCTCTACCACTTAAGCTGCACCGCCACTTCTGGTTTTTGGGTAGTTAATTGGAGATAAGGGTCTCACAGATTTCCCTGGCTTTGAACTGCGATCCTCAAACACACACACACACACACACACACACGCACGCACGCACACACACACACACACATACACAGAGTGCAATGCAAGTTAAGCTAGGTGGTAAGAGTGGAGCACTTAGCAGAAGCTCTTCCTGCCTGGTAAGTTTTCTGCATCAGCATGAATGGGTTGAGCCCACATAATATGCATGTCTTGCTGTGACTATCCTGGACAAAGTTTTGAGTTATCCAGAGTGTGGCTTTCAAAACAAGGACATACAGGAGTGGCTCAAATGTTGAGGGGCAGGGATGGGGTGGGGAGGGGAGAGAGAGAGGAGAGAATGTAGATCATGGATGGACTGAAACCTGACCCTCTTTTTCCTGTATCCTGTTTGTTCCTGTGAAGCTGCTTCTGGAGCTTTGCTTTATTATCTCTAGCACTCAGGCTTTTCTTATAGGAGAGACACCTCAAGCTTAAACATATGCTATGTTTAAGAGATAACCTTGTAGTTTATGTGTTTGAATCTAAGTGTTGGTTTGTCTGTGAAGTATACATGGATTTCTGTAGGTAGGATGACCCTTTCTCCATTCACAGATACACCCATGGCTGCCGATGAGGCTTCCACAGAGAAACAGGCGGGAGAGGCCCCTGCAGCCGCAGATGGTGAAACCAATGGGTCTTTTGAAAAAAGCAGTGACACTAGTCACCTAAATGTGGCCAAACACACTCAGGAGAACGCAAGAGCCAGCCCACAGGACGGCACCAACAGAGCACCCCGGATTTCGGAAAATGGGGTTTCAGAAAGGGACATAGAAGTGGAGAAGCAAAACCATGTCACAGCTGATGACTTGATGCAGACTTCTGTTATTGGAAGCAATGGATATTTCTTAAATAAACCAGCTCTGCAAGGGCAGCCTTTGAGGACTCCAAACACTCTAGCCTCATCTCTTCCTGGCCATGCTGCAAAAACCCTTCCTGGAGGGGCCAGTAAAGGCAGGACTTCAAGTGGGCTTCTTCAGACACCAGTTGCAGCACCTGCTGTGCCTGGGGCAGGGAGTGCTGATACCGAGGACCGGAAGCCTGCTGCCCCTGCCAGTGACGTCCGGATTCACAGGGCACGCAAAACAATGCCGAAGTCCGTCCTGGGCCTGGTAATTTTGTGTCTTGATGTTCTTTTCTTCCTTCCTCTTTTCAGTGAAAGCAACTGGAGTTTTGTGCATTAAGGGGAAAAGCTAATGAATGGAAGTGAACATTTGGAAGGTGGTCACCTACAGGTTACTGAGTAGTTAGGACATACTACTAATACATCATATATGAGTGACAAAGCCAGATGACACCTTCCCCACCCTCTTTCTAGGCTCTCTCCTGGAGGCCTCTCTTGTCCAGTGAAGACATGTCGGGTTCTGTTAGAGAGACAACCTCTGCTGTTGTCATGTCTTGCAGAGACTTGCATGGGCATGTACTTGGTTAGGTTCATAGTGTGGCAGAAGTCTGATGGCAGGGAGTACAGCACACAGTGCCAGGCTCAGGGTGACTGAGAGCACGGAGTACTCTGTTCTGTGTTTAGCACAAGTGGTGCTTCCTGCTTAGCACCTGGTCTGCTGGGCCTTGTCACTAACTCTTACATGGTATGTTCATGATACATTTTTTTTTTTTTTCAAGATGTCCATAGTGTAGTTGTTTTGTTCCTTGGTATTAATTTAGCTGGGATGATTCTGGGTTTATGATTGTGTTCCCTCAGGATTTCTGGTATCTGGCATTGCTGTTGACATTCTAAAGTAGTCTTGCCCTTTATGTGTAGACTACCTGTAGTATTTTTCTACATCCTTCAGTGATCTTCGTTCCAGACCTTTCTCCCAGGGACCCTGCCAAGCCTGAAGATTTGTTTCATCATCTCCAGGGATGAGCAAGATATAATTGTCTTTTCCTCTTTTTTCATAGAACTCCTTTTAGGTAGACACTGGGTCTTCTGACTCCCTGGACAGTATCTTTTCTGGTTTTTGCCTTTAGCCCTTTATGTCCTTCTGTTTATTCTATGTATTGATATCTTTTGTTTTAGGTTTATTTTTGGTTAGTTCTTTTGTGTACCTGTGTGCATATGCACATGAACATATAGGCTTGAACTCAGGGCCTGGGTGCTGTCCCTTAGTTTTGTTCTTTTTTTTTTCAAAAAATTTTTATTTATTTATTATTATTATTTTTGGTTTTTTGGGTCCCGTTGTGGGGCCTGAACTCTGGGCCTGGGCGCTGTCCCTCAGCTCTTCAGCTCAAGGCTAGCGCTCTACCACTTGAGCCACAGCGCCACTTCCGGCTTTTTTCTTTTTGCTTATGTGGTACTGAGGAATCGAACCCAGGGCCTCAGGCTTGCAAGGCAAGTGCTCTACCACTGAGCCACCTTCCCAGCCCCTTTTTTCAATTTTTTTATTGTGATTAAGTGATTACATAAGTTCCCACATTTCACAGTTTTGTGGGATAGTGATGCTTAGTTCAAGTCTCAAACACATTCTAGCTTTCATGGAGCAAGTTGTCTATCATGTTCTGTAACATTTATGAGTTCTTTGAGCTTTGCAATGCATATCACATTGGGTGGTATGTATATTTCTTTTGTTTTGCATAGCGTCAGCTGTTTCCTCTTTCCCACTTGTTCCCTCCCTCCCATCAGTGCCATTGAGTTGCTTAGTTCATTTTGGTCAATGTCCAGTGCAGCTGATGGGTCCCGCTGTTGTATGTTTTTCCCTGATTCCCTCTAGTTCTGTGTCGTCCTCCTGGTTTCCCTCTGGTGTGCACATATATACCATATATGTGATCAACAGCATGGGGTTATTTAGTAGTGATTCGACCAGATGAGTGGAAGTCCTTTGTTTCTTAAGTCTTGTTAATTTTGTCGTATCACCTTACATTTTGGATTTAACATCCACTTATCAGGGAGACCATGTGCCATTTGTCTCTTTGCTCTTGGTTTATCTCGCTCAACACGATTTCTTCTAGCTCCATCCATTTCCCTGCAAATGCCATTATTTTGTCCTTTCTAATGCTGCATAATATTCTATTGTGTATAGATACCACAATTTTTGGATCCATTTATCTGTGGTGTGTCCCTTAGCTTTTTCACTCAAGGCTGGTGCTCTACCATTTGAGCCACAGCTCCACTTCTGCCTTTTTGGTGGTTAATTGGAGATAAGAGTCTCAGACTTTCCTAACTGGGCTGATTTTGAACCTTGCTCTTCAGTTCTCAGCCTCCTGAGTAGCTAGGATTACAGGCATGAGCTGTTGGTGCCCCCTATGGTTAGTGCTTTTATTTTAAAAAAAAAAAAAGCCTAGTCTATATCATCTTTCTTATTCTTCACAAGAAACTTATTATCATTCTTCTGTAGTATATTATGAATTCTAATTCCTCAGAGGAGCTCTGTTAGGATATGCTGGTTCTGATTCATGGTGGTTTTCCCCTCAGATCTTGACCTCCTGAGGGTGCTCGCTCATCTTTATCTCTGTGCCACTAGACCAAGGCCAGCTGCCTGAGTGCCACACATGGTTCTACGGAAGCTGCCGTGCCTGAAGGGCCATGATAGGAACAATGTTGAGATACACTGCCAACCAAAAGGGTGGGGTCCCAGAGATTCCAAGGGCCCCATGGGGCCTGCTTGACGCCCTCACGGTGGCCCAGGGGTTTCTTAGTTCCCAGCTTTACCAGCCTCATTCAGTTCCCAGCATTTCATGGTATTTTTCTTTTTTTTTTTTTTTTTTTTGGGGGGGTCCGGTTGTGGGGCTGAACTCTGGGCCTGGGCGCTGTCCCTCAGCTCTTCAGCTCAAGGCTAGCACTCTACCACTTGAGCCACAGCGCCACTTCCGGCTTTTTTTTTTCTTTTTGCTTATGTGGTGCTGAAGAATCGAACCCAGGGCCTTGAGCATGCAAGGCAAGTGCTCTCCACTGAGCCACCTTCCCAGCCCCTTCATGGTATTTTTCTATACATGAGAAAATTTAAAAATAATTATAGATTCATAGGTAGCTCTAAAAATAGAGCAGAGACATCCCATGAACCCTTCATCTAGTTTCCTGTACATACTTACAGTACAGGATACTGATATTGGCTCACTCCATAACTCTTATTCAGGTTTACCTTTTACCTACATGTACACCTGTCCATGTGATTGTGCCATTTGATCACATGTGCAAATGTGTATATCCACCCTGTGTGGGATTTCCTCATACAGGATCCCTAGTGTCCAGCCCACTACTTACTTCTAGCAATTTATAGTCTGTTCTTTGGTCGGTCGTGGGGCCTGAACTCTGGGCCTGGGCGCTGTCCCTCAGCTCTTCAGCTCAAGGCGAGTGCTCTACCACTTGAGCTACAGCTCCACTTCCGGTTTTCTGGTGGTTTATTGGAGATAGGAGTCTCACGGTCTCTCCTGCCGGGGCTGGCTTTGAACCGCGATCCTCAGATCTCAGCCTCCAGAGTAGCTAGCATTACAGGTGTGAGCCACCAGCGCCCGGCCCTGTGTATAACCTTTGATAGTAGCTTTTTTCATTCATTTAACATAGCCTTCTTAAGATCCATCCAAGTTGTGTTGCCAGTCTGCTGCTCAGCCACCTATGCTTCTCCTGTTTGTCTTTACCTCAATCCTTCTAATGATCTCCGTCCTCCTGAGTAGCTAGGGTTATGGGTGTCCATCACCATTCATAGCTTGTTCTTTGAGATTGGGTCTTACTAGCTTCCCTTTTGCTTGCTGGCTTCAAACTGTGATCCTCCCAACTCTACCTCTAGAGCAGCTGTCTTTTACAACTTCTGCTTCGTCTTTGTTTTGTTTTGTTTAACTGCTGGCCCTAAGCCTTTTCACTCAAGACTAGCTAACTGACCCTTAGATCTCAGCCTTCTGGGTAGCTAGAATTATAGGCATGAGCTACTAGCGCCCAACTTATGATTAAATATTTTGTTAGTTTTGGAGATTTTTTTTTCATATGAATGCTTCCTTTGTTAGGTATATGGCTGATGTTCTTTATGAAGCTCATTTCTTCTTTCCCAGAGCAATAGGTTGTTTTTGTTTTTTTCTCTTTTAAGACAGGGCCTCACTATGTAGTCCAAGCTGGCCTCAAACTTGTGACTCTCTGCCTCCCCAGTGCTGGGGTTACAGGTATGTGTTCACAATTTCTCATTTTGTTGAAGTCAAGTTACCAGTTTTCTGTGTTATCCTTGGTGTCATAAGAACTCTTCACTGGGCGCTGGATCTTAGACATTTCTGTTTTTTTTTTTTTTTCCTTCTGAATTGTGTACTCCAGAAGGTGTACCCATGGCAGCTCTTAGCTTTTCTGGGTATTGGGAGGGAGGCCGCCCCCCTTCTTACCTTGTGGAAAAGCTTACAGGTGGTACAGTGATGAGTAGAGGCTTCAGTGCAGGGTCTGCACCTTGAGAACTCAAATTGCTTCTTAGGGCCTAACGAAGCTCAAGCTTAGGGAAAGGTTCTTGGAGAGAGGCGGTGTGGGAGTTACCTTTCGTGCATGCATGAAGATAAGCATCTTCATTCTTCTGCATGTAGATTTCCTAGTTTCTCAGCACCACCTGTTCAAGGAAGTTTTATTACTTCCTTTCTTTCTCTTTCTTCCTTCTTTCTTTCCATTCTGCCTTTCCTCCCTTTTTCCTTCCCTCCCTCCCTCCCTCCCTCCCTCCCTCCCTCCCTCCCTTCCTCCCTCCCTCCCTCCCTTCCTTCCTTCTTTATAATACTTTGTATCACTTGTGGCAGTTACTGAGTGCACAATTTGATTAAACAGAATTGAATTTGAGATGAAACTTTCTTCATGCTGTTCAGATGAGTTTATGGCAGCAGAGAGAAGGTGGCATTTTAGTGGTATCCAGTAGTCTAGAGTGGAAGCAATAGTGTTGGTCACTCCTGGGCATTTGTTGTTGGTGTTATAGGTAGCTAAGCTTCCTTGTAAGCTGCTGGGCCTTGGAAGGCAGAGATCAAAGATGTGTTTGGGTTAGTAAGGCTGCGCAGAAGATGTTTTAAAAAATGTATTGTGGTGATCTATTGTGCTGTATATATACCATATGGAAGATGCTGTAAAACAGCTGTGAAACTGAACAGGCTCCTTGAGGGTTTTTGATGCTGCCCATACTTGGTATTTGTTAGTTTAGTAACATTTATTACCTAAAGTGGACTGGCAAACTTTCTGCTGAGAGTAAGATAGAAAATGTTTGTGTAGGCTACCTATAGCCATTGCAGATGCTTTTTTCCTTTTGCCCTTCCTTTTGCACCCTTCTTCTGACCATTAGACATAGACACTCAGTTCTTAGCTTGGACTATGGTTTGCAGTGCCGACTTCTGTCATCCTGCAGGTGACAAGACACTCAGGTCACCTAAACCAGGTGCTTCCTTGATCATAGCCACACTGTAGATGGTGAGCTTTCTGTTCGTCCTAAATCATGGCCCTTCCTTCTGTTGATGGGAATTAACTGACGTGATTGTAAGTGCTTGCATTTAAGGAACCATATGATTATGTATAGTGACAGTTGCTAATTGTCTTTGTTTTGAAGCATGTGGCCAACAAGGATCCAAGAGAATTTCGAGAAGCTAGAGATCATAAGGAACCAAAAGAAGAAATCAACAGAAACATTTCTGATTGTGGACGACAGCAGCTTTTACCCCCCTTCCCATCCCTTCACCAGTCGCTACCTCAGAACCAATGCTACATGGCCACCACAAAGTCACAGACAGGTAAAGGAGGATCAACAGCTATCTTTCTGAATGTACCTTAAGGCCACGCTCACCAGATGGACCTCTGGTGCCAGTTAGTGCTGCTTGAGACCAGTGATAACCCTGCATGTTTGGAGGCCCTGACCTTGCCCTGATACCTGTGTGATACATCTGCTTTGTTTTAGCTTGTCTTCAGTCTCAAAGCGAACATTTGTTTTTTTGTCAGTCATGGGGCTTGAACTCAGTCCCTGAGCTCTTCTGCTCAGTGCTAGTACTGTACCACTTTGAGCTATAGCATCACTTCCAGCTTTCTGGTTGTATTTTGGAGATAAAGAGTCCCACCAACTTTCCTGCCTGGGCTAGCTCAGTCTCCTGAGAAGCTAGGATTACAGGTGTGAGCCACTGGTACCCGGCTAAGGTGAACATTTCTTTCTTTCTCTCTCTCTCTCTCTCTCTCTTTTTTTGTCTGTTGTGGGGATTGAACTCTGGGCCTGGGCTCTGTCCCTCAGCTTTTCAGCTCAAGGCTGACGCTCTACCACTTGAGTCAGAGTGTCACTTCTGGTTTTCTGAGTGTTTTATTGGAGATAAGAGTCTCACAGAGTTTCCTGCCCAGGCTGGCTTTGAACCTCGATCCTCAGATCTCAGCCTCCTGAGTAGCTAGGATTACGGGCATGAGCCAGCGGTGCCTGGCCCTAAGCCAGTTTTGAACTGTGATCCTCAGATCTCAGCCTCCTGAGTAGCTAGGATTACAGGTGTGAGTCACCAGCGCCCAGCTTAAGGTGAACATTTCTTAAGAAAATATTACTCAACTAGTTTGAGCGAAAGGCTCTGAGTTTGAGAATCAAGTTCCAAGTTAGATGCCATTAGAAGCACTAGGGTGTCAAGTGAAAGTGCAAAGAACTGTCCTTTGACTCCAGCTTTGTCATGGACCCCTTATCTGGGTATTTCTCCATTCTTTCTGAGCCTGCTTGGCATCTTGTCAGATGGAGTAGACAATGAACACTCAGTGACTGTTGGAGGCCTTTTTGGGGAGGGGAGCAGGGCAGCATGAATGAGGTATTGGTATCTCAGAATGACCATTACTCTCTCCCTCCTGCCTCCTTTCCCCGTCCTTTTTTGGGACAAGTCTTGTTATATAATATAAATTGGCCTGGAACTTAATGTATAGCCCAAGCTGGCTTTAAGCTTGAAATCATCCTGCCTCAGCCTCTTCAGTATTGAGATTACGAAGTTGTAGAAATTCTACACAAGATTTTTATGTGCCCTTGCTTATACCTAAATGTGTAATTGTGTGGGTCCCCTTCAGTATATAATCTTTTTTAAATCTGAAGCACGAATGTAAACTGCTGGTTGCTGACTTGTATCTCTAACCATGTGTTTTCCTTAAAAATAATGGTATGTAATGTCTCTAAAAACAGACACTCTTAGATAATAACTATAGTACAATAACCAAAAGAAGAAATTAATTTTGCTATAATGTTGTTACACAATCATAGTACATTGTTCAGCTTTTGCCAATTTTCTATTAATGTGCCTTACAACAAAAAGAAAAAATAAATTCTAACCCTAGACCCCCACAGACAATTGGTTATGGAATCTTGTTAGTCTGCTTTCACCTGAAACAGTAGTAGCCTTCTTTGTCTTCTTGACTATTGTGTTTGAGAGCACAGGCCAGGCCAGGCTTTCCACAGAATCTGCCGACACGCTATGCTCTGCCCAGCGTTTCTCAGGACTATGGACTATCACAGGGGATTGTCATGTGTACTTAGGAATTACTTACTGGTCACTGGCCTTCTTAGGGCCAGGCAGAGCCTTTTCCCCAAGTTGTCCTTGGTATATGTCTTAGGAGAGAGGCAGACTATTTAAGTGTCCTGTCTCATCTAATGTTTTCTGTCTCTGCAGTTTATTCATCAGTTACATTTGTTTCATAAGGAAGTGCTTCACTTTTCCTTCCACCTAATTTTTTACCTATCTGTCTTGTCTACTTATTTATGTATCTATCTATTTGTGTATGTATGTATCTACCTATATCTCTTTTTTTGAGTGCTGGTTTTGGGGTTTGAACTCAGGATCTAGGTGCTGTTTCTGAGCTTTTTTGCTCAAGGTTAGTACTCTACCAGTTGAGCAACATCTCCACTTCCAGTTTTTGAGATACTTAATTGGAAATAAGAGTCTGTTCACAGAGATTCCTACTGAGGCTAGCTTTGAACCATGGTCCTCAGGTCTCAGCCTCTTGGGTAGTTAGGATTATGGGCATTAGCTATCAGCTCTGGGCTATCTTTTTTTAAAAAATGCTGGGGGCTTAAGGTAGAGTGCTTGCCTAGCATGCGTGAAGCCCTGGGTTCGATTCCTTAGTACCACATAAACAGAAAAAGCTGGAAGTGGCCCTGTGGCTCAAGTGGTAGAGTGCTAGCCTTGAGCAAAAGAGGCTCAGGGACAGTGCCCAGGCCCTGAGTTCAAGCCCCAGGACTGGCCAAAAATAAATAAATAAAATGCTGGCCCTGGAGTCTGAACTCAGGGCTTGGACTTTTCTCCTCCAGGTTAGTGCTCTATACCACTTGAACCACTGTTCTACTTCTGGCTTTTTGGTGATTAATTCTAGATAGTCTCTTGTACATTCTTGCCCAGATTGGCTCTGAACTGTGGTACTCAGATCCCAGACTCCCGAATAACTAGGATTACAGGTGAAAGACATCAGTGCCCTTTCATTTATCTTTTAAAGTCTTGTTTTGAGTGTTAGTTGTCACTATAATAAATAACTGAGACAATTAACTTACAAAGGGTAAAAGGGCTGCGCACTGATGGCCCATAGTTATAATCCTAGTTACTCAGGAGGGTCCGATCTGAGAATTGAGGTTCAAAATCATCTCAGGCTGACAAATCTGGTTATCCAATAGAAAGATACAGGTGTGGCTCAAGTGGTAAAAATAACAGCCATGAGTGAAAAAGACAGTTCAGCAATAAGCCCCAGTGCTGAAAATACATAAGTAAATGAAGAGAAAAAGGTTATTTTGGTTCATAACTTTTCAGCCAAGTTTGGTTGCTCTGTTATCTTTGAACTTGAGATGGCACATGGCAGGAGCAACAGAAGAGCAAAAGTGAAAAGAGAGAAAGAGAATAGGGTTTCTCACTAACTTTTCACTGTCTTTTGATAAGAGCTTTCTAGAACAGAATGCCCAGTGCATTCAGTAGTTCTCTGCTTATCCTTTTCTCTTTCCATTTATCTTCCCTTTCTCCCAGTGTGCTAGAAATTTTGTGGTCAATTAGCCTATTAGTGTAGGTCTCTTGTGTAAAATGATCTCCAACTGTGAATCTGATACACTGTAATAATAGTTGGCTGTAACTCCCCTAGCCCTAGCTATTCCTCTGTAACTCCAGATACTGCTCTAGCCCTGTAATTCCTCTGCACTTCCACTTCAGAGTTTGCCCCATCTCCCAAAGAGACAGTTGAAGAAATCTCATTTCTGTGCTTGAAAGAGTTTCCCGGAGAGAAGCACACCTGCATGGCTGTCTGGCTTGTGTACTTTCCAGAGTTGCTAGGGATATAGGAGCCCACACCTGAAGCAGTGTATCAGTCTCATCGGGAACTGCTCGTGCCAGTGGGATGGGACCACTAATATAAAGTCACAGTCTGTGTGGCAGGAAAGGAGGTAGGCTCTATGACAGTGTCCATACAGACCAAGAGAAAAGGAACTATCAGACACAGATCTGAGGAACATCCTGTCCCTTGTCATTTGGGAGATCAGCAAATCATTTCTAAGGACAGGCAGGTGAGAAATACCCTAGGCTTTTCAGGCTGAACGGTGGCTTCCTGACACCTTGTGTTATAGTATGATGGCAGCCTCCAATTATAAAAAGTCTAGTTATGGCCCTGTGCCTATAAAACTGTTTATGAACAGGTGGACTGGCTGTGGCCATGTACCTGTAAGACTTTATGAGCAGGTGGACTGGCTGTAGCCATGTACCTGTAAGACTGTTTATGAACAGTTGGACTGGCTGTAGCCATGTACCTGTAAGACTGGTTATAAACAGGTGGATGGCTGTGGCCATGTACCTGTAAGACTGGTTATGAACAGGTGGACTGGCTGTGTTTGTTTGTTTTTTGAAAAGAAAAACAAAATGCTCTTGTCTGCCTTTGCTGGAGGTCATTTTGATTTTTTTTTTTTTTTTTTGGTCATTCATGGGCCTTGAACTCTGGGCCTGAGCGCTGTCCCCCAGCTCTTTAGCTCAAGGCTAGTGCTTTACCACTTGAGCCACAGTGCCACTTCCTGTTTTCTAGTGGCTAATTGGAGATAAAAAGTCTCACAGACTTTGCTCTCTGGGCTGGCTTTGGACCTTGGGTCCTCAGATCTCAACCTCCTGAGTAGCTAGGACTACAGATTGTGAGCCACTGACGCCCAGCTTTGATTTTTTTTTTTTTTTTTCAGAGCTAAGGACTTAATTCCAGGGTCTTGGGCTTGCTAGGCAAGTGCTCTTCCACTGAGCTAAATCCCTAATGTCTGTCTTTGTGTTTTCTTTTTTTGGGTCCGGTCGTAGGGCTTGAACTCTGGGCCTGGGCGCTCAGCTCTTCAGCTCAAGGCTAGCACTCTAGCCCTTGAGCCACAGCGCCACTTCCGGCTTTTTTCTTTTTGCTTACGTGGTGCTGAGGAATCGAACCCAGGGCCTCAGGCATGCAAGGCAAGCACTCTACCACTGAGCCATCTTCCCAGCCCTGTCTTTGTGTTTTCAAACCCTAGAATTATTAAAAAAAAAAAAATATATATATATATGTATAGAGAGAGAAGATAATATAAAACCCTTACCCTGGTTGCTTTGCTCAGAAGGGTCTGGAGTCCCTGAGCCACACTTTATTTCTTCAGTGCTGCTTCTCATTTGAAAACTGCTGATCCAGTACCCCAGAATTTTCTGTTGTTGTGAGCTGAACAGCACTTCAGGGACTTTCTCTCCCTTTAGTGCTTGAGCGGTTGGGGAAAGGATTCCAGTGGGCCATAGAGCTTTAGAGATTGGGTATATGGACAGGCCATGTATCTATTCTTTGCTGTGGATGAGATTGTGGATGGTAAGCTTGGACACATCTTCAGCTCTGCATACTTTCCTCTGTCCACACTGTTCTTGTTGGACATCTGATGTATGAGAGGACTTCCTACGAGAGACTAACATGAGTTCAAGGCTAAATATATGGATATGTCTTTGGGCCTTGCTTCTGTTAGTTTGCAATTGTCCTAGCTGCAAAGTGGGGAAAGATAAATATTTGCTTAGTGTCTTATTCTGAATAAAACATGATCTTAGTGGGTCGCCAGTGGCTCACACCTGTCATCTTAGTTACTCAGGAGGTTGAGGTCTGGGGATCACAATTCAAAACCAGTCCAGACAGAAGAAGTCCATGAGACTAATCTCCAATTAACCACAATATGCTGGAAGTAGAACTGTTTATCAAGTCATAGATAGCCTTGAGCAGACAGGGTCAAGGACAAGGCCCAGGCCCCTGAGTTTAAGCCCCAGTACCTGCATAAAAAACAAAAACATAACAAAACATGATCTTGGAAATTCTGGCTTCCTCTCTAAAGGAGGGTTAGCTTACTCTTGTGTTGATGCCCACAGAAATGAGCCTTATATGATTTGATCTGCTGATGTTGTTGGTAATCAGATTTATAAACTGTCTTCTGCCTCTAAAAACATTTGAATGGCATTTCTTCTCCTTTCTTGTCCCCCTTTGACTTTTTTTTTTTTTTAGCTTGCTTGCCTTTTGTTTTAGCAGCTGCAGTATCTCGGAAGAAAAAACGAAGAATGGGAACCTATAGCCTGGTTCCTAAGAAAAAGACCAAAGTATTAAAGCAGAGGACGGTGATTGAGATGTTTAAGAGCATAACTCATTCTGCTGTGGGCCTGAAGGTAAGAGGGACATGTGAGTCATTTGCCATAAGTGCTTGGAAGTACATTTCCAGTTCCAGGGCCTTTTTGGCCAAAAAGAACATCCTATGAGGTCATCAGTAATTCAGATGACCTTGATTGCTATGGACGGAGCCGGAGCACTAGAGCTCTTTGCTGTAAGTCATAGCCTCCATGTCCAGCTGGGTTGTTAGACCCACCTCACCCTAGCCTCCCTGCCTGCTCTCTTGATGCTTCTCTGGCACCTCCCGTTGTACACTCCTAGAGAGTGTACACCAGTGTGTTGGTGTCAAGCCGCAGTCTTTCTGAAAGCTGTGCGTTGCTGTGTTCAGGGTGAGAAGGCTTTGGGTGACAGCACCCTGCATGTGAATGGGGAGAGCTTGGAGATAGACTCAGAAGAGGATGACTCTGAAGAGCTCGAGGAGGATGAGGACCATGGAGTAGAGCAGGCCGCTGCCTTTCCCACAGAGGACAGCAGGACTTCTAAAGAGAGCATGTCTGAGACTGACCGGGCTCCCAAGGTAGGAGTGTTGTGTCCCAAAGACAGGGTTGTGCTTTCTAGGTGCTGCTAGTCCCTGAGCAAAGTTCCTACCTTTTGTTAATTTTTTCCTGTTCACATGGATTTTGTATTTTATTCTTTTGGAATTACTGGTTTAGCTCAGAAGTGGTTTTTTTTTTTTCCCCACCATATAGCATTATTAACATAAGCTAATGAGCTCTTCTTTTTTTTTAAAATTTTTATTTTTATGGTAGCAGTCCAAGGGCTTGAACTCAGGGCCCAGGCGCTGTCCTTAGCTCTCTTGCTGTTACCACTTGAACTATAGCTCTACTTCTAGGTTGGTTTTTTTTTTTTTTTTTTTTTAGTGTATTAGAGATAAAGTCTCATGGACTTTGTTGCCTGGGCTGGCTTTGAACCAAGATCCTAATATCTCAGCCTCCTGAGTAGCTAGGATTACAGATGTGAGCCATTGGTACTTGGCTTTAAACCATTGTTTTTAGTTGCCTAACACTCCATTCTGTAGATTTGAACATTTTTTGTTGTTTCAGGCAACATTTGGTGTATTTCATGTCGTACCTGGTAATCAGTATTACCTGCACTTAATACTGCAATTGTCTCTCAGAGAGATGTTCTTTTGGATCTTACTTAGGAAGTCTTTATTGTTAGTGTAATTCTTTATTAAGCTCTGAGTTGGCCAATAACTTAAAACATTTAGAGTCTGTCTGTCTGTCTGTCTGTCTGTCTGTCATTTTTTCTTGGCAGGACTGGGGTAGATACCACTTGAGCCATGCTTTTTCTGTTCTCCCTCTCCCCCTCCCCCTCTACCACCCCTATTTCCTCCCTTCTCCCTCCCCCTCTTTCACTGTTCTCTCCCCTCTTCCTCTTCTCCTCCTTGCCTTTATTCAATGCCTTTTTTTGGGCAGTTGTGGGGCTTGAACTCAGGGCCTGGTCGCTGTCCTTGAGCTCTTTAGCTCAAGTTTAGCACTCTACCACTTTGAACCACAGCTCCACTTATGGTTTTGAATGGTTAATTGGAGATCAGAGTCTCATTGATTGAAGTAAATGTTAGTAAGTATATTAACACAAACTCTTTATGGTTCTTAGTGAGTCTTTTAAAGAATACAGGTGTCTTAAGACCACTGTATTTCAGCACTGTCATGATAGTGTTCCTTTGTGGGTGAAATTCTTTCTTGATTTGTGTGTCTACTCCACTGTTAATGTGCCTGTGAACTACTTCCAGTTGGGGTTGTCCCTGTGCCAGTGCCTCTAGCATCCTGTGTACATTAAGGGTGCTCCCAGCTGTCTCCAGCAGTGGAATCTACTCTGGCTTGCCAGGCTTGGTGATGCACTCCACTGAATATAGAATGCTAGTACATCATGGTTGTAGTTTTATACTTCCCTGGTTTCCAAGAAGATTGAGCACTGTTTTGTGGGTTTATTTTCTTTTTAGATCTTTTATGAAATGCCTGGTTTATACTGAACCATTCATCTCATCTTTTGAGTTGTTTGTCCTTTTTCCTCTCTTTCTCTCTCTCTTCCTCTCCCTCCCTCCCTCCCTCTCCTTCTCTCCCTCTCCCTCTCTCTCGCTTTCTCTCTTTCTTCCCCCTTCCCCCCCACCCCTTTCTCCTTCCCTCTTTTCCTCCCTCCCTCCCTCCTTCCCTCCTTCCTTTGTACTGAGGTTTGAACATACGGGCTCATGCTTGCTATATAGACATTCTTATCACTGAAGGTGTACCTCCAGCCCTGTTTTTTTCATGGTTATTTTTGAGATAGAATCTCAATCCCTTGCCTGGACACAATCAGCCTAATTTTCTGCCATAGCTAGGATGACAGATGTCCACGTTACTGAACCTACCTCTTGGTTGAGAGTTTTGTTGGCAGACTTTTCTGTCCAACTTGGCTTCAGATTACAATCTTCCCAAATCTTAAGTCTCTCAAGTAGCTACGATTACAGATGTGAATAATTGGAACCTGGCAACTGTTTGTCCTTTTAAAAAATAATTTTGTAGGTATACACTAGTAATTTCAGCCATGTGGGAAGCAGAGATGAGAGAAGTACAGCCAGGGTTGGCCCTAGGCAAGAGCATGAGACTATCTGAAAAATGAGACAAAAAGGGATTAGGGAATAGCCAAGTGGTAGAGCACTCACCTAACAAATGCCCCTGAGTTTAAACCCAAGTGCTACTTAACAAAAAACCGTTGGTGTCCTTGTCTGGCCATTTGGACCCAGAAGCTAGTTGACAGGAATGTACCAAAAGCTTACCCTGGCTGTTGGCTAGGGAGAGCAGTGCCTGCACATCTTAGTGTCCAGGTTACGTCCTGTGGGATCCTCGGCGTTACGGGTTGTCAACTGGGTGAGGACACCTTCACATCTTCCTGCAATTGAGCTTGAGACATTGTGCTGCCTGTTTCCTTTTCCTGCATCTCACAGGGTTCAACTGTAGCAGACTCCAATTCTCTCCTTAATAATTCTATGTCAATCATTACTGTTTCCTCTCTTTTTTCCTCTGCTCCCTTTTTCACAGATGTCATGTACAGTGCTTAAGGAGCATCTTCTAAAGTAACCTCATTCTTTCATGTGCAAATCCTTTGCAGGAATTTCTGAAGGAACTACAATTAACTGTTGTAGTTGGTCTCTGACTTGGTAGTTTCGTTGCTTGGTCTTATTTAAAATTAAAAAAAAAACTGCTTAATGACTTAAAAGGAAACTTAATTAAATAAAGTTGACAGTGTGTCAGAATCCTTAAAAAAAACTTACATTAAATGGTAAAACTTTAAAGCATTGCTATTATCAGACATAAAATGAGGGCAAGATTACTGCTTTTATCCCTTAAAACAGTGTAGCAGTGTTGAATGTTCCAGCTGATGCTGTAAAAGAAGAGCCAGAAAGAAGTATTAATATTTAAAAGGATAAGGGAAATGCCAGGTGCCAGTGGCTCACACCTGCAATCTTGAGGAGGCTGAGATCTGAGGATCATGGTTTCAAGCCAGACGATGCAGGAAAGCCTGCGAGATATCTTCAATTAATTAAAAAAAAAAAAAAAAGCCATAAGGAGAGCTGTGGCTCAGTGGTAGGCTCTAGTCTTGAGTAGAAAAGCTCAGGGATAGCACCCAGGTCCTGAGTTCAAGCCCAGGTCTGTCTGACATAACAACAACAAAAAAGGACAGGGGAAAAGTTTGTCGAGAACATAGTCATCCATTGGAAAATCAGCTGTAAAACTGTTAATAGTTACTGAGCTGAACTTCATGTGATCAAGATATAAACATTGGTTGTTTTCGTGGGTAGCTGCAGCATTCCCCTAAAGAATGTGACGGTTGCATCAATCTCAGATGTGTAAATGATCAAGGGTAATTTTTAAGACGCAACTAGAAAGTCTGAAAGTGTCCAGCTAATAGTGGCCAGTGACCTGTCTGTTTATACTTGGGTTGTTTGGAGGCCAGTAAGTTAGTATAGTGCTTTAAAAGAAAAAGAGTCAGACAAACCACAAATCACATTTAAAGGATTACCTGTGACTCTTAGTTTCCCCAGAGAAATGAGGTGTGATACCTGTAAGAGGAAGTGGTAGGACATAAGAAGATCCATTGTTTTGTCCCTGTGTTTGTCAGAGCAGTTTCCATCAAACTCCATGCCAACCTTCCTATACAATGGCTCATTCTGAAGTTTGCCTGTGAGGATCCTGAGAGCAATAACAGGATATATAGAACCACAGGAGACTTATCAGCCATGCTGGGAAGGAGTTCATGAGGGACCTGAAGGAAGGTTGCCATTAGTGGGATGTGGCCACTGATGTCTGGGTCTGTCTGTCTAGAGGATCCCAGCTTGTCTGGAAAGCAGTGTTGCTGTAAAACCCACAGGTGTGATTGACCAGAGAGTACAAGGTGTGGGGTGACTGGTATGCATCCCACCGAGAACTAGACCACAGTGGAGGCCTTTTAGCTCTTGTGAGAAGGCAGGCACTAGGCAAAAGGACACATACTCATGCCCATGCATTACCAGTGTGGATAGTAAAATTAGACGACTTTGCTCTTGATGTGGGAAGAATATATGTGCAGTTAGAAGACAGAAAACCACAAAGTGTGTGCAGTGCGTTCCACATGTACAAATGGAGTAAGACGAGTTCAGCTGTGGTTCCATGCAGTTGGACATTTGATGGAAGGGTCTGGGAAGTGTAGCAGGGATGGTTGGATTGTCATTGGATGGTGTGGGTGGGTTTGTGCATTTTGTGCCATTTTTTGCTCTGCGCGCGCGCGTGCGTGCGTGCGTGCGTGCGTGCGTGCGTGCGTGTGTGTGTGTGTGTGTGTGTGTGTGTGTGTGTGTTTCCTGGGTCTTGAACTGAGAACCTCATGCTCTTATGTGGCTTTTTTTTGCCCAAGGCTTGAGCCACACCTTCTCTTCTGGCTTTTTGCTGGTTAATTGGAAATAAAGAGTTTCATGGACTTTTCTGCTTGGGCTAGTTTCAAACCACGATCTTTAGGTCTCAGGCTCCTGAGTAGCTAGGATTACAGACATGAGCCACCAGTGCCTAGCCTGCATGTCCCTTTTACTGGTACACATCATGTCTTGAATGTATTGGTCCTGGTTAGCACAGCGTATCCCCCAGGGACCAGTTGGTGAGAGTTGGAGTACGCAGTGTTCGTCTTCCTGTCTAATATGGAGATGCCATCAAGGAACAGGCCCATTTGGAGTGGATGTCTCAGCAGGGAGCCGGAGCTGAAATGTATGGTATCCCATTCTCTACCAGAACACTCCCTGGCAACAGGCAGACAAAATGGGGTTCCTTCTGTATCTCCAGGATGCACTATCAGTGTATGCTTGTTAGGTATGTATGTGTGTATGGATGGGTTTGTCTGTCTGTTTGTCTGTCTATGTAATCATCTGTGTGTCAGTCCTGGGGCTGAATGCTGTCTCTGAGTTTTTTTTTCTCAAAGCTAGCACTCTTGCACTTGAGCCACAGCTCTGCTTATTTTTTTATTTTTTATTTTTTCTGATTAATTGGAGATAAGTCTGCGACTTTCCTGTCCAGACTGGCTTTGAACTGTGATCCTCAGATCTCAGCTTCCTGATTAGCTTATGGGCAGGCACTGCTGATACCCAGCCAGTGTACTTTTAAATCTTTGTTTCAGACCCATTTGTCTTCTACTAAAGGATCTAATCATTTTTTGTTTGGCTGATCAGATGGATGGTGAGTCAGAGGAGGAGCAAGAGTCGGCCGACACCGGGGAGGATGAGGATGCCGGAGACGAGTCTGACCTGGTAATCTCATACTTGGTGTGACATACATGCAGTGCAGGAACTGCCAGTGATGCTGCTCTCATCTTGTGTGTGCTGAGAGTCCGTAGGCAGGGCTCTTGCCTGTGGGAGAGTGGATGAAGAGAGCACAAGAGCTTTGGGTTTGAGGTTCTTTGAGGTAGAATGCAGAGAGCAGGTAGTTGAACTAGGAAATGAAGGTCTGCGGGAAAAGAGGAGCTTGGAAATGGGAAGAGTGTGTTGAACACATTGAACATTACTTATTTCTTTTTTCATAGTTACTTATGGAGCTAATAGAGCTTTGTGAGCCCTACTCCTCAAATACATACACACAGATAGGTGAGTGTTGAGTGGAACAGGTGAGCATGAGCTTGAGATCTTTGTGCTGTGGAGAGAAATGTGGAGCTTTGGGTCACATGACCAGAGCTGCTCTGAAGAGGATGAATATGGCCATAGTGTCAACCTGATGTGGTGTAGAAGCATTGTTTCCAGATAGAGGGAACAGAGCCTAGGTAGTGGCAAACTTTGCTTATAGAGTTCTTCCAGAATTTTGTTGTGTAGGAGCACACAGTGGAGAGTAGGAGTTAGTTATGCAGGATGTGGACAGTGAGGATGTTCATCTAGCACTGTCCCCACTGGGTCAGCTGGAGCACCAGGGTTCCATTGGGCAGGTGGGCTCACTGTTCTGAGTGTCTCTTAGTGTGTGTTCAGCACAGCCATCTGTGGGAGGGAGACACTCCCTCTTGTTTTGCATGACCTGTCCCTCTCTGTCGGCGAGGGCTAGTGAAGGGTGCTGTGTATCATCTGTGATTCCTGGTGGTCAGATTCCTTTCTGCGCACATTTTGCATTATTATTATCATTACTACTGATAGCTCTCTCCTTGTTCTTGTAGATAGCTCATTGCATGGATTCTGGTGTGTATTGAGCACTGCTAGTTTCTTCCTCATGAGCAAGACAAAGGATAAATGTGATGAAAAGCTTTGTTTTTGTTTGTTTTTTTTAACTTTCTCAACCTCATTTACTTTGTTTCTGAATAGAATTTTCCATTATTTTCCTTTATGCCAAATTCAAATAACAGTTAAAAAATTCATTTTAATTTTCTTAATTTTTTGCCTGTGAAAGGAGTGAGCATAGAGATGTTTAGGAATAACATTACATCTTTAGATGTAATCCAGAAAAATTTCTAAAAGTGAAGCAAATTTTTGAGAGGAGAACCAAGACATAGCAAGCTGTTTACTTTTCAGTCAAACACCTCTTAGTCCGTTTTGCTCTCAGGTCTTCCCCACTGCTTTGCATTGATGTGCCTGCATTTGGTCCTTTAGAGCTCTGAATCCAGCATCAAGAAGAAATTTCTTAAGAGGAGAGGAAAGACTGACAGCCCCTGGATCAAGCCGGCTCGAAAAAGGAGGCGGAGGAGTAGAAAGAAGCCAAGTGGAGTGCCTGGTAAGCACAGCGGAGCACCCAGGCCTCTCTGCCTTCCCTGAGAGCTCTCAGGGTCAGAAAGCCAGACGAGAGCTGAGATTTTGTGTTAGATTTCATTTGAAAGGAGGGTCCACTGTAAATGAATGTTTGGTAGACTTCATTAGAGAAGCTGGAGAGATCCATAAGTGGTTTCCCTCAGGCAAGTCTTGTGCATCCTGCTGTCATTGCTGAGTGTAGATAGATAACTTGTCACCTGCATGGCGCGAGTAGCAGCTAGTGGCATATGGGGACATGTTACTTGCTGTTGTGGCCACCTGGCTGCCTCTGTGGCCTGTGTGTACCTCTTTCACGTGATAGTTTTAGGTTTTGAGTGAGTCAGCTACTGTTCTGAAAGTGGTTTGTTAAGGGAAATTCAGGGACAATTACTTCTGGTCAGGAGGAATGTGTTTCAGAGTCTTATTTTATGACTACATTGAGGTTGACTTGATGCATAATAAAATATATACACATAGAATGCAGTTTGATGAATTGATCTGTGTCTCCACAGACCCCCTCAGTAGAATTATATTACCAAGCTGGGCACTGGTGGTTCACTCCTGTAATCCTAGCTACTCAGGAGGCTGAGATTTGAGGATCATGGTTCAAAGCCAGCCTGGGCAGGAAAGTCCATGAAGCTCTTCTCTCCAATTAGCCACTAGAAAACCAGAAGTGGTGCTGTGGCTCAAGTGGTAGAGTACTTGCCTTGAGCCGAAGAGCTGAGGGATTATGCCCAGGCCCAGAGTTAAAGTCCCATGACTAACCCCCCCCCCAAAAAAAAAATATATATATATATTTATGTATATATATATAAAACCAACCTTCCCCTACCCTAGGCCCTAACTTCCTGCTGCCTTCCCAAGCCCAGTTACTCCTCCCCATTCCTAGGCAGGAATGGGTTACCAGGTCTGGATTAGCACTGTATAGAATTGTATATGAATGAAATCTGTGTGGACTCTCCCTAACTTTTTTTTTTTTTTGCTTGAGCATAATTGTTTTTGAAAGTCTTGCCTATTGTATGTGCTAATAGTTCATTCTGCCCACTGCTAAGAGGTACTCACTGTGTGGCCGTGCAATGGCTTGTTCACCATTCTCCTGTGAATGGACTGGGTTCTTCTGGGTTGAGCTCTAGAAAGGATGCTGTGCCAGGTGCCAGTGGCTCACACCTAGCTATTCAGGAGGCTGAGATCTGAGGATCATGGTTCAAAGCCAGCCTGGGCAGGAATGTCCATGAGACTCTTTTTTTTGGGGGGGAGCGGGGTCCGGTCGTGGGGCCTGAACTCTGGGCCTGGACACTGTCCCTCAGCTCTTCAGCTCAAGGCTAGCACTCTACCACTTGAGCCACAGCGCCACTTCCAGCTTTTTTCTTATGTGGTGCTGAGGAATCGAACCCAGGGCCTCGAGCATGCAAGGCAAGTGCTCTACCACTGAGCCACCTTCCCAGCCCAGTCCATGAGACTCTTATCTCCAATAAACCACCAGAAAACCAGAAGTGGCACTGTGGCTTCAGTGGTAGATGTTGCTTTGAGCTCAAGAGCTGAGGAATAGCACCCAGACCCAGAGTTCAAGCCCCATGACTGACCAGAAAAGGAAGGAAGGGAGGAAGGGAGGGAGTGAGCTGCTGTGGGTGTGTGTGTACACTTTTACCATATAGGCATTCTGTCTATGTCCAGAGAATGGCCTGGTTGAGTTGAGTTTAGTGGATTCAGATCTTTTTTTTTTTGCTTAAACTCAGGGCATGGGCACTGTCCTTGAGCCTCTCTGTGCTCAAGGCTAGCTCTCTACCACTTGAGCCATAGTACCACTTCTGGCCTTTTCTGCCTTTTCTTCTTTGTTAATCCTTTACACCACCACCACCACAAAGAGGCAGGTCTCCCTGGGATAAAAGGAGCACTGAGACTCCTGGAGTTTGCTGTGTGGGGCTTGAGTGCCTCCTTGGGCGTCTCACCTACTCCTTCAGCCATATTCCTTTTTCTTCCTTTGTGTAACCTGTTGAGATGAAAGCTCAGTGGGGCTTTTACTGTTGGCTGACACAAAGATTTGTAGATAGGGGCACTAAGAGTAGTTTTTAGTGTAGAGATTTCCTCTTTGTCATTTTGAATGTAATGAATAAAATGTGTGTAAATAAATATTTACTCAGAGTTTTATTTCTTGATGTAAAATGTTTAAAATTATATAAAGACTACTTACATTTTTTAGATTGTTGATGATTTCTTTTCTATTTATTTATGTATTTATTTATTTATGATTTTTATCCATTGTGGGTCTTGAACTCTGGACCTGGGTGCTGTCCCTGAGCTCTTCAGCTCAAGGCTAGTACTCTACCACTTGAGCCACAGTGCCACTTCCGATGTCTTAAAATACACACACACACACACACACACACACACACTTTGTTTTGTTTTTGGTTGGTCATGGAGCTTGAACTCTGGGCTGGGTGCTGTCCTTGAGCCCTTTTGCTCAAGGCTAGTGCTCTACCACTTTGTACCACAGCACCACTTCCGGTTTTCTGGTAGTTAATTGGAGATAAGAGTCTAATGGACTCTCCTGCCTGGGCTGGCTTTGAGTTGCTATCCTCAGATTTCAGCCTCCTGAGTACTTATGATTATAGGCATGAGTCACCAGCACCAGGCTAATTGCTCTTCAGCTCAAGGCAAGCGCTCTACCACTTGAGCCATAGTGCCACTTCAGTTTTCTGGTGGTTCATTGGAGATAAGAGTCTCACGGGGACTTTCCTACCAGGCATGCTTTGAACTGTGATTCTCAGATCTCAGCCTCCTGTGTAGCTGGGATTACAGGTGTGAGCAACCAGTGCCCGGCACCACTGATGTTTTCTTAAAGGTAGTTGACAGATACTATACCTCTTTATACTAATGGTTCCTTTATTTTCAGTAATTGAATTTTTTGGGGGCGGAGGGAGTCAGTCATGGGGCTTGAACTCTGGGCCTGGCCACTGTCCCTCAGCTCTTCAGCTCAGGGCTAGTGCTTTACCATTTGAGCCACAGTGCCACTTGCAGTTTTCTGAGTGGTTTATTGGAGACAAGAGTTTCACGGATGGAAGTGGTGCTGTGGCTCAAGTGGTAGAGCACTGGCCTTGAGCTGAAGAGCTCAGGAACAGCGCCCAGGCCCAGAATTCAAGCCCCATGACCGACAAAAACAAACAAACGAACACAGAGTCTTACAGATTTCCCTGCCTGGGCTCGCTTTGAACTGGGATCCTCAGTTCTCAGCCTCTTGGGTACCTAGGATTACAGGCATGAGCCACCAGTGCCTGGCCTAATTGAAATAATATTGATGACTAGTATTTAGAAGATTGCTGTGAAATACGGTCATTTGCCCTTTGCTAGTGTTAGATATTACCTGATCTAAATGTATACTTTTCTTATACTGTCTCAAGAAATGCCCTCAAAATTACAAACTCAGACGGGCTGTGGCAATACTGTAATCCTAGGTATTCTGGAGGCTGAGATCTGAGGATCACAGTTCAAGGCCAGCCTGGTCAGGAAAGTCCTGTTGAGACTCTTTATCTCCAGTTAACCACTCAAAAACCAAAAGTGTAGCTGGGGCTCAAAGTGGTACAGCACTAGCCTTTAGCAAAAGAGCTCAGGGACAGTGCCCAGGCCCGAACTTCAAGCTTCATAATCAACATCAAAACTTTGTTGTTGGTGGTATTTCCTCAGTTCTGGGGCTTGAAATCAGGACTTGGGCACAGTCCTTGAGCTTCTTTTGCTCAAAGCTAGTATTCCACCGCTTGAGCCACAGTGCCACTTCCAGATTTTTCTGTTTATGTAGTGCTGAGGACTTGAATCCAGGGCTTCATGTGTGCCAGGCAAGCACTCTACCACTAAGCCACGTTCCCAGACTGTTGGTTTCTTTTTTGTTTTTGTTTTTTGTCAGTACTAGAGCTTGAACTCTAGGCATCATGCTCTTACCAAGCTTTTGGTGATTAATTAGAAACAAGAGTTTCTATGATTTGTCTGCCAGACTGGCAGATATAGTACTTAGATCTTAGCCTCGTGGTAGCTAGGATTATAGGTATAAGCTACCAACACTTATCCTCTTAACTTACTTTAAAATAGTTTACAGGGCTGGGAAGGTGGCTCAGTGGTAGAGTGCTTGCCTTGCAAGCCGGAGGCCCTGGGTTCGATTCCTCAGCACCACATAAGCAAAAAGAAAAAAGCCGGAAGTGGCGCTGTGGCTCCAGTGGTAGAGTGCTAGCCTTGAGCTGAAGAGCTGAGGGACAGTGCCCAGACCCAGAGTTCAAGCCCCACGACCGGACCCAAAAAAAAAAAAATAGTTTACAGAACAGTTATTACATTTTCATTCAATTTCTTGATTATTTGATCAAGAAAATTTCTTTGCTGGTATAGTTACAGAGAAGATTTTTTTTTTTTAATTTTTTAATTGTTATTATAAAGGTGATATGCAGAGGAGTTAGAGTTACATAAGTCAGATAAAGAGTACATTTCTTTTTGGACAAGTTACATAAGTCAGATAAAGAGTACATTTCTTTTTGGACAAGGTTACCCCTTTCCCTTGCTCGAGAAAGATGTTTGAATGTATTTGTGCTGTTGTTTTTCTCCATATAGTAGACATGGGAATTAGCAACATGATATATACAGATGAAGGAAATGATAGTGAAACTAGAATGGCCGAGGTATTTGGGCATTGTTTGTTTTGAATGATTTCATTAGAATTCGTCGTTTTCAAGGCACTGGTCTCCTGTCAGGAGCACTCTGGATGGTATAACTGTCATCTTAGTTTTCGTGGTTTGTGTGTTCTCCATGTAGGTTCGGAGGCATGTAAGTCCTCTCCAGGAAGCACTGAGCAGATGGCTCCAGGAGACAGCACGGGGTATATGGAAGTTTCTCTGGACTCATTGGATCTCCGTGTCAGAGGAATTCTGTCCTCCCAAGTGGAGAGTGAAGGTTGGTGTTGGAGCTGTGACCAGACCATCTTGCTCTGTTTTCTGGTCCAGACCTCTGTCAATAGTCTGATGTAGTAGTCTATGTCAGTAGACAGTTTGATCAAATACCTCAAAGGGGATATAAAATGGTTGATGATTTCCCAGAGGTGGTTGACTTTCCTTGTCTGTCTGAAGTTTAGTGCACAAAATATGTTAGCTATGACTTGCATTACTCAAGTCAAAGGTAGAAAGTAAGGGAGACCTCCAAGAGCACAGTAGCAGGAACTTGTTGGTTTGAGTCCCTATGGGTTGTGCCTTGTAAGTTTGCCTCACTGTGTGCAGCACATGCAGTGTGCAGCACATGCTGTGTGCAGAATTCCTAACAAAAAGGTGCCATTCTCTGGCTGTAGGAGAGAGTGAGTGGCGTCTTGTGAACAGGATGATTCTGATTCTAACTCTGATTGGCTGTGGCTTGTCTTTTGGTTGGGGTTGAGTTGAAGGTCTTCAGTGTGCTCTGAGGTAAAGTGAACTGCCCATGTGGTGCTGTCTTTGGTACAAAATAACAGCCAAAATTTGTAAATTTAACTGCAAAAGACAAAGAGAGGTAAGTACAAGAGAAAGAATGTTCAGTACCAAGTTAGACAGGTAGAGAAATAAAAGGCAAATGTGTAATGGCTTCTTCGGTTTCTAGGGCATTTTATAACATTTACTTATCTGTAATTAATCATCACAGATTGATTAGTCAGTGATTGGTCTGTTCAACATGATAGTACTTTAGTGACTCCACACCTTGAGGAGACAAGTGGAGCATTGTCCAATTATGTACACACTTGAAGTGTGAGTAGGAACTCCTAGGGGAGATAATGGGCTATGAGTAGGAACTCCTAGGGGAGGTAGTGGGGTGTGGAGTAGGAACTCCTAGGGGAGATAGTGGGGTGTGGAGTAGGAACTCCTAGGGGAGGTAGTGGGGTGTGGAGTAGGAACTCCTAGGGGAGATAATGGGCTATGAGTAGGAACTCCTAGGGGAGATAGTGGGGTGTGGAGTAGGAACTCCTAGGGGAGGTAGTGGGGTGTGGAGTAGGAACTCCTAGGGGAGGTAGTGGGGTGTGGAGTAGGAACTCCTAGGGGAGATAGTGGGGTGTGGAGTAGGAACTCCTAGGGGAGGTAGTGGGGTGTGGAGTAGGAACTCCTAGGGGAGGTAGTGGGGTGTGGAGTAGGAACTCCTAGGGGAGGTAGTGGGGTGTGGAGTAGGAACTCCTAGGGGAGGTAGTGGGGTGTGGAGTAGGAACTCCTAGGGGAGGTAGTGGGGTGTGGAGTAGGAACTCCTAGGGGAGGTAGTGGGGTGTGGAGTAGGAACTCCTAGGGGAGGTAGTGGGGTGTGGAGTAGGAACTCCTAGAGGAGATAGTAGGGTGTGGAGTAGGAACTCCTAGGGGAGATAGTGGGGTGTGGAGTAGGAACTCCTAGGGGAGATAGTAGGGTGTGGAGTAGGAACTCCTAGGGGAGGTAGTGGGGTGTGAGTAGGAACTCCTAGGGGAGGTAGTGGGGTGTGGAGTAGGAACTCCTAGGGGAGGTAGTGGGGTGTGGAGTAGGAACTCCTAGGGGAGGTAGTGGGGTGTGGAGTAGGAACTCCTAGGGGAGGTTGTGGGGGAGCTGGGGGTTTGGACAACGGTATAGGTCTTAGGAGTCTGCTAAGGTTGGGCAGCAGGAACTGATGGCAGTTCAGGTTGTAGTTCAAGGATGTTGAAGCTTGAGCTGTAGGCTTAGAAGCATATTTGTGCTGAGATCAGAGGTTTCTTCTTGCATTAATTTTTCTCGTTTTCTGCTTATAAGTGTGCTGGGAAGAGGCCGGGAGCTGGTGACAGTGGCAGTGCTGGGGAGAAGGAGAGGCTGAGCATGTAGGGGGTTACAGCAGTTGTTTCTCTTAATGTCCTTTTAGTTCCTTGCTGCTGGAAACTGGAGCACACACAAAGCCACACGTGTCTGTACATATAGATTATTTGTTTGTTTGTTTGTTTATTGTCAGTTGTGGGGCTTGAACTCTGGGCCTGGTGGCTGTCCCTCAGCTCTTCAGCTCAAGGCTAGCACTCTAACACTTGAGCCACACAGTACCACTTCCAGTTTTCTGGTGGTTAATTGGAGATAAGAGTCTCATAGACTTTCCTACCCAGAAACCGTCATCCTCAGATCTCAGCCTCTTGAGTAGCTAGGATTACAGGTATGAGCCTCTGGCGCCAGACCTAAGTGTAGATTGTGGGTTCTCTGGATTAAAAAGCTCAAGCTTCTCAGCTACATATGGTCTGCACAGTGGAAAGATAGTTGTTCTGACCACTCCTTCAAGCATTTTTGTATCTATTCTTCATGAAAAGGTGAAGTTTTTTGAGCAAGGTCAAAGGTGGCATACAACCAGCCTAAACTATAAATGATTCTAATTTGATTTTTGTCTGGGACTTCCTGATTTTTTTGGTAGGTATGGTTACCCCAGAGGCTAGACTAGAAAGTCAGGCAGCTGGAGCTGGTATGGCTGTTACTCTCTCCTTTATTAAAAATTCAAGCTCTCAGTTGTTTTCCCAAGGTAAGGAGCTGGGTCTGGGAGCGACACCAGATTACTAACAGGCTGGAAACTGAATAGTGGTGGCCTTCCTGGGTGAAGGTGAACCCACTGGCTCAGATGCTCGTAGACTGACTGAAGCACCATGCACGTGTGGAGAATTTGAGTGATTTGTGGATTACAGTTTCAAGCCAAAAGTAGCTTGGGGCCCCCTGAGGGATGCAAGGAAAGGCTTGTATAGGGCAGATAAGAAAGTGAACGAGAAAGGTTACAGAACCTGTTCTGCCCTGCTAGTAAAGAAGTCTCCCAGTAAATCAGTGACGACTTTCGACTGGGTGGACTTAACTTTCATTTTTCTATAATACTTAATGGTAAAAGAAATAGCCCAAAGTTTCTCTAGTGTTTGTGAAGCAAGCAAAATCTTAAGTGTCCTCCATGGCTTAACTGACCCGGTCTGATCCCGTGATTCTTCAAGCCTGGTCCCTAGTTTAACTTGCTTTAGCAATCTTTTTTTTTTTTCTTCAGTTGTACAGCTTGAACTCATGGCCTGGGCGCTGTCCTGGAGCTTTTTTCTCAAGGCTAGCATTCTACCACTTTAAGCCACAGGGCTACTTCTGGTTTTCTGGTAGTTAGAGATAAAGTCTCATGGACTTTCCTGCCCGGGCAGGCTTTGAACCGCGATCCTCAGATCTCAGCCTCCTGAGTAGCTAGGATGACAGGCATGAGCCACAGGCCTGGCAGTAGTCTATTTTTAGATGTGAATATAAGCACTAGTTGTTTTTAATTTAGAGAGGAAATAATGACTACTTGAACCATGGATCCACCTTCTGTTTCTGCTCTCGAATGTTTCACAGGAAAGAGGTCATTGACGGCTCCAGCTTCCTTTGGAGGTAGCAATCCTTGTAGACACTCCTTAGATTCCAGGATCTTTCTAGCAGCCACCATCTCCTGCCCTTGCCTTTTCTGGCTAGGCAGGCTCTGCCCGCCTGTACCTTCCTTCCCATGGGCAAGGTGGATTCTAGCTCTGCTACGCTCAGTTTTTGCTTCCTGCCTCATCACTTGTCCCTCCCTTAATATAAACTATAGCTTGTAAGTGCCATATAATTACCATACTTAGCAGCAATTATCCCCTATTTTATTTTAGTTTTTTTCCAACTTTTCTTTCAGCCTAATACGTGGGCTCTCTAGATGATGGTAGTGGCAATAGTGTCCTAGACAATAAAACATTATTAAAACCTGACAAATTTCTTTTTGTGGGCATAATTTTAAAACCTAGTGAGGAAAATAAGGTGTCAATATGTTTGAAATGCTTCTTTGTATGAAAGAAAATTTAGGAGTTGCTGATGAATATGCAGCCTCTCCTCTGACTTGTGGCCTAGGTCTTGAGAACGTGGGTAGGAAGTCATTCTTGAGGACTCGCACGCACATGCCATGCGGCGTGTCTGGGAGAGGCACAGCATGCTCCTTGTGTCATGTCATGGTTGGTGTCAAGCAGCATTGGACACCTCCCATAGAGGAGTACTATTATGCAACACAAGGCATTACTCTTATTTCCATGTCTTTGAGGGCACTATGAAGACCGATTGTTCTCTGCACTCTTTGTAGTTAGGGCTGCGTGAGCTGATGTGTGTCTGTGTGACTTAGGGCTGGCCAATGGTCCGGACGCCCTGGAGACGGATGGCCTTCAGGAAGTGCCTCTATGCAGCTGCCGCATGGAAACACCTAAGAGCCGCGAGATCAGCACCCTGGCCAACAACCAGTGCATGGCCACCGAGAGCGTGGATCATGAAGTAAGCCTGTTCATCTCACTTAACACTTGAGCAAGAACTGTTATGCCCCAGAAGCACAGCCTTCCTGTTAAGCTCCAGCCATAGTATTATGAGATAGGAAACCTTTTCAGACTTCCCACAGGACTGGTGGACAGCCATTAATAATAATCAGTTATTAAAATGAGAACTAGGAGCTTCTCTAAAGAAGATAGGATATAAAATAGCCCATATTCTTTCTTTTATGACTATGGTTTTTTGGGGGGGGGGTTGGTTTTTTTTTTGGTCCGTCATGGGGCTTGAACTCTAGGCTTGGGCACTGTACCTCAGCTCTTCAGCTCAAGGTGAGCGCTCTACTGCTTGAGCCACAGCACCACTTCTGGTTTTCTAGTGATTTATTGGAAATAAGAGTCTCATGGACTTTCCTGCCTGGGCTGGCTTTGAACCTCGATCCTCAGATCTCAACCTCTTGAGTAGCTAGGATTACAAGCGTGAGCCACTAGCGCCCAGCTATGACTATGTTTTTATAGAAATCCTTACTGCATGCACTGTATTTGATGTTGGTATAATTTGTGGAGGGGAAGGGAAAAAACAAATTGTTTAAATAGAGATACAGGTGAACCCATCGCAACAATGAGATGTACAAGACATTATATCGAAAAACGAACTTTACAACTTTGGCATTGGGGGGCTTAGGGGATGGTAAGGGATGGTAAGGGGAAACAAAGGAGGAGGCAACAAAGCTTGATAAGAATGTGCTCATGGGGCTGGGAAGGTAGCTCAGTGGTAGAACACTTGCCTTGCATGCATGAGGCCTTGGGTTCGATTCCTCAGCACCACATAAGCAAAAAGAAAAAAGCCAGAAGTGATGCTATGGCTCAAGTGGTAGAGCGCTAGCCTTGAGCTGAAGAGCTGAGGGACAGCGCCCAGGCCCAGAGTTCAGGCCCCACGATTGGACCCAAAAAAAGAAAAAGAAATGTGCTCATTACCTTGCTCATGTAATCGTAACCCCTCTGTATGGTATTTTCACAATTAAAAAAAAAACAAAACCTTACTCCTGCTACATACCACTTTTTGTCCTCCACCATTTTGAACCACTGTTTTAAAGCAAACCTATTTTATCACTAAATGTCTCAGGACTTTTCCCCCTCATCTTGTGTGTGTTTTTTTGTTTGTTTGTTTTGTTTTGTTTGCTGGTCCTTAGACATAAACTCAGGCCTAGGTGCCTGAGCTCTCCCTTTTGAGTCACAACATAACTCCATTTCTGGCTTTTGGTGATTAATTGGAGATAATGTCTCACAGACTACCCAGGCTAGCTTTGTACCAGAATCCTCAGATCTCAGCCTCCGGAGAGCTAGGATTATATGCTTGAGCCACTGTTGGCTGGCGATACCTTTTTTTTTTTTTAAAAAAAAAAACAAAAGGTTGGTCCTGGGGCCAGGCACTGGTGGTTCCTGTGTATAATCCTAGCTACTCCGGAGGCTGAGATCTGAGGATGGTGGTTCAAAAGCAGCCCAGGCAGGAAAATCCGTAAGATTTTTATCTCTAACCACGAGAAACTCAGAAGTGGAGCTGTGTCAGTACTGGGGGTGGCTTAAACACAAGGCTTGGGTGCTGTCTTTTAAGTTTTTCTGTTCAAAGCTAGCGCTCTACCCTTTGAGCCACAGCTCCACTTCCAGTTTTTTCTGGTGGTTAATTGGAGGTAAGAGTCTCACAGATCTTATTGCTCAGGCTGGCTTTGAACTGCAATCCTCAAAATTCAGTCTCCTGAGTAACTAGGATTATAGGTATGAACCACCAACACCTGGCCATATTTTGATTACTTTAAAACAGTTTTGGGAATTGATTTCAAGGCCTCATACTTTCTTGTTTCTCTGCCACTCTCCCTACTGGGCTACAGCCCTCTTACTTGTGTTCCTTGTGTTGCTTTGGGAATGGCAGGCCTGTGCTGTGGCACTCAGCCCCTGTGCTTGCCCAGCCAGTGACTGAGGAGGGAGACTTGTGAACGTTTAAGGTTGGACTTGAACTGCAGTCCCCCCAGTCTCTGCCTCAAAGGATTATAGGCTTAGGCTACCATGCCTGGCTCGAGATATATTTCTATTAAGGAAAAAGAAAAAAAAGAAAACATTTCCTTATGTTACATGCAACAAGTCCAAGTTTCTTTTACTAAGTAGTATCTTGTCCACAGTAAAATGTTTGTAAGGAAAAAATGCCTTTTTACAATTTTTCTCATGAGATCCATATAGATTCCACTCATCATATTTGTTGCAGAGTCTTGAAAGCCTTTTATATCTCTGGATTAGAAAATCCAGAATGTTCTCTATCATTCTTCTAGTTCCCTGAGTCACTGACCTGCCAGGGAAACTGGATCCGAGATTCTGAAGTTAGCTGATGGCTTTCTTGTGCTATTTAAGTTGTGCTCCTTATGAGCAGGTCTAATTTTTTTTTGGGGGGGGGGATCCGGTCGTGGGGCCTGAACTCTGGGCCTGGGCGCTGTTCCTTAGCTCTTCAGCTCTAGGCTAGCGCTCTACCACTTGAGCCACAGCGCCACTTCCGGCTTTTTTTCTTTTGGCTTATGTGGTGCTGAGGAATCGAACCCAGGGCCTCATGCATGGAAGGCAAGCGCTTTACCACTGAGCCACCTTCTCAGCCCAAGCAGGTCTAATATTTTAAACTTAGGTTATTTAATGGTGGCAGGTATGCTTTGGAGGGCATACAGTGAGGCAGAAGATACATTCGTGTGAATTGGGGTTTCTTCAGCCACCACCTGTTCCACATCAGTCTTTCACTTAACGAATTTAACTTCTGCTGTGACCACTGCCTGAGTCTGTGACTTCATTACAAGTTGCAGTTGTATGGATCTGTCATTTTGCTTTTAAGTAGTAGCTAGAATTCTTTTACAACCTTTCCCTCATCTGCTGGGGTGATCTAACATCCCTGAATAGGCTTCACATTGGGTAGGCAGAGTGCATAGCTACATGTCTTCTTCGTAGAGAAGTGCATTGTGCTCTGGACTCGTGATATGCAGTGACTTGTTTTGCTTCTCTCCTTTCCCTTCCACTTCTCTTCCTTCTGTAGCAATTATAGGAACTCATGGTCTTCTCTGAATCATATATGTTGTATACTAGATCCAGTTGACCACAAAACAAATGTGAGGTGAGTCCATCTCAGGTGAGGTCTGATAGCACCAGCAGAAACGGATGCCCTTGCCCAGTCTGCCTGCTCCTCAAAGTTTCTACTTTCTGTATTCTGTGACCTCCTGCACTCAGGTTGCAGTTCAGCTGTTTCTTGGCAAAACTGCAGCTTGGTTTGTAGCCAGGGTCAGATCAGTTCAATTGTTTGCAAGACTATAGGGAAGCTGGCTCAGGCCAGAGCATGTGACAGCTGTCTGATCACCCCCCCCCCTTTTTTTTTTTTTTGCTGCTAACAGCTACCAATGACTATGTTTATCATGCATTGGGAGGAGGGGGACGGTGTTCTGAGAGGGTATTCTCCTAGTTCTGGCACTGATTGTGCACTTTTGGCCAGAATGTCTCATTTGTGTCTCATTATGCAGTGGTTTACCTTTCAAAGGCAAGGTAGGTAGAGGTTGTCTTATTCCATATTTACTAGTCTTTAAAACACAGATTTTATTCTCCAACAGATCCTGGACTTGACCAGTTTGTCCTTTTAAAATACCATGATCTCTCCAGTGGCAAACAGCATACATGATTCTTTTAAAAAAAATTGTATTGGGATTAAGTGATTACATAAATTTTACAGTATTGTGGGATAGTGATACTTAGCTAAAGTCACAAACACATTTTAACTGTCACAAGGTGAATTGTAATTATCATGGTCTATAAAGTTTATGAATTCTATGAACTTTGACTCTACCTCTGACAGTACCTTTCTTTCCTTCCGCTTAGTGTCAGCTGTTCCCTCTTTCCCTCTCTCTTTCCCTCCCTCCCATTGCTGCCCTTGAGTTGCTTAGTTCACTTTCATCAATGTCCAGTACAGCTGATGGACTCCTCTGCCATATTTTTTTACCCATTTCCCTCTGATTCTGTGCTCTCCTCCTAGCTTCCCTCAGATGTGCACACATACATGGATTCTTGTAGTACTTCTGCAGGGTATTGCTGTTTCCAGGCCCCTGTGACTGCTGTCGCCCCCTTAGTTGTTCCTGTCTGCTCAGAAGCCAGCTCTTCACACTCAGCTACTGGGGAGAGAAAGGTCCATCATCTTAGACACACACACACACACACATCCTTCAAGCAAACACTCTTCCACATATTCACACCCAAAGTTTGGCACTGGATTGTAACCCGTGGGCACTAACGGGCCACCCAGGTCCCTTGGATTTATGAAAATCTGTAGCACCAGAAGGGGAAGTCTGGAATCTACAAAACAATATGTATACATTTTCAGTCAGCTTACACTCACAACCCTTGTTGCAATGTATACAGTGGCACTGTACGGGAATGTAGAAAGAAGAGTAGAGTCCTATCAGAAGAACTTAGTACTAGAAATCAAGGCTGGTTCAAGTCCTTATTTCCTGTGCCTAGCCGGTTCTGGACACTATAGGCCTTCAATTTATAAAAGGTGTCAACAGCTGTAGATCTGTTGGGTGAGATAAAGTCATCAGAGTCATCTGAAATCTTTATCAAAGTATATAAAAGTGAGCTAGGAAAGTGGCTGGGAAGCCCTAGGTTCGATTCCTTAGTGCCACTTAAGCAGAAAAAGCCGGAAGTAGCACTGTGGCTCAAGTGGTAGAACGCTCACCTTGAGTTGAACAGCTGAGGGACAGCGCCCAGGCCCAGAGTTCAGGCCCCACGACCAACCCCCCAAAAAAGGGACGGGAGGGGAAAATGAGGTAGAACAAGGGAAAGGGTGACATTGACCAAGAAACATTGTACTCATAGCCTGACTTACAGAATTGCAACTTCTTTAATCACAGAAATGATTAAAAACTACTTAATAGCCAAAAAAAAAAAAAATTGCCATGTATTTCAACCTATTTAGTAGGATTACTTCTTTGTTATTAATGCTTAGATATCCCCAGCCTTGGACCAAGATGAGACCTTCTTCCTAGTGACTCTTTTATTAGGTGGGGTAAGGAGAGTGGGATCTGTGAGGTCAAAAGTATTTTCTCCGGAGCTGGGAAGGTGGCTCAGTGGTAGAGCGCTTGCCTCTCATGCATGAGGCCCTGGGTTCAATTCCTCAGCACCACATAAGCAGGGCGCTGTGGCTCAAGTGGTAGTGCACTAGCCTTGAGCTGAAGAGCTGAGGGACAGCACCCAGGCCCAGAGTCTAGGTCCCACAACACACCCACACACACCCAGGCCCCACAACGGACACACACACACACACCCAGGCCCAGAGTCCAGGCGCCCCCCCCCCCTTCCCCCCACGTATTTTCTCCATGAACTAACTAGAGGTTATATGTACTTACTACTTGGTGGTTTAGTTCCTTTACTGTTAGAGTCATTCAAGGGTGAGTCATTGATTACCTTCTAATTCTCTGCAGTTTTCCCTCAGCCCCTGCTCAGTCTAGACCACTGTGGTTTTGAGTCTTCAGTGTCTGGGTTCTCCAGACTTGTGCACTGATGTGCTAGGGAAGGGCACTTCTGTATTTCCTTTCTGGAATCATTGAAGCATTTTCCCCCTTGGAGTTAATAATGCCTTGTTTTGCCCTTTTTGTTTTCTATCTATCTATTGTATAAACTAGTACACTAGTAAGGTTGATGTCTTTATGGCCATCTTCACATCCATCTCGTGTCCTGTTGGCCACACTTGTTTAGCTCACTCTATTGGGGGAGCATAAGCAACCAGAAAGGTTGCTTGGGAGAGAACTGTTTTGAGACTTTGTGTTCTGAAATGTTATATGTCATTTAATGGACATTTCGTTTATTGTTTTCAACCACATTTTTGCATCTGAGAACATTTATTGACAGTGTTTCTTGCATGCACCTCTCCCTTGTTCTTATTTTGACTGGTTACATGTGTGTGTATCTTGAGGCTTGAACTCTGGAGCTGAATACTGTCCCTTGAGCTTTTTTGCTCAAGTCTAGTGTTCTACCACTTGACACAGCTTCACTGTTGTTTTTTAAGTGGTTAATTGGAGCTAGAGTTTCACAGACTTGTCTAAGCTAGCTTCAAACTGTGATCCTCAGGTCTCAGCCTTTTGAGAAGGCTAGTTAGCCACCAGGACCTAGTTTTTCATCTAGTTTATCTTAAACTCTGCTAGGCAATGTGGCTTCAATAAAGAGATCAGTGTGTTGGTGTATTTGCCATTGCCACCCTTACCAACTTCTCTGCATCATTGGGCAGTTTAGCACAGAATAAAAGAGTCCTCACCTGTGGATATACTGGGCTGTGCTGTAGAGCAGTTGTAGCATAGGCTGTGAGTTTTTTTTGTTTTGTTTTTTTGTTTTTTTTTTTGAGGGGGAGTCCAGTCGTGGGTCCTGAACTCTGGGCCTGGGCGCTGTCCCCTCAGCTCTTCAGCTCAAGGCTAGCGCTCTACCACTTGAGCCACAGTGCCACTTCTGGCTTTTTTTTTCTTTTTTTTTTTTGCTTATGTGGTGCTGAGGAATCGAACCCAGGGCCTCAGGCATGCAAGGCAAGTGCTCTACCACTGAGCCACCTTCCCAGCCCCATGGCTGTGAGTTTTTTGCCTGGGGCAGGGACTACAACAGTCTAGAGCTGGTCTAGACCTTACTGCCAGGTCTCAGGGGCACCAGTAGTAGAGGATCAGGAAGTTAGCTGATATAAGTAAGCCAAGTGAGAAATCCAAGTTAGAAAAATCTGGTACTAGTCAGGCGCCTGTGGCTCACGCCTGTAATCCTAGTTACTCTGGAGGCTGAGATATGAGGATTGCGGTTCAAAGCCAGCCCGGGCAGGAAACTCCATGAGACTCTTATTTCCAATAAACCACTAGAAAACCGGAAGTGGTGCTGTGGCTCAAGCGGTAGAGCACTCACCTTGAGGTGAAGAACGCAGGGACAGCTCTGAAGCCTAGAGTTCAAGCCCCATGACCGACCAAAAAAAAAAAAGAAAAGAAAAACCTGGTACTACTCAGGGTCTTCAGGAGAATGGCCTGAAGGGAAAGCAAAGGAAAGGTACCCTGCAGACAGATACTGATCAGGTATTATGTGCTCACCTCACTTGTGTTCTAGTAAACCAACACTAAGAGCTTACAAATTCTGAGTATCAGGTACTCTGAAGATTTATTACCATTTTTGTTGGGTATAAGAATGGTTTGAAAGGATACTAATGGCTTATAAGAAATAATACATTTTGAGTGATTTATGGACAAAACAAAAGATTTTGGGCTGGGGTTCTATAGCTCAGTGGTAGAGTGTTTACATAGCAGCCACAAGTTTGGGTGTAATTCTTTGTCTCTAACTCAATCACCAAGTCAACCACTGCAACAACAACAACAACAAAAAAGATGTGATTTCACTCTTAAATACTCCATCCACTGTCAAGCAAATAGATTATGAGGAATGGCTCAGATGAAAATGGAAAATATTAGCCAGGTGCAGGTGGCTCAAGCCTATAATCCTAGCTACTCAGGAGGCTGAAATCTGAGGATTGAGGTTCGAAGCCAGCCTAGGCAGAAAGTCCCTGTGAGATTCTTATCTCCAATAGACCACCAGAAAACTGGAAGTAGTGCTGTGGCTCAAGTGGTAGAGCACTTGCCTTGAGCTGAAGAGCTGAGGGATAGTGCCCAGGCCCAGAGTTCAAGTCCCATGAAAAAAAAGAAAATGGAAAAATGTTAGCAATTTTTTAAATTAGATGTGGGCTTATGGGTTTTGTTATACTTTGTCTCTATTCTTAAAACTTACCCCCCCCCCAAAAAAATAAAAAAGTTTAACAAAATATTGATGGGCTCCAATGCTGATTAGAAGGTCTTGGGGCTTGAACTCAGGGCACTGTCCATCAGCTTCTTTTGCTTAAAGCTAGCAATCTGCCACTTTAGCCACAGTGCCACTTCTGGCTTTTTCTGTTTAAGTGGTACTGAGGAATTGAACCCAGGGCTTCATGAATGCTAGGCAAGCACTCTGCCACTGAGCCACACTCCCAGCCCCTGACAGGAAGTTCTTTGCAGCAGAATGGAGGCCAAGTTTGGGCTCTGCCATGTCTGCTCCTCTCATAAGCCAGCCCCCTCTCCCTTGCTCTTGAGTCTGCTTGAGCTCTTACACCTGGGTCCTGCCCGAAGGCGGGCAGGTTTGAGTCCTCTCTGTTTTGACAAGTAAATGCTTTCTCTGTTGCTTTCCATATTGTGGGGACACTTGTGGCTCATCTTGTGTTGGATCAGCTGTGGGCTCCTGAGTATGCATGTCCCAATCCTCTCCCTTCCAAGTTTGGTCTGGGGCTATGGGGTGATGCCCTGTCATTTTGTAAAAGCCTGGGTGAAGTCCCATGTGCCCTCACTCACTGGCTTTCATGTTTGTTGTTCTGTTATGGCAGTGGCCTTGTCCTTCTGGATGAGTAAAACCACATCCTCAGATGGAGTTTTAGGAAAAGAGTATACATAAGGAAGTTTTTGATTTCATATTTCCACTTTGAAAGTTTCCAGAAACTTTGTGCTATGTCTCGTTCAGCCTGCCTCATGGGTTCTGCCTCTGTTTGCAGAGCTCATGGCCACCAGCTCACCTTTGCAGCCTGGCTGAGCAACAGCATTACGCCAGCAGAGCGGAAGAGTGCTAGAGGCCATTTATGTCTCATTCGTTTTGGGGGCATTGGTAGTAGTGCTTTTGTGAATTGCCACTCAATTCTTTACCCTCTTTCTTCTCTTCCTGCTGAGCTTTTGTTTCGTTTTGTTTTCTTGCTTTCAGAGACGTTTACATAGTAAACCAGCACTCTGCAAAGGTCACTCTTGGCCTCGCATATTGCAGCATGTAGGAATGTCTTGGATATCTTCATGCAGAGCAGCCTTTGCCTCCGTGATGATGGCCATGGCTTGCTTAGCCTGGTCCTTTTAGGACCTCCATTGCCCACGTCCCTCAGGCAGGCCAAGGAGACTTGGTTCCTCTGTTTCTTGAAACTCAGCTGTGACCCCATATCCAGGACCTTCCAGCTGCTCCAAGTTTCTTAGAGGCTAATTGTACTGTTGTCTAATGCTTACCTAGGATGACCTGGGCTGTCCTGCCTGGCACATGTTCATTGTACAGACTCCGTTCACCTTGATTTCTTTGATTTCTGCCTGAGTTAAGCACCTGATTCTCTGAATGTGGTACCTGGCTACCTTCTTGCACAAGTTAGGCAGACACTGGTGGCTTCCTCTTAGGTTCCCACTGCTGATGGTGTGTGACAGATGCTTGATGTGTGCTCATGAGTGCAGGCCCCTCTCGCAAGCTCACAGCTCCTTCCATCAGACTCCCCCCCTCCCCCCCCCCCCCCCCACACACACACACCTCCTGTGTGTTGGGCAGCTCCTAGTGCCTAGGGTGTGGAAAACTGTCTCCTCAAGGCTCTGTCACTGACCCCTGGTCTTGTCTGCTTGCAGCTGGGCCGGTGCACAAACAGCGTGGTCAAGTATGAGCTGATGCGCCCATCCACCAAGGCGCCGCTCTTGGTGCTCTGTGAAGACCACCGGGGCCGCATGGTGAAGCACCAGTGCTGTCCTGGCTGCGGCTACTTCTGCACAGCGGTAAGAGCCCAGCTTGCTCACAGGGCCCCCCGCGCTTCTTCTGTTGAGCCTAACTCATCCCTGCTGAGACTAATCTGGTTTCAAGTCTGGGGCTCACCCAAGGAAGTCTCCAGGATTCTGCAAGCTCCTCACTGCAGCTTTTGAGCTTCTTGTTGTAGATAATCAATCCTCTCTCCCCTAGGAGCCTACCTCTCGCTGCCTCAGTCACACATACTTACAAGGTGCCTGACACCTGGCTCTATTCATTTGGCTCTGTGATTCCTCGTTGAGTGTGGGGGAGAGGCAGGCCTTCTCCCTCTTGGTGTGCTCTTTTCTGTTGCTGCCAGGATCTTGCTGACTTCGTTCATCAGTAATCTGTCAATATGCAGGACCTAAAACAGGCTTCTTCCTATAATAGCTCATCTATCCTACAGGTGCCCTGCTACCCTTCATCTCTTGGGCTTGTCCTTGGATTCTCCACCTTGAATCCCTTTAAGCCTTCTACTCCTCATGTCCTTTTGTCTCCAGCTCTACGCAGTAGTAGCTGTCCAGCTGTCCTCATCATGCATCTGACTCAGGCCCACTGAAATGCCAGCAACTTCCTCCTTTTGACACAAGACTTTTGTTCTGTTTCCCTACCATCCCGAAGAGCACAGGCTCTGAACTGTGTCTTCTATGTCGCTCTTGCTTGTTCACAGTAGCTGGACTAAAGGCCTTGGCCGTCGTTGGTGGTAGTGGAGAAGGGATGGCAGTGAGGTGGCCTCTGCTGTCTACACCCCTTCTAGGAGTATTTGCAGACTCACTTGTTCCTTCTGCTCTGTCCTGCTGTAGCTGGGTGAGAACTGGGCCCCTGCCCACTTGAGTTGCTTGCTTGGCCCAGCTGGTTCAGTAGAACTTTGAGCTTTTTCCTTAGCCCTGACTTTTCACAGTGGTTTCATCTTCCCATTTCTAGGGTAACTTCATGGAATGTCAGCCTGAGAGCAGCATTTCTCACCGTTTCCATAAGGATTGTGCCTCTCGAGTCAACAATGCCAGCTACTGTCCCCATTGTGGGGAGGAGACCTCCAAGGCCAAAGAGGTGACCATAGCAAAAGCAGACACAACCTCTACGGTGATGCTGGCCCCTGGGCAGGAGAAGAGCATGGTCACCGAGGGCAGGGCTGACACCACCACGGGCAGGTACAAAGAGGCTCTGGCTGAGCTTTCCACACAGTATCTTTGAAGGTGTGTTTTGTTGTTAGAGGTTTTTTGCTGCTTTATGCAGAAGTCTCAACCACCTCTGGCACTCACTGTGATTTCTGGCAACTAAACAACACTGATGTTCACTTATTGTCATTTGCACATGGGTCTATGTCAGTGTGGTTTTGTAGATTCGTGTACCTGTTTTGAATCAGTTTTCATGCTGCCCTAACTGGTGTGGCCTTACAGTGTTGTGTCTCTACTGTAGTCCCTATAGGTAGCTGTTTTGTTCCTTGAAATCCTGTCAGCTGCTCCTGTTCCCGCTGTCTGCTTGGCATAATGTTGAAGGCCCTTCCTGACAGGATGAATATCTAAAAGAATTAAAATGTTCCTACAGACACACAATGGCCTTCCTAAGATAACCTAATAGGAATAGTTGAAGAATTTTATAGTTGGTGGGAGGTGCTGAGAAGGTAGAACAGATACCACAGTTAGCCGTCCCACCAGCCATGTCCTGCAAGGAAGTAGGTGAAGAGTCTTTTCAGGACAGTGACAAAACCTATGAGCTCTACCCAGCAGACGGTGGAAAATAACTTAATGAACATCATAGTGATAGAAAAACTTTATTGAAGGTCACCTAAAGGATTCAAGGTGTGGAGACCTCAAAACTAAGGGTTGGGGAGGTGTCTTTGCCTTCCTGTTGATCTGTGAACTCAGTGTACCTACAGTCACAGCTCTGGGAACTTCCTTCTGTTGAGGAAGGTAGTAGCCAACCTAAATTTTGTCCATAAAAGCAAGTGTGAGTGAGCATGTTGCCGAGAGCCCTAGAAATGTCCTGACTTTTGAATGTCACATCTCAGGGAACAGGATTCCAAGTGCAGACTGTCTCCACTTATAGGTGGCATTGTGGGCAGGTTGGAGCTGGTGCTGTTACTCTTTTCATTGGTTTCTATGAGAAAGGAACGTCTCCAGTGCTGAGACTCAACGTTTTAATGGTTTCCTCCCCTGAAGCATTGCTGGAGCCACGCTCTCTGAGGACGACAAACCACAGACTACAGTCCCCCAGATGCCCGAGGGCTTTGACTCCACAGGACCACCTGGACTTGTGAGGCCGACTGCTGGCCTTTCCCAGGGACCTGGAAAGGAAACCTTGGAAAGTGCTCTAATTGCTCTGGACTCAGAAAAGTAAGACTTGGTCTGCATTTCAGGGATGATGCAGAGCCTGTGCTTGCCTAAAGGGTCGCTAGTGCTTTTAACTTTTTGAGTAACACTCTTCATTAGAGCTAGTTGTGTCTACCCTGGGAAAATCATAGAAAATTACTGGCCTCTTTGTCATGTTAACAGTACTAGGTAAGATTCTTGAAGTCCTGAGCAAGGACAGTATTGTAAGCTTCACCTGCCCTTCACCTGCCCTTGGGTGACCTGGCTGCACATTGCTAGGGCAGACCCGTCTGCCATCCTACCACATTTGGTGTCCCCCAGCACCCGTGCTGTATGAGGGCTGCACCAGTAAGTCCTCAGACCTACCTGCAAGCTTCCATACCCTGAAGCCCTCCACTGGTCTTCCCTTCCTGGGAACAGGAACAGCCTCACATTGCATGAGGAGGCAGACCAAGCTGCGCACTGAGCTTGCCTTTTCCTGGGAGGAAAAATAGAGCACTTACTCTTATCTAATAGAATTCTGATGCTAATAAGTCCCTCCGCCGGACTTTTAGTCTTCCCCTGTAGCTATTCATTTGTATATCTGCAGTCTGTTTTCTTTTTTTCTGCCAGTCGTGGGGCTTGAACTCAGGGCCTGGCCACTGTCCCTGAGCTGCTTTTGCTTAAGGCTAGCAATCTGCCACTTGAGCCATAGTGCTACTTCTGGCCTTTGCTGTTTACGAGGTACTGAGGAATTGAACCCGGGGCTTCATGCATGCTAGGCAAGCACTCTGCCACTGAGCCACCTTCCCAGCCCTTGTAGCCTGTTTTGTAAGCCTAGTTATGTAATGACTGTTTGACCACAGTTTCTGCCTATGACCTCAGATTATTCCTATCTCTTGTTTAGCAATTTATTAGCTTCAATTTTACAGCAAAGATACCTTGTCTTAGCCCTTGCTGAGCCGGCTCCTTCTTAACTTCTGGAAGTGACTAACATCCCTTGATGATGGCTGTCATCACCCACTCAAAACTGACCTGGGGCCAGGCACCAGTGGCTCATGCCTGTAATCCTAGCTATTCAAGAGGCTGAGATCTGAGGATTGAGGTTCAAAGCCAGCCTGGGCAGGAAACTCCATGAGACACTTATCTCCAGTAAACCACTAGAAAACCAGAAGTGGCGCTATGGCTCAAGTGGTAGAGGACTCGCCTTGAGCTGAAGAGCTGAGGGACAGCACCCAGGCCCAGAGTTCAAGCCCCATGACCAACAAAAAAAAAGAAACTGAGCTGGGCCTGCTGCCACACCTCCATGGCTATGCTGGTGGGGTACTTCATGGCCACACTGAGCATAGATGGGTAGCTCCTCAGGCCTCCCTGATCTACTACAAAGGAGCAGTGTACCTATGACCTGGGTGTAGTCTCTTGTCATATAGAAGCCTAACTACCGGCATACAGCATGTTTATACCATGTTTGTAAGATAATTGCATTCTTTTTGGTGGTATTGGGGATTGAACTTGGGGTCTTGCTCTTGATAAGTAGTTACTCAGCCATTGAGCCACACTTCCAGCCCATTTTTGCACTATTTTCTAGGTGGAAGTCTGCCTACTGTGTTTCCCTGTGCCACTGGGGATGACAGGCATGGACCACAGTGCCCATCTCCAGTCATTGGTTGAGATGGAGTCTCTTAAACTTTTATTCCTGCTGGCCTGTCCTTGAACTGTGATCTCTCTGTCTCTGCCTTCCAAGTAGCTAGAATTGAAGGCTTGAGCCATGGGTCCTAGCCTATTATTATCCTTATCCTACCAGTGCTGGGGCACATGGTAGTTAAATGCTGTACTGCTTGGCTACATCCCCATCCCTGTTTTGTTATTTCACTGGAAAGGGCTTCAGGACTAGAATGTCTGATATATTTCACCTAGAAGAGTTGGCAGGGAGCTGTTAGCAAGTAGGCCTTCAGCTTCCAAGGCCAACAAGGGCTGTGCTGACTGCTGTCCTCTGTTCCCTACAGACCCAAGAAGCTTCGCTTCCACCCCAAGCAGCTGTACTTCTCCGCAAGGCAGGGCGAGTTGCAGAAAGTGCTCCTCATGCTGGGTGAGTGGCAGGAAATGCTCCTCATGCTGGGTGAGTGGCAGGAAGTGCTCCTCATGCTGGGTGAGTGACAGGAAGTGCTCCTCATGCTGGGTGAGTCGCTGGGCTGTGAGCTCCAGAGCGAAAGCAGAGTGGTCCCATTGGATTACCTCTTTTCTCACCAACGTAGTCTTACTTGATCTCTCTGAATCTCATCCTTTCTGGGTTGAAAAAGACAATTAAGCAGCCCTTTGCCTGGCAGCACATTATAAAAGAAGTGAATGAGTTGTTGTTGTTTTTTTAATTTTACTGATTTTTTAATTTTAATTTGCCTCATAGATTTCATACAGTGCTAAGCTGCTTCACTGTTACTCAGTTGGTCTCTTTAACTGCCTGGACTATATAGCAAGACTCTTGTCTCTCAAATCCTCCTCAGTCCCACAAATGGCCAGGTCAATTGTCTCAGGGCCATGGTCCCAATCCTCCATTATTATGTCTCTCCTTGAAGCCTCCTTTGCCCTTATCAGTATCCTTATGGTCCTACTGGAAGCCCAGACAAAGAGCTGGAAGCAAGTGTGCGTTGTGATTACCTCGCCCAGGCCAGACTTCCTGTCGAGTTTCATGCAAAGCTCTTGCGCATCCTTCTTGTTTTAGGAGCAGAAGTGGGCCTGGCCTGGGCAAAGTGGTGTGGTAGGTCTCTCCTGGTTCTGGAGCTAGTGGTCTATCTTGATGATGCTGCCCAGTTTTTACAAGCTTCAGAATGGCACCATGGCTGTGTCTGACATAATTAGTAAACTGTGTTCTTTCACAGTTGATGGAATTGATCCCAACTTCAAGATGGAGCATCAGAATAAGCGCTCCCCACTACATGCTGCAGCGGAGGCCGGACACGTGGACATCTGCCACATGTTGGTTCAGGTTCGGAGATGTGGCTTTCTCAGACCTCTTCTCAGCTCTCCTAATGTTTGTCGCAGTGAAGTGGCACCAGGTCCTCAGTGTGTGACTGAAATGGTTTTGATACCCCTTCCTGTTCTTCCTAACCCTGAAGCTATCTCCTTGTTTGCATTGCTTTCCTGTGACTATCTTAAATGATTTTTAGGTTTAGCTTAGCTTTTTTTTTTTTTTTTTTTTTTTCAAATATTTACTGCCCTCTTACTGCAGAGGATGAGGGTTTACCCAGCTTGGACCTTTCCTTGCCCAACCCACACTGTCTAGTTATATCACCATCATTGTTAAAATCAACCAGAATCTGCTCTATAATTTTGTGATCATGTAAGTAGTTTAACAAAAAAAAATGTGTTTAGGGCACCTGTGGCTTACACTTGTAATCCTAGCTACTCAGGAGGCTGAGATCTGAGGATCCTAGTTCAAAGCCAGCCCGGGCAGGAAAGTCCATGAGACTCTGATCTCAAACCACTAGAAAACTGGAAGTGGTGCTGTGGCTCAATGGTAGAGCGCTAGCCTTGAGCTGAAGAGCTGAGGGACAGCGCCCAGGCCCAGAGTTCAACCCTCGTGACCAAAAATAAACAAACAAAATGTGTTTAAATTTTTAAATTGACTCATAGTAATTGTACCTGTTTAGGGTGCAGTGTGTTGTCACAATACATGTAGAAAATGTATAACGATCAGATCAGGGCAATTGGCCTATCTGTCACCTGAAACATTTATGTTTCTTTTTGTTGGGAACATCTTAAAATGATCTTGTTCTGTTTGGGCTGTTTTGAAATATTCAACTAATTGTGCAAATTTCAGTTACCCTGTTTTGCCGTGAAGTATGATAAATTACTCCTTTTCTTCCACTGTTCGCCTGTGCCCATTCTCCCTCCCTCCCCCCCCCCCCGCCCCCCTTCAGCACTCTGCTCCCCTCCCCATTCTGCTACCTTTCTGCTCTCCACTTCCACATGTAAGTTGAAAACATGGCTGTGGTGGTGTTTGCCTTTCTAGTCCTAACTTATTTCACTTAAGAGCATGTCCTCCAGACTGAAATGTCAAGATTTCATCTTTTTTTCCCCCTGGTGGTATTGGGGTTTAAACTCAGGACTTCATTGTTCACATTTTCTTTATCCATTTTGATGAAGTACATCAAGAGAGATTGAATGAACATCTTGGCTTTTATAAATAGTGCTGCAGCTAAGAATGGGGGTACATCTCTTGAACGTACAGACTTCCTACCTTTGCATATACACCCACTAATAGAGTTTCTATAGCATATGGTATTCTGTTTTTAGCTTTCTGAGAAAACTCCATACTGTCTTCCATAATGGCTGTAGTAATTTGCACTATGGACAATAATGTAAGAGGGTTTCTCTTCCACATCTTGACTAACATTTGTTATTTTTGTCTTTTCAAAAATAGCATTTCAGCCAGGTGTTGGTGGCTTACGCTGGTAATGCTAGCTACTCAGGAGGCTGAGATCTGAGGATCACAGTTCAAAGCCAGCCCAGGCAGGAAACTCCATGAGACTCCAATTTACTACTCACAAAACCAGAAGTGGTGCTGTGGCTCAAGTGGTAGAGCGCTTGCCTTGAGCTGAAGAGCTGAGGGACAGCACCCAAGCTCAGAGTTCAAGCCCTACAACCAAAAAAAAAAAGCATTTCTACTGATGTGAGATGGTAGCTCTTTTATGATTTGGATTTGTATTTCCTTGATGATTAGGGATAATGAAAAATTTGGTTACTGTGGTTTTATAAGTTTATTATTAAGGTACTGTGATGCTCTTAGTTTATGTGTTTGTGTGTGTGCGTGCATGTACGCGCGTGCGTGCCAGTGTGCGTGTGCGTGTGTTTGCCAGTAGGGCCTTAAGGTTTTACTTATTAGCTTTTCTGCTCAAAGCTGATACTCTACCTCCATACGTCTACTTTTGGCTTTTTTCTGGTTAATTGGAAATAAGAGTTCCATTGACTTTTTTTTGCCTGGGCTGGCTTTAAATTGCAGTCCTCAGATCTCAGCCTCTTGAGGACCAAAGGTTATAGGCATGAACCTCTAGCATTCAGCTAGCTAATAGTATGTTGGGTATTTTTTGTCGGTCTGTTTTGGGGCTTGGACTCTGGGCCTGGGCACTGACCTTGAGCTCTTCAGCTCAAGGCTAGCACTCTACCACTTGAGCCACAGCACCACTTCTGGTTTTCTGGTGGTTTATTGGAGACAAAAGTCTCACAGACCTTTCCCCTGATTAGCTAGGATTACAGGAATTGAGCCACTGGTGTCCAGCTGTCTTTTTTTTTTTTCCCCCCCTGTCTTTAAATTGTGTCCTTGTCTAGTCCGGTAATGCAGGCATTATAGATAAGTTGGAAGGATTCCTTACCATTTGTTTCTGAGGAATTGTTTGAGAAGAATTGGCCTTAGTCTTTGAAGGTTTGGTAAAATTCATCGATGAAATTATCCCATACTGGTCTTTTCTTTGTTGGAAGACATATTTTTTTTTACTGGAAGACATTAAAAAACTTATTCAGTTTTTATCAGTCTGTTATTTTTTTAATTTATTTTTAATATCTTAGTCATTTTTTCTTTAATTATATAAAGGAGTTTCCACTTAATAAAGCAGTTTGTGAATATAATATATCTTAATCAATGTCACTTCTTTCAACATTCTCACCCATCCCTCCCCTACCCTCCCCTCCTTCATCATACTTCTCAATTTTGTAGAATATACATTGGATTCTTGTCTGAATTTTCTTCTTCATTAGTCCACTGTTTTCCCCTTGATCCTGCTCTACCCCTTTTCAGTACTTGCTTCCTGGTATTTTATTTTGTTGAACTTTGATTTTGGCTTTCTAAAGAATTACATTATTGGAACTCTCCCTTAAGGCTGTCTTATTTCAGTTAATACATTTGTATATACTTGCATACGACCCAGTGCTTTCTTTGGTTATATTTGTCCAGTTTTGTTCATGGTAGTACTTAATGGTTTTTTACATTTCTATGGTATTGTGTACATATATCCATTTTCATTTCTAATTTTCTTTCTTTTTTTTTTTTTTTTTTTTTTTGTTGTTGTTGTTGTTGGTTATAGGGCTTGAACTCTGGGTCTGAGCATGGGCATTATCCCTGTGCTCTTCAGCTCAAGGCAAATGCTCTATCACTTCAGCCACAGCACAACTTTTGGTTTTCTGGTGGTTTAAGAGTCTCATGGAGTTTCCTGCTTGGGCTGGCTTTAAACCGTGATCCTCAGATCTCAGCCTCCCAAGTAGCTAGGATGACAGGCATAAGCCACCACGCCCGGCTACATGAGACATCATTGCACATCATTGCAGGATGTATAGAGACGAATACTGGGGAGGAACTTGTGCCCTGTGGAACAAGGATTGCAGACGTCACCCAGGTCCAAGAGATACTGTTCTCACTAATGACTCCCTGGCATCTGGGAAGTTGTGTGTCTTTTCTGAGGCTAATCCTAGGAACCAATGAACAGACAAGTAGAAGGAGGACCCCTTTGTATAAAGGAGTTCTTTATAACCTTTGCATAGGTTTGTTTGGGGTCTGACCAACTTGCTACAGCTTACTTCTCAAGCTGGCATTAGGGCTAGGTTCTTACCTGTAGAATTTCCATTGCCAATCTTAGAAGGTTTGTGTCTGTGTCTGAGTCTGAGTCTGTGTCTGAGTCTGTGTCTGTGCCTGAGTCTGTGCCTGTGTCTGTGCCTGAGTCTGTGTCTGTGTCTGTGTCTGTGTCTGTGCCTGTGTCTGTGCCTGAGTCTGAGTCTGAGTCTGTGTCTGTGCCGGTGCCTGAGTCTGTGTCTGTGCCGGTGCCTGAGTCTGTGTCTGTGTCTGTGTCTGTGCCTGTGTCTGTGTCTGTGTCTGAGTCTGTGCCTGTGTCTGAGTCTGTGTCTGTGTCTGTGTCTGTGTCTGAGTCTGAGTCTGTGTCTGTGCCTGTGACTGTGCCTGTGTCTGAGTCTGAGTCTGAGTCTGTGTCTGTGCCGGTGCCTGAGTCTGTGTCTGTGTCTGTGTCTGTGCCTGTGTCTGTGTCTGTGTCTGTGTCTGAGTCTGTGTCTGTGCCTGAGTCTGTGCCTGTGTCTGTGCCTGAGTCTGTGTCTGTGCCTGTGTCTGTGTCTGTGTCTGTGCCTGTGTCTGTGTCTGTGCCTGAGTCTGAGTCTGTGCCTGTGTCTGTGTCTGTGCCTGAGTCTGTGTCTGTGTCTGTGTCTGTGTCTGTGCCTGTGCCGGTGCCTGAGTCTGTGTCTGTGTCTGTGTCTGTGTCTGTGTCTGTGTCTGTGTCTGTGCCTGTGTCTGTGCCTGTGTCTGAGTCTGTGTCTGTGTCTGAGTCTGTGTCTGAGTCTGTGCCTGTGCCTGTGTCTGTGCCTGAGTCTGAGTCTGTGTCTGTGCCTGTGCCTGTGTCTGTGCCTGTGTCTGTGTCTGTGTCTGAGTCTGTGTCTGTGCCTGAGTCTGTGCCTGTGTCTGTGCCTGAGTCTGTGTCTGTGTCTGTGTCTGTGTCTGTGTCTGTGCTGTGTCTGTGTCTGTGTCTGAGTATGAGTCTGTGTCTGTGCCGGTGCCTGAGTCTGTGTCTGTGCCTGTGCCTGAGTCTGTGTCTGTGTCTGTGTCTGAGTCTGAGTCTGTGTCTGTGTCTGTGCCGGTGCCTGAGTCTGTGTCTGTGTCTGAGTCTGTGCCTGTGCCTGTGTCTGTGCCTGAGTCTGAGCCTGTGTCTGTACCTGTGTCTGTGTCTGTGTCTGTGTCTGAGTCTGTGTCTGTGTCTGAGTATGAGTCTGTGTCTGAGTCTGAGTCTGTGTCTGTGCCTGTGTCTGTGCCTGTGTCTGTGTCTGAGTCTGTGTCTGTGTCTGTGCCTGTGTCTGTGTCTGTGTCTGAGTCTGTGTCTGTGTCTGTGTCTGTGTCTGAGTCTGTGTCTGTGTCTGAGTCTGTGTCTGTGTCTGTGCCTGTGTCTGTGTCTGTGTCTGAGTCTGTGTCTGTGCCTGTGTCTGTGTCTGTGCCTGTGTCTGTGTCTGTGTCTGAGTCTGTGTCTGTGTCTGTGTCTGAGTCTGAGTCTGTGTCTGTGCCGGTGCCTGAGTCTGTGTCTGTGCCTGAGTCTGTGTCTGTGCTTGTGCCTGAGTCTGTGTCTGTGTCTGAGTCTGTGCCTGTGTCTGTGTCTGTGTCTGAGTCTGTGCCTGTGTCTGTGCCTGTGTCTGTGTCTGAGTCTGTGTCTGTGTCTGTGTCTGTGTCTGTGTCTGTGCCTGAGTCTGAGTCTGTGTCTGTGCCTGAGTCTGTGTCTGAGTCTGTGCCTGTGCCTGAGTCTGTGTCTGTGTCTGAGTCTGTGTCTGTGTCTGTGCCTGAGTCTGTGTCTGTGTCTGTGTCTGTGTCTGTGTCTGTGCTGTGTCTGTGTCTGTGTCTGAGTATGAGTCTGTGTCTGTGCCGGTGCCTGAGTCTGTGTCTGTGTCTGTGCCTGTGCCTGAGTCTGTGTCTGTGTCTGTGTCTGAGTCTGAGTCTGAGTCTGTGCCTGTGTCTGAGTCTGTGCCTGTGTCTGTGTCTGTGCCTGAGTCTGTGCCTGTGCCTGTGTCTGAGTCTGTGTCTGTGTCTGAGTCTGAGTCTGAGTCTGTGTCTGTGTCTGTGCCTGTGTCTGTGTCTGTGTCTGAGTCTGTGTCTGTGTCTGTGCCTGTGTCTGTGCCTGTGCCTGTGTCTGTGTCTGAGTCTGTGTCTGTGTCTGTGTCTGTGTCTGAGTCTGTGTCTGAGTCTGAGTCTGAGTCTGTGTCTGTGCCTGAGTCTGTGCCTGTGCCTGTGTCTGAGTCTGTGTCTGTGTCTGAGTCTGAGTCTGAGTCTGAGTCTGTGTCTGTGTCTGTGTCTGTGTCTGTGCCTGAGTCTGAGTCTGTGTCTGTGCCTGTGTCTGTGCCTGTGCCTGTGTCTGTGTCTGAGTCTGTGTCTGTGTCTGTGTCTGTGTCTGAGTCTGTGTCTGAGTCTGAGTCTGAGTCTGTGTCTGTGCCTGTGTCTGAGTCTGTGTCTGTGTCTGTGTCTGTGCCTGTGCCTGTGCCTGTGCCTGTGTCTGTGTCTGAGTCTGTGTCTGTGTCTGTGTCTGTGTCTGTGCCTGTGCCTGTGTCTGAGTCTGAGTCTGTGTCTGTGTCTGTGCCTGTGCCTGTGTCTGAGTCTGAGTCTGTGTCTGTGTCTGTGTCTGTGTCTGTGTCTGTGTCTGTGCCTGTGCCTGTGTCTGAGTCTGAGTCTGTGTCTGTGTCTGTGCCTGTGCCTGTGCCTGTGTCTGAGTCTGTGCCTGTGTCTGAGTCTTTGTCTGTGTCTGTGTGTCTGTGTCTGAGTCTGAGTCTGAGTCTGAGTCTGTGTCTGAGTCTGTGTCTTTGTCTGTGTCTGTGTCTGTGCCTGTGCCTGTGTCTGAGTCTGTGCCTGTGTCTGAGTCTGTGTCTGTGCCGGTGCCTGAGTCTGAGTCTGTGTCTGTGTCTGTGCCTGTGTCTGTGTCTGTGTCTGTGCCTGAGTCTGAGTCTGTGTCTGTGCCTGTGTCTGTGTCTGTGCCTGTGTCTGTGTCTGTGTCTGTGTCTGTGTCTGTGCCTGTGTCTGTGTCTGTGTCTGTGTCTGTGCCTGAGTCTGTGTCTGTGTCTGTGTCTGTGCCTGAGTCTGTGTCTGTGTCTGTGTCTGTGCCTGAGTCTGTGTCTGTGCCTGAGTCTGTGTCTGTGCTTGTGCCTGAGTCTGTGTCTGTGTCTGAGTCTGTGTCTGAGTCTGTGTCTGAGTCTGTGTCTGAGTCTGTGTCTGTGCCTGAGTCTGTGTCTGTGCCTGTGCCTAAGTCTGTGTCTGTGTCTGAGTCTGTGTCTGAGTCTGTGTCTGAGTCTGTTTGAGTCTGTGTCTGAGTCTGTGTCTGTGTCTGAATCTGTGCCTGAGTCTGTGTCTGTGTCTGTGCCTGAGTCTGTGTCTGTGCTTGTGCCTGAGTCTGTGTCTGTGTCTGAGTCTGTGCCTGAGTCTGTGTCTGTGTCTGAGTCTGTGTCTGAGTCTGTGTCTGTGTCTGAGTCTGTGCCTGTGCCTGAGTCTGTGTCTGTGTCTGAGTCTGTGTCTGTGCCTGTGCCTGTGTCTGTGTCTGTGTCTGTGTCTGTGTCTGAGTCTGTGTCTGAGTCTGTGTCCGTGTCTGTGTCTGTGTCTGTGTCTATGCCTGAGTCTGTGCCTGTGCCTGTGCCTGTGCCTGTGCCTGTGCCTGTGTGTATGTGTTTCTTCCTCCCAAAACCTAAGTAGTTTCTCCAGGGTTTCCTAGGAACAAAATAGGCTTATTTCTAGTCTTCTCTGAATCCTAGGGTGTAATGGTTTTAGCATTTAAGCTCTGGCCAGAAGCTTCTGCAAAGACCAAGGAGACCCGTGTCAGGCTCTCCTGACCAGGCTGATTCTGGGCTTGCTTGGTTTTAACTGAATACCCTGCACTGGGTTAGGGACCAATTCAGAACATTTTGATGTTTGTCTACTTTCAGCCATCACTGGGAGGCCTCCCTGGAGCGAGAGCTTCCTTATTTTACTAACCCCGTCCCCCCCCCCCCCCCCCCATTCCCCACCTTCAAATATCATTACATTTGGGCCTTGCCATGTGTTGTGCTGTTGGGATTTTTATTTATTTATTGTTTGTTTGTTTGTTTGTTTGTTTGTTGTGGGGTTTGAACTCTGGGCCTGGGCACTGTCCCTGAACTTTGTTCTAGGTGAGCACTCTCCCACTCGAGCCACAGCACCATTTCTGGTTTTCTGGTGGTTAATTGGAGATAGAGTCTCATGGACTTTCCTGCCCAGGCTGGCTTTGAATTGCGATCCTCTGATCTCAGCCTCCTGAGTATCTAGGATTACAGGCGTGAGCCTCTGGCACCCGGCGCACTGTTTAGATTTGAAGTGACCATTACATGGAGGAGTATTGTGCTCCTGCGTGTTGTCTGCATTTCACATGTTGTGTTCAGGGTCGCTGTTCTGGGCAGCCTGAATGGAAACCAATGTGGTATACTTCTCAGATATTGTTCTGGACTCAGCTCCATTTCTTTGCCAGTGTTGTAGACATCCAGAGTTCTGACTTGTGGGCTGAGAGGCGCTAAGGATTGATCCTAGCACCACCATTATGGCTGAACTGCCCTGTCCACTAGCCTTGAGCTGATGGGGGTCCCTCCCCGGCAGCTGTGGGGCCAGCACTTGCTGAGGTTTTCTTCTTTGTGTGTGGTATGTGGTAGGTTGGCAGTGGAACTGCACTCAACCTTGGGAATGACTTTGGACACCTATGTCTTCCTTTGTCTGCTCTTTCCCTCTTCTGTCACTCTTGGTGGTAGTCCATGGTAAAATTGTGAGGCTGTGAAGAAGTATGTTTTCTCAGTGCTGGGTCCTCCCCCATGGTGAGGATTGGTCATGCCCGTTTTAGAACAGACTCAGCCTGCTGCATCCAGATCTTTATTTGTCTGTACCCTCCCTCCCTTGTGCATGTGTAGTGGGACCACGTCAGTAGAAGCCTTCTTTTGTATTGTCCCAACTGTCAGTCTGATTAGTCACCTGATGTGCCTCCTTTGGGTTCTGTCTTTTTTTTATTGTCTCATTGTTCTTAGATGTTTGTTTTTTAGAGCCATGAGCATTGCTGATAGGTTGCTGTGTGTTTGTGAAGGAACTTTGCTTGTACGTGGAGCTTGAGCTAGCAGGCTCCAAGGTCAAATAAACTGTTCTCAAGGTGGACTGTGGTTCTCAGTAAAGCCCTCAGAAAAGTCATGTATCCTCCCACCTCCACTTTAAAGGCTCTGCTCACACCAGCTCCATCCTGCCAGCAGCCTCGCCCTCTATCCGTGGTGCTGCCCTCCATTTCCCTCCATTTCCCTTGGTTACTTAGTCTCGGTGCAGTCCTTGTACATGTTTATTGTACCTTTGTAAGAGTGATCTTTCATGCTAGTATCTGTGTGTGTGTGTGTGTGTGTGTGTGTGTGTGTGTGTGTGTGTGTGTGTGTGTGTGTGTGTGTGTGTGTGTGTGTGTGGAGGATAGGTGTTTGAAGGGCAAAGCAGTATATACAGAGTACACACACATTGTTAAGATTAGCTGCTATAGAGTTCTGGATTTATTTTACCAGACATCCCAATCCTGGGTTTGAAGTTTTGTATTTAGAATCAACCTTGTTTCCTCTACTGCATTTCTGCCTCAGTGTTCTGGTCATTTTGATTTTTAGTCCCTACCCTATGGTCCTGCATTTCTAGCCCATGAAGCTCAACTCTGGAAATGGTCTCAGTTTTAGCACATATCATAGCCTTTATGTGCAGCTGGCCCCTCATGGACCCCATTCTAGACCTACTTAAACATTCCCTGTTTATTGTGTTACTTGTGTTTTATAATTGCTGACAGCAAATACATAGATATATATTCACTTTATCATTTAGGAAATATTTGCTTTATAAACCATTAACTGTTATCTAAGAAACTAGAATGGTATATTCCCTGTGGAGAAGTCTCAGCTATGGTGACTAACTTGCTCTTGGCCACAGCTTACATCAAACTAGGGCTTTGTTTGTATGTACTTGCTAGTCCACTATCTTACTTTATTAGAAAAATTATAAATTGCTTTAAAACTCATATGACTGGAAACTAGCTTTTATTTTTGAGTTTGGGGAAAAAAAATAGTAAAACATTTGGAGAGACAGACAAACCAATGAGCCTGAGAGCTCTTCGTATCCCTTCCCCCTCCCCCGAAGCCCCTCTGAGTTTTTGGTTAGATTAGAATGTGTTTTTATTTCTAAAGGTGCTCCCCCAATACTGTGCAGTGAACTTTTTTTCAGATTATTTTAGGAATTAAAATTTAGTAAAGATACTGTTTAAACTAGGGCTTGATAGTAATAGAATAAATGTGTCTTGAATGCAGTTTTTGAAGTTCAAACATAGTTGAATATAACTCCTTAAAACTCTTTTTTTTTTCTAGTGGAGAAGCATCTACAGTACTGCTCTCCTACATATCTAAATTGTCCTACTTTTACTAGGCGGGTGCAAATATTGACACCTGTTCAGAAGACCAGAGGACTCCACTGATGGAGGCTGCAGAAAACAACCACCTGGATGCAGTGAAGTACCTCATCAAAGCCGGGGCACAGGTGGATCCCAAGGTAGCCTATTTCCCTCTTATCAGGTTCATACTCCTGTATCGTGTATAGGTATTTCTCAGAAAGATCAATAGGGCACAGTTCTTTCCTGGAACACTTTCAGGAGTTAGGAGGCCTCAGACATTTATCTAGTGTGCATCGAAGTTGCTTCTTCCCTTTACTTGGCAACCTGTTTTATTACTAAAGATCCCTAGTGAGTATTGAGTCTGTTTTGCTTGTAATAGAAAAATCATTAATGAGGAGTTTGCTCTTCAGAGGTTTCTAGCTTGCTTTTTCCATTTGTCTGGAGCAGTGAGGTAAGAAAAGAGACAAAAAATTGGAAAAAAAGGAAGAAGACATGCTTTAGTTTATAGATGATATGATTTTATATGTGAAAAAAACCTACAGGATCCAAAAGTATTGTTAAAGCTAATAAACTAGTTCAGCAAAGTAGTAATAGTCTCATGACATTAACTTTTGACTGTGATTTTTTAGATATGACACCAAAAGTACAGATGAAAAAAGAAAAAATAGATGAACTTCTGTGCATCATAGGACACTATCAAGAGAGTGAAAAGACAACCCGTAGATGTAAATGTCTGCAGATCCTGTATTTGATAGTTTCTATCCAGAATATATAAAGAAGTATTAACAACTAAATAACAAATGTAATTAAATGAATTAGAATCCAAGCTGGGCATTGATAGCGCACACCTGTAACACTAGCTACTCCGGAGGCTGAGATAAAAGCATTGTGGTTCACTGGGCAGGAAAATCTCTGTGACTCTCACTTCCAGTTAACCATCAAAAAGCTTGGAGTAGAGCTGTGACTCAAGTGGTAGAGCACTAGCCTTAAGCAAAAAGTTCAGGAACTTGTGCCCAGGCCCTGAGTTCAAGCCTCAGGACTGGCACAAAAAAACAATAATAAAAAAAAGTAACTAAAAAATTGGCAAAGGGCTATGTGTCTTTGGCTTCCACCTGTAATTATAGTTACTGAGGAGGCTAAGAGCTGAGGATCAAGGTTTGAAATCAACCTTTGGCAGGCAAATCTAAGAGACCCTTTCTAGTTAACCAACAAAAAGCTGAAAGTAGAGGTATATAGCTCAAGTACCCTGAGTTTAAGTGAATACCAAAAATAACAAAAAAACTCAAGAAACAAAACAAAATATAAAACAACCCCCCCCCCCAAAAAAAAAAAAAAATGGCAAGGGGTTTGAACTGACCTTTTTTGAAAGAAGATACACAAATAGCCAATCAACAGATGAGAAAATGATTGTGGTTAGTCATGAGAAGGCTAGTCCCTAAAAACCTTGAAAATGAGTGTTAGGATGTAGAGAAATGGAATCTTTATGGATGGCTATTGAGAGCATAAATTGATGTATGCACTATGCCAAAACAATTTGGTAGTTTCTCAAATAATTAAAAATAGAATTACTATGGATTCAGTGATTCCACTTCTATGTGTATGTACAAAGAAAAAATAGACACAAACAGATCTTTAAGAAGCAGTATTTATTGTAACACAGCTCACAATAGTTAGAAAAAAAGGAACGGTCTAAGTGTTTACCAGCAAGCAAGAGAGGTGTGGTCCATCTATATAATTGGATGTTATTTGGCAACCAAGTATTGACAGGATGAAACTTGAGTTCCTCCTGTGAACAAAGCTACACAGAAGGACAAATACTATACACTGAGCTTACATGAAGTGCCTAGAATAGGCAAATCTAGAAATTGAGCATGGGATAGAGGTTACCAGATGCTGAGAGAAAGGGACATTATAGCTTAGTGTTGTAGAGTTTTTGTTTGTAGTTATGAAAAAAGGACGCAAGGTAGAAGAACTTAGAGGCTTAGTAAAAGAAAGAAGGGTTGGAGATAGCTCCATAGAAATTATTCAATATTGCTGGGCGCTGGTGGCTCACGCCTGTAATCCTAACTACTCAAGATGCTGAGATAGGATCGAGGTTCAAAGCCAGCCTGGGCAGGAAAGTCCGTGAGTCTCTTATCTTCAATAAACCACTAGAAAACTGGAAGTGTCTCTGTGGCTCAAGTGGTAGAGCGCTTGCCTTGAGCCGAAGAACACAGGGACAACGGCCAAGCCCAGAGTTCAAGCCCCACGACTGACCGCCCCCCCCCCCAAAAAAAAAATTATTCAATATGAAGGAAAAAATACAGGTCAACATCAGAATGACCAACATGTGTGACTGAAGCCTCGTAAAGATAAGATAGCCAGGCAAGAGATTCACACCTATAATCCTAGTACTCAGGAGGCTGAGGTCTGAGGATCTCAGTTCAAAGCAAACCTAGGTTGGAGAGTCCATGAGACTCTTATCTCCAGTTAACTTCCAAAAAAGCCAGAAGTGGAGGTGTGCCTCAAGTGGTAGAGTGCTAGCCTGAGCAGAAATGCTCAGAAGCAGTGCCTGGATCCTGAGTTCAGGCCACAAGACTGGCATCAAAAAACAAAACAAACACAAAAGTAGAAACATGTTGGAGAAGAACTGCAACCTACAGAGTTAAGCGACTCAGCAAAACTTCAGCAAAATAAATGGAAAGAGTACCACATCTAAATATATCATGCTAAAACTGTTGAAAACCAATAATAAAAGAAAATCCTAACACCACTGTGGACACCAAAAGAATACCACTATAACACACTGCTAACTTCCAACCTGTAATGGTGGGCCATACGCTTGGAGGAAGAGCTCTTTTTGCCAAAAGAAAGAGACCTAAGGAGAAAAGGTTACCCTAGATAAAGTATCCTTTAAAAATAATGTGAGAGGAGCTGGGAAGGTGGCTCAGTGGTAGAGTGCTTGCCTCGCATGCATGAGGCCCTGAGTTCAATTCCTCAGCGCCACAAAAGCAGAAAAAAAAGGGAAGTAGCGCTGTGGCTCAAGTTGTAGAGCGCTAGCCTTGGGCTGAAGAGCTGAGAGACAGCATCCAGGTCCAGAGTTTAGGCCCCATGATCCACAAAAAAAATAATAATAAAATAAAATTGCAAGGTGTTCTTGAAATCACCAACAAGGCATAGAGCTTCAGGAACATAGACTGGCAGATGGAGTGCAGGCATCAGGGCAGCAGCCTGTCATGGCAAGAAAGCTGACTTCTCACATGACCTACCCTGTCATAGAAGAGGGAGGTACTGAGATGTGGATTTGGGGATGGGACTTGAACCCAGGGCCTGGGCGCTGGCTCAAGTTTTTCACTCAAGAGACTGGCTTTCTTCTTGAGCCACAGCTCCACTTCTGGCTTTTTTTGGATGGTTAGTGGCTTGCACGTTCCTACCCAGGCTAGATTTGAGCTTCATCTTCAGAGTTCAGCCTCTCTGAGTAGCGAAGATTGTAAGACATGGCCCGACAGAGTACATTTTTTTTGGGGGGGGGGGGGGTCCGGTTGTGGGGCCTGAACACTGAGCCTGGGCGCTGTCCCTCAGCTCTTCAGCTCAAGGCTAGCCCTCTACCACTTGAGCCACAGTGCCACTTCCAGCTTTTTTCTTTTTGCTTATGTGATGCTGAGGAATCGAACCCAGGGCCTCATGTATGCAAGGCAAGCACTCTACCACTGAGCCACCTTCCAGCCCCAGAGTACATTTTTTAAAAAAAAATTTTTTTTTTTTCCTTGAGTTCTTTTTTGGGAGAGGGGATGCCGGGGGGGGGGGGGGGGCGGCGTCCAGTTGTGGGCCTGAACTCTGGGCCTGGGCGCTGTCCCTCAGCTCTTCAGCTCAAGGCTAGCACTCTACCACTTGAGCCACAGTGCCACTTCCAGCTTTTTTTTCTTTTTGCTTATGTGGTGCTGAGGAATCGAACCCAGGGCCTCATTCATGCAAGGCAGGTACTCTACCACTGAACCACCTTCCCAGCCCCCCAGAGTACATTTTTCAGTAGCAAAAAATTTAAAAAGTCAGAGAAAATTGTATGTTCCATAGTCATGAATATAAAACCTAGAAATAATTTTTCCTCAGTTAAATGCAGTGAATGAGTATTACACATTATCTACAAAGATTAATTTCAACGGTATTATGTTGAACTAAACAGCTGCAAAAAGACCTGTAGTGTGCCGTAATTACTGGAAATTGTGCAAGTGACATTAAGGAATATGACCTCTGGGAAGGAAGATCAAAGGGACAGGGTACCTTGTGTGATGTCCTTCAGATGTGTGTGGCATGAGCATGTACTTGAGGAGTTGTGTCATAGCTGTACACAGTTGACGGCTTCTCCCTGACTGAGGCCTGCCCTTTGCCACATTCAGATCTTACCTCCATGGAGTTCCCTTGGCTGAAGTACCCTCAGACCCAGGCCCAGTGAGGCTGCCTTTCTTCATGCCTGGGCTTCTGTGTTATACCTCTCTGGAGCAAGCATCTCAGCACAATGAAGCCATGTTTGTTTATCTCTCAATGCCTCTGCCACACATGCTACTGCAGTCTTTAGAACCTGCAGCAATCGCCCAGTATCTTTTTTTTGTTTTGTTTTTGGACTTGAACTCTGGGCCTGGGCACTGTTTCTGAGCTCTTCAGCTCAAAAAGAGTGCTCTACCACTTGAGCCACAGCGCTGCTTCCACTTTTCAGGCAGTTAATTGGAGATAAGAATCTTAAGGACGTTCCTGCCCGGGCTGGCTTTGAACCACAGTCCTCAGTTCTCAGCCTCCTGAGTAGCTAGAATTACAGGAGTGAGCCATCAGCACCTGAAAAATGCATGTTTAATAATATGTGCTAGTCTGGGATTTTGTCTCCGAAGTAGAAAAGGGATAGAGAAATTAATGAAGAAATAAGGTCAGTACAAAGGCAGATGTGGGACCAAATAAAAAGGGACCTGTAGGAGTGCAGCAGAGTATGTCCACATGGTCCTTGTGATCAATGCAGTGAATTGAGCACAATGCCAGCCTGGTATGCTCAGGCTCCTGGCATATGGAGTTGGACATTGCTGGCCCGCCCATTGCCCTGGAGCTTCATGGTTGGCCCTGTTCCTGGGAGTTTTTTTTAATCTGAGATGATTTGACTTGTGTGATATCTGTAGTGCGCCAGCAGCCAAAAGAAATAGAAACAGGCAGAGGTAGACATGGGTCTTTGCTCTGTTTGCTGCTCTTTTCACCTTTTTATTATTTTGAACTCTTTAGCATCTGGATGACTATTACTGAGACATCTGCTCTGTTTTCACTGTCCCCTGTGACCACTGGTAGCTTTCAGAGGGCTCAGAAGGAGCAGCCAGCAGTAGAAACGGTTCCTGGTGGGACTGCCACTACACACAGGCTCTGTAGGGTAGGTGGGACTGAGTGGGGTTCTCACCACTGGTGCAGCTACAGGTGTGTATGTGAGGGAGTGTTAGGGCTGCTACCTTGTTGGGGTCCAAGGGCTTGGGTCTTGGCAGTGCCATTTGGCTCATGGGATCTCAGAACAGGATCCAGTTGTTCCTCCATCGGGGTTCCTTAGTCAGGTGGGTTATTGATGTCACCTCCCTTGTGTTGGGAGCGTGAATTCTCTGTGGCTTACACTGAGGGCTGAGTCACAAGTGTTTTCTCTGGACTGAACAGTGTTTGTGTTATAGGATGCAGAGGGCTCCACGTGTTTGCACTTGGCTGCCAAGAAAGGCCACTATGATGTGGTTCAGTATCTGCTTTCTAATGGACAGATGGATGTCAACTGTCAGGTAAAGCCGTGCCCTTGTGTAACAGACCCATCACCTTGTTCTGCCTTATGCCACCATGTCCCATTTACTTGTGGCCAGCTCTGATGCTTAAGGCCTCATCCCCTGTCTGTCCACTTGCTCTGCAGGGTGACTCCAGGCTGCCTGGCTGGCAGTTGTCTCCATGGTATTTATTGGGACTCCCTCTCCCTCGGGCCTTGTTCAGATGTCACCTCTAAGTAAGGCATCTCTTGACCATGGCACCCAGGCTTCCCTGCCTGCCGGGCTAATGCTGCCTGTAGTCGTGTACCCTAAAGACATGCAGATGTGGGTGTAAGGAGCCTTTTGGAGGTGTTGGGGAGGAGGTTGTTCTCCACTGCCAGACTCGGGAGTGGCAGCACGACACTCACTCCTGAAAAGGGTCCTTTTCTGGTCTAAAGGAATCTACCCAGGACATGGTCTTACAGACCAGCAGGCACTTGGTTTTCAGGAAAAGGCAACAATGTCCATCTCCAGGCCTGACATCTGTTTCCATGGAACAGAATGAATAATGTGTCCACACTCCCCACCGGCCTCATTGTTGGTGATCTCTGGGTTGGTTGGGGTTGCAGAGTATCTTGCCAACGGTGTTAGCTAAAGTAAGGAGATGGGTTAGTGCAGACATGCTGTACCTCTGGTGGGGTGAAACTGGTGCTGGCTCCCCACTTAAGAGGTACCTGGGACAGTGCTCTAAGGTCCTGAGCCAGTTGTGTGCAGTGCTTGTCTCTTGCACTTAGGATGATGGCGGCTGGACACCTATGATCTGGGCTACTGAATACAAGCATGTGGAGCTGGTGAAGTTGCTGCTGTCCAAGGGCTCCGATATCAACATCCGGGACAATGTGAGTCTCTCATTCAAGTGGTGACCCTTAGGGACATGGCGTCCTGAGAGAGGCTGGAATGCCTGGCCTCTGGAGCATCTCCTTCTGAAGTTCCTTTGTTCTAGAATAAAGCCCTAGTGCCTTGAAGCAGTTCTGACCTCTTGCTGTCTGTGGCTTACTAACCTCTGTAGAGTCCTATGGCTACCTGGTGCTGAATGTAAACAGAGTTGCAGGGTCTCTGTAGGTTTGGCTCCTTTGCAGGAGCTGTAGTGCTCCTTGCATGTTACCTGCCCTCCCCAGTGCTGACCTGTGTTCCTGACTGGCTTGAAGAGAAGTGCAGGAAGGTTGCTAGGATTAAACCTTGCACTGGGCCCCTGTTATACTGTTCTGCTGTAGTAGCTGCCTTCGAAAAGAAAGAAAATTGAACACACTGTGACTTAAGTTACTACATTTTTGAGACTCTATCTGAAACATAGCTAGAGCATAATAAGGGCAAGTGGTAGAGCACCTACCTGCCTGCCTGTCAAGTGCAAAGTTTGAGTTCAAATCTTAGCCCTGCCTTTTTCTCTTCCGAAAAGGAAGTGTACATAATTTCTGAAAGAGCACTGCTCAGCTTCACGTCCAGGTCCAGGTAGGCAGCCTCAGCATGCAAGACAGGCACAGGGTACTTGTCAGGCTCTGCTGAGTGTGTGAGTTTTCATTTGCCCTAGAAACCAAGGTAGCTCCCTGTATTCAGCATGGGGCCACTGCTAGGGCTGCCATGGCCTGGTCTACAGCCTCAGCAGTGTGTCCACCTTACTCATCTGTTTCTCATTGCCCAGCACTGCGTAGGGTGTGCTACACATCCTCGTGGAAAGAGCAGGACCTAGGAGTGGAAGGCAGTGGGGTGAAAGGTAGCAAGGAAAGAGGAATATCTGGCAGGAGAAGGAGGAACAGAGAAACAGGATGAAGTGGCTGAGGCTGCTCAGGAGCTGGTGTATTCATGGCCTCCAGGTGGGTGTGATACTGAAGGATGGTCCCTGTGTGCTGTTAACCATGCTACTGTGGCAAGTATGTGTATAATCAGAGTAATATGAGGGGAGGCTTATTTTTTTTTGCTCTTTGTTTTGGAGGCTCCAATCCATGGGTTGAGTCTATTACTTTTAGACCTGGGAATAGGGTGTGGGCAGTACATCAGTTGGAGCAGAACTGTTCTCCTTGTGTTCTGGAGAAGAAAGAGAAGAGAAGGAAGGGGAAGGGATCACAGTCCTCCTCCCAATGACCTGGAGACCCCCCCCCCCCCCCCCCCCCCCCCCCCCGCCAAGCATTACCTGCAGCAGTGTCAGCGGAAGACTCACAGCTTGGATACACTAGCCTTTGGGGTCATCCACTGCCTGTGCAGTCCCCAGTGGGTTCCTTCTGCACACTCCTCATACAGTCCTTACCATCTGCTCTGTTTACTGCCTCGTAGTGCTCTGGTGGTAGTGCCTGCCCCTTCCCACAAACATGGAATGGTTTCAACAATGGTATTTCATTCACTCTGTTGATATGTAGCTGCAGACTACACCAACAACACACATTTGGGTGAGTTCCGACAGAGACTGGCAATACAGTGACGATGGTAACTTGTTACCCACTGTGAAGCTCCATCCTCCTCCTTCCTAGCCTGTGCCCGTCAGCTCCCTCCAACTTTATTTCACTGTGGAGCTGACCACATAGGCTAGTTTTATCTAAGTAGACATGTAACCCTCAGGCCATGTTGCTGTCTCACACCAAAGATGGATCCTTTGTGCCTGGAGTTCCATTGTGCTGTGTGGCCATCTACTCCCCTCTGTTGGTGAACTTGCGGGTTGCTCTGAACATTCCTGCCTCTAGTTCCCCTGGTGAGCCCCTAGTAGTAAATGGACCAAGTCATCAATATGTGTGCCTCACTTACTGTGAGGAGTAGCATTTCTTTTATTTGAGAGTTCTGATTCCTTCACATTCTCCTTAACACTTAGTAAGTCAATCTTTTTATTTTTCTTAACAATGTGAACCTTTTATTTTGACAAGAAGAACTTTACAGTCAGAGTGTACATTATTTTTTTTTGTTTTTTTTGGGGGGGAGGGTGGGGGGTCCCAGTTGTAGGGCTTGAATTCTGGGCCTGGGAGCTGTCCCTCAGTTCTTCAGCTCAAGGCTAGCGCTCTACCACTTGAGCCACAGTGCCACTTCCAGCTTTTTTCTTTTTGCTTATATGGTGTTGAGGAATCGAACCCAGGGCCTCATGCATGCAAGGCAAGCACTCTACTACTGAGCCACCTTCCCAGCCCTAGAGTATATTCTTAAACCTTGAAACTTTCATTCTTACAAAAGTGAAAGAAAAGGCATTTGAGACTATTTCAGACACAAGTTGGTACCAGGCTCATTGCATTTGACAAACCATAAAAATAGTGCCATCATCAGTTCCAAGTGTACTTATGAGAAGGACATGGAGATACTTGTGTTTTTAACTAGTCTTAATGCCCATTAACATCTAAGTATTTGACATGTGTATTCTCATTACTGGTAGGCACAACCTTATATCACTTTTTGTTTTTGTGGTCGGTCATGGGGCTTGAACTCTGGGCCTGGGCACTGTCCCTCAGCTCTTCAGTTCATGGCTAGCGCTCTACCACTTGAGTCACAGTGCCATTTCCAGTTTTCTGGAGATAAGAGTCTTACAGACTTTTGTCCCCGGGCTGGCTTTGAACCGCAATCCTCAGAGCTCAGCCTCCTGAGTAGGTAGGATTACAGGTGTGAGCCACCAGTGCCTGACTTTACATCACATTTTTTATAATTCTGATTTGAAAAGTAAAAAAACAAGAGGAATGTGGAGTTACACAGTTGAAAATGTTACACTTACTGCACATAGCAAGTTAAGACCAGGAATGCTAGAAGGAGTTACCCTTATGAATGACTTGAAAATTTAACATTTTATTGGAAAAATTGGAGCCTAGTGCCTGGGTATGGTAAGTTGGTCTTTTAAATTTTAATCTTGTGTTGAGAACTTACAGAGGTAAGTATCTCATTGTGGTTTTAATCCTCATTGTGCTTAATTTTCACTTGTTAGTGTCTATCTCCCCCCCCTCCCTTTTAAATTTTTATTATAAAGGTGATTATTATAAATTACAACTAATTTATCCTTTTATGGGCTTATTTGCTATCAATATGCTTTCAAATCCATGGTGTGTGTACGTGCGTGTGTGTGTGTGCGTGTGTGTGTGTGCATGCTCATGCGTGTGTGTGCGTGTGCATGCTCATGCATGTGTGTGTGCATGCTCATGCGTGTGTGTGCGTGTGTGTGTGCATGCTCATGTGTGTGTGTGCATGCTCATGCATGTGTGTGCGTGTGTGCGTGTGCATGCTCATGCGTGTGTGTGCGTGTGTGCATGTGCGCGTGTGCATGCTCATGCGTGTGTGTGTGTGCATGCTCATGCGTATGTGTGCGTGTGCATGCTCATGCGTGTGTGTGCGTGTGTGTGTGTGCATGCTCATGTGTGTGTGTGCGTGTGCATGCTCATGCGTGTGTGTGCGTGTGTGCTAGTCCTGGGGCTTGGGCACTGTCGAGCTTGTTTTGTTCAAAGTTAGTGCTCTACTAATTGAGCCATAGCTCCACTTTCAGTTTTTGTATGGTTAGCTGAGAAATGTCCTGCCTAGGCTGTCTTTGAACTACAACCTCAGATCTTAGCCTCCTAAGTTGCTTGTATTATATGCATAAGCTACTGGCACTCAGCCGTATCTTGTCTTTAATTGGGTGATTAGTTTTCTTGTCCCTTATCCTGGGGCTTGAACTCAGGGCCTGGGTGCTGCTGTCCCTAAGTTTTTTCACTCAAGACTAGTACTCTACCACTTGAGCAACAGCTTTTTGGTATTTATTTGGAGATAATCTCATACATGAGTTGGGAAGGTGGCTCAGTGGTAGTGCGCTTGCCCTGCATGCCTGAGGCCCTGGGTTCGATTCCTCAGCACCACATAAGCAAAAAGAAAAAAAAAAGCTGGAAGTGGCACTGTGGCTCAAGTGGTAGAGCGCTAGCCTTGAGCTGAAGAGCTGAGGGCTCCCAGGCCCACAGTTCAGGCCCCAGTACCGGACCAACACCAGACCAAAAAAAAAAAAAAAATCTCATACACTTTCCTGTCTGGGTTGGCTCTGAACTGCAGTCCTCAAATCTCAGCCTCCTGAGTAGCAAGGTGTGAATCACTAGCACCTGGCTTTTGTTCTTGAGTTTTGAGAGTTCATTTTGTATTTTAGAAACAAGTCCAGGCTAGGCGCTGGTGGCTTACATCTGTAATCCTAGCTACTTAGGAGACAGATCCAAGGATTGCTTTAGCACACAGGCCCAGAGTTCAAACCCAGGACTGACAACCAAAAAAAAAAAAAAAGGAAAAAAAGGTCTAAGCTTTTATCATATATATGATTTATAAATCTGTGTTTGTAGATAGCAGAAATTTTTATAAAGCATAGTGTATCTTTTGTGTATGTGTGTGTATCCTGCATGGATGTTATATATAAGAAATCATTACTTAATTGAAGATATTTTTCCATATTTCTGTAGTTTTGTAGTTTTAGGTTTTATATCTGTTTTGAGTTACTTCTTTAAAAATCAGTTTACTTCATTGTTATTATAGAGGTGGTATACAGAGGGATAATATCATGAGCCAGGTAATGAGTACATTTCCTTTGTACGTGTCTTCTGTTCCCTCTCTCCTCCCTCCTACTTCTAGGAGTTGTATAGTTCACTTGCATCAGTGTCTAGTGAGTTCTATTTTTTTTTTTTTTTTTCGGGTCCGGTCATGGGGCCTGAACTCTGGGCCTGGGCGCTGTCCCTCAGCTCTTCAGCTCAAGGCTAGCGCTCTACCACTTGAGCCACAGCGCCACTTCTGGCTTTTTTCTTTTTTCTTTTTGCTTATGTGGTGCTGAGGAATCCAACCCAGGGCCTCATGCATGCAAGGCAAGCGCTCTACCACTGAGCCACCTTCCCAGCCCCTAGTGAGTTCTATTGCTGTACTTTTCTACTCTTTTTTCCTTGAGTTCTGTACCCTCCCCCAGCCTTCCTAAAAATATACACTGATTACACCAAACATAAGGAAAAGGAGATAGAATCATCAAAAATTTTTAAAAGAAAATAAGAAGAGAGGTTTCTTGCTTCCATATATATTACTTTATGTAAATATGAAGAGGCATGGTAGGCATTGTATACCTTTGTATTTCTCTCCTATGAGTTTCCTCTTTTGGTCTCACTGTGTGTGAGTATCTAGAATCCGGTATAATTTATCATATCCTAGTGTCTTTTAGATCTGTTTTCTGCATATCAGAGAGAACATGCACTGTTTGTTTCTCTGAGCTTGGTTTACCTCACTTCACATGATTCTCTCTACTTACATCCATTTGCCTGCAAATGACATTATTTTATTCTTTCTAATGGCTGTGTAAGATTCCACTGTGCGTAGGTACTGATCTATTGTAGGGCATTTGGGCTCTTCCTATGTCTTGGCTGTTGTGAGCAGTGTGTCAGTGAACATGGATGGTCAGCATTTTTATCATATTCCGGCAGCGTTTCTATGAGTGATGTGAGGATGAGTGTCCTGTCAGACATGTGGGTTTCTGCCAGCCCTGCGGTGGAACCGCTACCCTTTTCCATTGGATCGACACTACACCTCTGCCACGCTGGTCATCTGTTCTCTGTGAGCACAGCACACTTTCCTCTTGACCAGATCTAAAATTCAGGGCTTCTGGCCCAGTGTAGTTTTGCAAATGTCTTGATGGCGTGTGTTGTAGAAGAGACCAGTTTCCTTCTAGTGTTTGTGTTTTGTCCTTCCTCTCCGGGTACTAGGGCTTGAACTCAGGGCCTGGGCACTGTCCCTTAGCAGTTTATCTGAGGTTGGTTCTCTGCTCCAGCTCCACTTCTGGTGGATTTTTTTTTTTTTAACAGACTTTTCTGTCTGGGCTGGCTTTGAACCATGATTCTCAGATCTTAGCCTCCTATGTGGCTAGGATTGCAGACATGAGTCCCTGGCACCCTCTCCCTCCAGTTTTTTGTTTTTGTTTGTTGTTTTGTTTTGTGTTGTTTTTTTTTTGGTCGGTTGTGGGGCTTGAACTCTGGGCCTGGGAGCTGTCCCTCAGCTCTTCAGCTCAAGGCTAGTGCTCTACCACTTGAGCCACAGTGCCACTTCCAGTTTTCTGGTAGTTAATTGGAGATAAGAGTCTCATGGACTTTTCTGCCCGGGCTGGCTTTGAACCAGAAGCCTCCTGAGTAGCTAGATTACAGGTATGAGGCACCAGCACCCAGCAAAAGATGCTTTGTGAGGGGTTTTCTCCTAGTGACAGGCATATTATTTCCACAGAGTCTTCACTGCAACACTTGAGACAACTGTTGCTCCTTGACTTCTGTGTGAGACATACTCTTTTTCTTTCAAACTTTTTAAAATTTTGTGTATGCCTTGGCATACACTCTCCCACATGTGTGCGTGTGTGTGGTGTGAGATTTCAGTGAAGTTCTTAGGGCCAGCACTAATCATACTGGGTTGTTTGAGTGGGTGGCAGGCAGTTATCAGTGCCGGGAATTACTGTCTCCACGGTGGCAGGTCCTTCCTATACTACCCAGCCCATGGCCTTCACGCGGGCAGTGCTTCCCATCCGGCTGGGTGCTTTCTTCTCGGCCTCAGGCCATAGTGTGCTAGTGGTGGTTCAGATGGAACATCAGGTCTCTGAGCTTCCTTTGCTATTCCATCCTCGGTCTGTGTTCCTGTGTGTAATGGAGTGAGCAGCTCCAGTTCCCTGGCTGTTTCTTCTTGCCTGGTATGTGGAGTTGATGTGGTGATCTGTACTGTTCCATTTCCTCTCCTTTCACACTGTTCTGTTCACTCTGCTCATTCACCATGGAAGAGAGAGTGTGCAACATTGCTGGCCAGTACCATAGCTCTTCAAACTGAGCAGAAATGGGAAGCTATCAAAAATAGAATTTTGGCTACAAAATTACACATCGTTCTCATGTAGGTAGAAGGAAAAAGCCCTTGGGGAAGCAGATACATGGGAGATGGAACTAGGCAATTAGAGGGCTGAAAGCCACCAAGAATAACAACTAGAAAAGAGAGTCTGAGATAAGCTATGGATTTTCAGAAAACATTGGGGTCAACTCAAAGGCATTTGCTTTTAGTGTATAGAAAGCTGGTGCTTGGGGCCAGCAGCTGTCTGTGGGCGAGGGCGACGGGGTCACTGTTCTCTGTTCTGTCTCCATCTTTTCTAATGTGCTCTGAGCTGACTCAGGGAGACATCAGGAACGGGGGACTGCCCTCTTGTTCAAGAGCACTGGAGTGTGGCAGATGAGCTAGTATAAACCCTGTGGCTGCAGGATTGTTCCCTAGGATGTGGCTGAGCACTTCACTTACCACGTAGAGGAAGAGTGAGGGCAGACTTGGGCCAGGGGCAAGCTGCACCTCAGAGGCCAAGTGGGTGGTTGGGGTTGACTTTGCCTATGGTTACTGTGAAAACTACTAATGATTCCTGAGGGGAGGCAGGCCCCAGTGGTCTGCCAGTACAGTGCAGGCCACTGTAAGTCTGCACGCTTGAATCTTATAACTAGTAATCCACCTCCCAGGGGTTAGCCTCGAGAAGTAAGTCAGAAGAGAAGAGGATAAAAATAATTCATTAGCAGCTGAGCTCTGATGGCTCACACCCATAATCCTAGCTACTCAGGAGGCTGAGATCTGAGTATTGTAGTTCAAAGCCAGCCTGGGCAAGAAAGTACAGGAGATTTACCTCCAGATACAACCAGAAAACTGGTAGTGGCACTGTAGCTCAAAGTGGTAGAGTGTTTACCTCAAGCACAAAAGCTCAGGGACAGTGCCCAGACCCTGAGTTCAAGCCTCAGGACTCACATACACACACACAAAATTCACTAGCATAACATTGCGGAGGAAAACCCAGAAGTAGAAAATACGTTTAGTAAAGATAAAGTCGAGCGAATTATGACACATTGGCTCGGTGCTCGGTGCCAGTGACAAACCTAGCTTCATCGTGTGGAAGGCTGTGCTTGAGCCTAGCTGACGGCGTTAAGCTGCGGCCGGGCGGTGCCGGGGGCAGGAGGGGCAGATGTTGGTAAGGTAATGGTTGTTGGTCAGTAATGGTTGTTCTGGTCTGGTCTAAGAGACATTAAGCATACTTTGTTTTAATGCTAGTTTCTTGCCTATCATAAAACTGAACATTCTCTCATTTATGTTTATTCTTCTTTTCTTATGTATGATGTTTATTATTTCCATACAGCAGCAGTGTTTAAGAATTTTAGTGTTCTGATAAACACTGTATAATTGTAAATCCTAATCTATGTGTATATATATGTCTATACACACACACAGCACAAATACGTTCCCAATTTTTCTTCAGTTTATTAAAATATTGTTGAGGTTTTGTTTTTGTTTTTTTGTCATCATGAGGCTTGAACTCTGGGCCTGGACACTGTTCCTCAGTTCTTCAGCTCAAAGCTAAAGCTCTACTACTCAAGCCACAGTGCCACTTCTGGCTTTTTCTGTTTATGTGGTGCTAAGTAATTAAACCCAGGGCTTCATGCATGCGAGGCAAGCAAGCATTCTACCACTGAGCCACCTTCCCAGCCCTTGTTATGGTTTTCAAAGGGACTCTGTGTGCGCGCGCAGGCACACACATATGCACACGCACGCACATAAGCACATGTGTGTATACGCGCTAGATCTCAGGGTCTTGGCACTCACTGTACGTGAGCTTTTGTGCTCAAGCTAGTGTTCTACCATTTGATCCACAGCTTCACATCTGGCTTTAGGGTTTAATTGAAGGCCAAGACTAGCTTTGACTGTAATCCTCAGATCTCAGCCTACTTGGTAACTAGGGTTATAGGCATGAGCCACTGGCGCTTGGCTTCAAAGTAACTTTTTATATATTCTTCTATTTTTATTTTTTTACTTATTGCCAGTCCTCGGGCTTGAACTTGGGGCCTGAGTACTATCCCGGGGCTTCTTTTGCTCAAGGTTAGCACTCTGCCACTTGAGCCACAGCAGCACTCCAGCCTTTTCTGTGTATGTGGTACTGAGGAATCAAACCCAGGGCTTCATGCATGCTAGGCAAGCACTCTATCATTAAGCCACATTCCCAACCCAATTTATTTTTGTGTGTGCCTGTAATGGGGCTAGAACTCCAGGACTAGGCACTGTCCATAAGCTCTCTACCACTCCCATTTTCTGGTGGCTAATTAGAGATAAGAGTCCCACAGACTTTCTTGCCTGGATTGGCTTTGAACTACAATCCTCAGATCTCAGCCTCCTGAGTAGCTTGGATTACAGATGTGAGCCACCAGCACCTAGCTAAGAGCCTTATTTTTAAAAATATATAGATATTAATAGTTGTTCAAAGAGGTTACAATTCCTCAAGTCAGGCTAGCTCAGGGACAATACCCAGGCCCAGAGTTCAAGCCCCACAACCGACAAAAAAATAAATAAACAACAACAAAAAAGTGCTTTTACTATGTCTGTACTTGTTGAGAAAATGTTCCTGTTTATGGTAGTATAATTCTGTTTGTTTGTTTGTCCATCCCTGGGGGCTGTCCCTCAGCTCTTCAGCTCAAGGCAAGCAACCTAGTACTTGAACCACAGTGCCACTTCCTGCTTTTTTCTGCTTATGTGGTGCTGAGGCATCAAACCCAGGGCCTCGTGCATGCGAGGCAAGCACTCTACCACTGAGCCACCTTCCCAGCCCCGTTTTGTTTTTTAAAAAATACTGTACACTGTGATTATATTATTCTAAGATGAAAACACAAAGTAAGATAAAAAAGAAAGAATGCTGTGAAGTACAAATAGGAGGTCTCTTCTCCTTCTGATAAGCTGAATGGACTGTGCCAGGAATGGGCAGTTGAGCTTTAGGCCATGAGCATAGCACTTGCTTCCACTGGTTCAGCATGTGTGCCTGACTAAAAATGATCGTGGACTCTCATTTGTATCTGTCCAGGAGGAGAATATCTGTCTGCACTGGGCAGCCTTCTCTGGCTGTGTGGACATAGCTGAGATATTGCTGGCCGCCAAGTGTGACCTACATGCCGTGAACATCCATGGAGACTCGCCTCTACACATCGCAGCCAGGGAAAACCGCTATGACTGTGTTGTGTGAGTGCAGCCCTGCCCTGATGTGGTCCCTACTACTAAGCCAGTTATATCCAACAGTTGTGTCCATAGTAGGCCTGTAACAGCTCTGCTGCGGAGTGGACAGGCACCATTGGTGCCCCACAGGTGAATAAGTGCCTTTCCTAGGCCATATTTGATACTAGCCACGGCTTACTTCAGGCTAGGGCAAATTACCATGACAACCTGAGAGCTGGGCTGTAAGTCAGTTCTTGTGGAGTTACCCAGAGGCTCTCTACTCGCTCTCGGTGTTTCCCACTTAGGGTGAGGCGGATGGTGGCTATCCAAGGCTCTTTCAGATGAGCGGTCTTCTTCCCATGAGGCCCTTACACTCCAGCTGGGGAGGGTAAGGGCGGTGTCATCTCTGCCCCTAGGGAAGGACCAGGAGGACCATGGTTGCTGTGTTGGAATCGAGGGTCTAGGTGGCTTTTGTAGTGTGAGAACTGCATGCAGTGTATGTGAGACTCTCGCCCACTGGGGCTTAACTGATGGGGGCAAGCTTGGCTGCCCTTCCTGTGCATCACAAGTTGTCTTTTCTCCATCGTCATTCTCCTTTATTCTCAATGGCAAAGGTGAAAGAAAAATGTAGTAGCATCCCTAGTTGTTACATGTCCTTCTGGTTAGCAGCCATGAGGCCTTGCAGCGCATGTGGGAGGGGTGGGAGGCTGCACTAGAGCCCTGGGCAGCGGTGCCACCGTCTGCTGATACTCTGCCCTGGCGAGTGTGTCGTTGTACATTCAGCTCTGAGTCTCTCCTATATTCAGAACTGTGTTTCGTTGGCTCCATTTTTCCTTTTAGCCTCTTTCTTTCTCGGGATTCAGATGTCACTTTGAAAAACAAGGAAGGAGAGACTCCACTGCAGTGCGCCAGCCTCAATTCCCAGGTGTGGAGTGCACTGCAGATGAGCAAGGCGCTGCAGGACGCAACCCCGGACAAGCCTGTCGCTGTTGAGAAGACGATGAGCAGGTGAGAAGGTTCTCAGGCCAGAAGGGCTTTGCAGCACGTCCTTGACAGGGGCTAGAAGTGTGTGGGAAGTACTCTTCTGAACCTGGGCTCCGGTCCACAGCTGAATTGGAGAGCCTGCAGCAGTGAGCGTGGTGGCCTCTCTTTCCCTTGCAGAGACATTGCTCGTGGCTACGAGCGCATCCCCATCCCCTGCGTCAATGCTGTGGACAGTGAGCCGTGCCCTACCAACTACAAATATGTGTCTCAGAACTGTGTGACCTCCCCCATGAGCATCGACAGGAACATCACTCACTTGCAGGTTGGCAGGGAGGAGACACTGGGCCGGGGTGGGGCCCTTCTCACCCCTCGGGGAAGAAGAGGGCTGCGGAGTTCCCCAAGGAAACTCGGCACTTGCCTCCAGGAGAAAAGTCCTGCCAGGAAAGAAAAGGAGCTGAGTCTCACATTGGGCACAGAACTGGACCCTCCTATCATGCTTCAAGGGTCTCTTTGCCAGACCGAGTGGCACCGAGTTTTCCTTGGCCAGCTTTTGTGCCTCTTCTTTTCTTCCTGGCTAAAATTAGATATAGCCTAAGGGCTGTCCTTATGACTGCTAGTAGGAAAGCCCCGGGATCACAGGACGGACCCTGGTGGGCCTCTGGTTGGTTTGTGGGGCTCCACCTCCTCACTTGTCTCTTGAAGTATCTGGCCTCAAGCTCCGTGGGACTTGTTTGTGTCCTCGGGGGCTGTGCCTTGCTGGCCTCCCGTTTGTTGCCCCTTCCCCATAGACGTTGGCATTTCGTCAGTGTTTGTCCCAAGCATTTCCCCACATTCCTGAGAAAGCCCATGTGAACTTCAGTTTCCTTCTGGGAGTTTGCACATTTGGTGGTGACATGCAGAAGGAGCAGCAGGAGCAAAGCCCATCTGACACACGGTGTGCTCTGTCCCCAGTACTGCGTGTGTGTGGATGACTGCTCCTCCAGCACCTGCATGTGCGGCCAGCTCAGCATGCGCTGCTGGTACAACAAGGTGAGCTTACGAGTTTGCTGATGTCTACTTCTGTCGTAAGTTCTACAGAGGGAGTCAATGGATCCAAGTCACTTCCTGGTTCTAAGTAAGAAGCTGGAGGCCAGCTGGGTGTGGACACAAGGCGAAAAATGGGTATAGTAGGCTGGAAGTGAGTGAATGGTCTAAGTGGTCTTTGGGCTGAGGTGTGGATTCTTGACTTCCTGGGATTGAAGCCAGTGTACTTTGTAGCCCACCTGGACAGTGGTGGAGTGGTCACCTGGTACAGCCATGTGAGGAACCCTTTGTCACTTGTGTTTGATGAGTCCTCCCTTGTGCCTGCAGAGTGTGAATAGCAGAAAGACAAAGATGCTAAGCTGGGGGCTGGGAAGGTGGCTCAGTGGCAGAGCACTTGCCTTGCATGCCTGAGGCCCTGGGTTCGATTCCTCAGCACCACATAAGCAAAAAGAAAAAAGCCGGAAGTGGCATTGTGGCTCAATTGGTAGAGCGCTAGCCTTGAGCTGAAGAGCTGAGGGACAGCGTCCAGGCCCAGAGTTCAGGCCCACAACCGGAACCCCCCGCCCCCCCCCCCCCCCCCCAAAAAAAAAGAAGAAGAAGAAAGAAAATGGCTAAGAGTTGGGCGCCAGTGGCTCGCACCTATAATCCTAGCTACTCAGGAGGCTGAGATCTGAGTATTGTGCTTTGAAGCCAGCCAGGGGAGGAAAGTCTTTTTTTGGGGGGAGGGGTCAGTCTTGGGGCTTGAACTCTGGGCCTGGATGCTGTCCCTGAGCTCTTCAGCTCAAGGCAAGCGCTCTACCGCTTGAATCACAACACCACTTCCAGTTTTCTAGTGGTTTATTGGAAATAAGAGTCTCACAGATTTTCCTGCCCAGGCTGGCTTTGAACTGTGATCTGCAGATCTCAGCCTCCTGAGTAGCTAGGGTTACAGGCGTAAGCTACCGGCGCCCAGCTCGTGAGACTCTTATCTCCAGTAAACTACTCAGAAAAGGCTGGAGGTGGTACTATGTCTCAAGAGGTAGAACGCTAGCCTTGAGCACGAAGAGGTTCAGGGAAAGCGCCCAGGCCCTGAGTTCAAGCCCCAAGACTGGCCAAAAAATAAAATAAAAAAATGACCGTAGGACACTAGGAGGTGGGGTGGGACTAGCACGTGTCAGCTGTGTTCTGAGTGCAGTCCACCTTTGGGGACATGGATGCTCTGAGGAAAGCCACTGTTGGGTGAAGGCACCTGTGCACTGTGCACTGTCCTGTCCATGTACACATGTCCTAGCGCATCACCTGTACCATTGAGGTATAGGAAGAAGAGAGATGGCTGGGTTCTCCAGACTTGGGGATTTGAGAATATAGGAGAGATCAGGAAGCCTGACGACCTGGAGGAAGGGGATTCTGTGCCCATAGCCCCCAAAAGCCTGAGAGGTCAGAGCGGATGTATTAGGAAGACAATGGGACCAAACAAAAGAGAACTCTGTTAAGAAACCCTCAAACTGCCAGGCACTGGTGGCTCATGCCTGTAATCCTAGCTACTCAGGAGGCTGAGATCTGAGGATCTCGGTTCAAAGCCAGCCGGGGCAGGAGAGTCCGTGAGACTCCTATCTCCAATAAACCACCAGAAAACCGGAAGTGGCGCCGTAGCTCAAGTGGTAGAGCGCTCGCCTTGAGCTGAAGAGCTGAGGGACAGCGCCCAGGCCCAGAGTTCAAGCCCCACGACTGACCAAAAAAAAAAAAAAAAGAAACCCTCGAACCTACACAACACCTAGTAAAACCTCCCAATCAAACCACAAATGCAGATCTTAAAATCTGACCCGAAACTATCATTTTTATGTCCATTTGAAGCTACACTGGGCATTTTATAAATGTGTTGTTATTAGTTGATTTTGAAAGATGATCGGCACCTGCTGGCCTCTGTGGCCATCTGTCCACAGGATGGCAGGCTTTTGCCTGAGTTCAACATGGCAGAGCCTCCCTTGATCTTTGAGTGCAACCACGCCTGCTCCTGCTGGAGGAACTGCCGCAATCGTGTTGTACAGAATGGTCTCAGGTGAGTGATGTGTGCATAGCACAGGTTGACGCTAAGATCATCCAACGAACGTGGTGCTGGTGCCTTTAAGAGATGGCTTGCTTGCATGAACGACCAGGCCTCACTGGCCAGACATGCATTGAGACGAGAGGCTGAGCCCAGAGCCTAGGGGCTGTACTGCCAAGGCTCATAACGTACCTTCCTCAGTGGACAGAGCTTTCTTTGTTCTCTTTTAGTGCTCCAGCTGTTTTCTGTTGATGGTGAGAATGGTGGTGACTGAGGTGCTCTCAAGCCCCTTCTCGAGTTGCCTGAGGTCTCTGGTCCCATCAGCCCTGCCCTGTGACCTTTCATGGCCTGAGTAGGGTTGTAGCATCGGTTGCTATGGTCTATACCGGAATAGAGGACAGTAGTAACCAGCCCACATTCTTCCCTCCTAGTAGTAGACTCCTGGGTAGAGCTCAGACACGCTGTTCTGCCCTCACCTTGGCTACAAATGTCTGACAAGACAGGCATGACACAGAAGGGGGCTTTGAAGAGTGCATAGAAGCCCCCTAGGGCCTGCTTGGCCCTGAGTATTCTTTGCAGTTACTTGTTGCTTCTCTGGTATGGCTGTTTTTAGTCCTCACAGCTGCCTGTTCAACAGGGCCAGGGCCAGTCACAGGAGAGGAAAACAGATATGCAGCTGCTGCCCTCAAGGCGTTGACAAGCTGCATTCTGTACTCTCAGTTCCTTCATGTAAGGCGATCTGTCTGGAAGGTGTCGGGCTGGTCTCACTTGTCACATTCATGGATTTGAAACGTCTGTTCCTTTTTCTATTTACTCTTAGCACTTACTTGAGAACACAGTGTAAAATGGTTTGCTGTTCTCCCCTGTACCTGTTTTGCAGGGCAAGACTGCAGCTTTATCGGACACAGGACATGGGCTGGGGTGTACGGTCCCTGCAGGACATCCCGCTGGGCACATTTGTTTGCGAGTAAGTGGGTCCTGGGGTTCCCCAACTTTGTTAGTTGCACTTGTCATTTCTGGGATTGGTACTTGTATGTATCCATGTTCTAAGAACCTCCCAGAAACAGGTCTGCAGAGATGCTGGGCCCCCTAGTTGCCTGCTGGCAAACTGCCTAGACACAGAGCGTTCTGTTTCTGACCCACTGCCTGGGTCTTGCCCACAGCCACTCTGATAAGCCTCTGTGAAATTGTTGCACAGTACTCATTTCCTTGGCAAGCCATCCTGGGTCTTTACTGTATGCTGCAGAAACAAGAGCTTCTGTATTGTTTTGTCTCATGTCCTCATCTTGTGGAATCAGAGCCTGCTGAGCCTTGGATGCTTCATGGATTCGTGATGCTGTTTCCCATGTGAGAGCACAGAGGTGATATGACCCTTCCTCTCCTTGCTGCAGGTACGTTGGGGAGCTGATTTCTGATACTGAGGCTGATGTCCGGGAAGAAGACTCTTACCTCTTTGATCTTGACAATAAGGTAATGTATTAGAAGGGCCAAGACATAAGAAACAATTGCAAATTGTAAAACTTGAGAAGTTAGTTCATATAAAGTCTGGAAAGTACGCAGGTTTTCCTGCACGGAATGAGCTCATCAGGCTGTTTTTCTCCTATTAACACTTCTCTCCACCCCTTCGCAGTGACTATTACCACATGTCCCAGAGGCCTGAGCTGTTTCTGGGTTACTGTAATTGATGTCCTCTGATCTTAATGGATATTTTTATGAAGGCCATGTTCTTCAGTCTCTTAAGTTTGAATCACCTGGATTCTACAGAAGTTCTAAAGAAACTTCTGTGTGATTTGCTGGGGAGAACTGTGAGTGGATGACTTACACTGGGGGACAGTGCTTTTTGTTGGTGCTGTTTATCACTTCATGAATATACTATGTCTCTCCACTTAGTCTAATGGTTAGCTTTGGTTTGATAGTATCTATCTTATTGTACTTCTTATTGTAAAATCAAATAAGGAAGCCTGGCGTTGGTGCCTCATGTTTGTAATCCTAGCTACTCAGGAGGCTGAGATCTGAGGACCATGGTTTGAAGCCATCCAGGCAGAAAAGTCCCTGTGAGACTCTTATCTCCAGTTAACCACTCAAAAACTAGAAGTGGCACTGTGGCGGAAAGTGGTAAAGTGCTAGCCTTGAGCAAAAGAGCTCGGGGACAGTGCCCAGGCCCTGAGTTTAAACCCCATGACTGACAAAAACAAAACAAAAAGCCCTTTTTCTTCAGGATCCACTTTTCAAGGCATTCTCTTCATTATAACAGGGTTCACACACCTGCTGCACTAGAGTCCTCAGAGTCCCGTAAACTCCCTTTCCCCACTCATCCCTGAGGATGGATTGGGTCCTGCGTCCCGCTGTGGGCTGTCTCGCTGTGGCTGCCTGTTAGTGGGCCTCTTCATTGCCCACTTGACTGCACGTGCACCTAGTTGTCCTTAGTTTTGCTGCAAGGAATAAGTGTCACTCTCTCAGAGCCCTGCTCTGCAGTACACATTTCCGTTATTTGTGGCAGATACCTGGAGCAGAGTTACAAGGTCTTGTGGTATGTTGGCTTTTTGACCAAATACCTGAGATATCAACTGAAGAGGAGAAAAGAGTGATTCTGGCTCGTAGTTCCAGAGGTTTCACTCCATGCTCCGTTGACTCAGTGGCCTCTGCACCGTGGCGAGGCAGAGCATCCTGCCGTGGAACAGCTCTGTTCTGCCTGTGGCAGCCAGGAAGCAAAAGAGAGGAAGGTAAAATACCCTTCTCAAGGGCGCACTTGCAGTGACCTACTTCCTTTCACTAGGCCCCACCTCTCAGTAACCCATTAAGCTATGGATCCATCCGTGGACTACGTCTTCCATCCATTCTGATCTAATCACCTCCCCAGCATGGTGGGGGAGCATTGTTGCACTGGGGACCAGGCCTTCAACAGTGAGCCTCAAGGAGACATTTCTGAGCCAGATTGTGTCATGTAGTAAAGGGGTGTTTAACTTTAAAAGAAACTGCCAGTTTTCCAAGATGGTCTCACCACTTGACAGTCCCACCAGCAACAAACTGGAATTTGAGACACTTTGGTGGTTGTCTTTTTTTTTTTTTTTTCCCCGGTCCTGGGTCCTGAACTCTGGGCCTGGGCGCTGTCCCTCAGCTCTTCAGCTCAAGGCTAGCGTTCTGCCACTTGAGCCACAGCGTTACTTCCAGTTTTCTGAGTGGTTTATTGGAGATAAGAGTCTGCACTTTTCCTGTCTCGGGCTAGCCTTGAACTAGGATCCTCAGATCTCAGCCTCCTGAGTAGCTAGGATTACAGGTGTGAGCCACTGGCACCTGATGAGACAATTTTTGTTGTTGTTTTTTGGTTTGTTTGTTTTCCAGTCATGGGGCTTGAACTCTGGGCCTGGGCGCTGTCCCTCAGCTCTTCAGCTCAATGCAAGCACCAATGCCCTACCTTTTTTTGTTTTTTAGGACAAGGTCTTGCTGTATAGCTGAGGGAAGCTTGAAAATCATGATCTTTTTTCTTTTTTTTTTTTTTTTCTGGGTAGTCCTGGAGCTTGAACTCTGGGCCTGAGTACCATGCCTAAGCTGCTTTTTTGCTCAAGGCTAGTGCTGTATGACTTGAGCCACGGCATCACTTCAGGCTTTTTCTGTTTATGTATTACTGAGCAATCAAGCACAGGGCTTCGTGCATGCTGTGCAGGCGCTCTACCGCTAAGCCACCTTCCCAGTCCGCATGGTCCTTCTATATTCTATGGAGTAAACTTCCTGTTCTGGTGTGGGTGTGGGTGTGTGCCCGTCTTGGGGCTTAAACTCTGAGCCTGGGCACTGTTCCTGAACTTTTGCTCAAGGCTAGTGCTCTACCACTTGAGCCACAATGCCACTTCCAGCTTTTTTGAGTAGTTTACTGGGGATACAAATCTCATGGGAGTTTTCTCCTCAGGCTGGCTTTGAACTGCAATCTTCAAATCTCAGCTTCCTGAGTAGCTGGAATTACAGGTGTGAGCCACTGGCGCCCAACTTTTCTGACATTTTTTTTTTTTTTTTCTTTTTTGGTCCTGGGGCCTGAACTCGGTCTGGGTGCTGTCCCTCAGCTCTTCAGCTCAAGGCTAACGCTCTACCACTTGAGCCACAGCACCACTTCTGTTTTTTTCTGCTTATGTAGTGCTAAGGAATCGAACCCAGGGTCTCATGCATGCAAGGCAAGCGCTCTACCACTTGAGCCACCTTCCCAGGCCTCCTGTCCATTTTTAACTAGGCCATTTGCCTTTCTGTTGGATCATAAGAATTCTGGCTTTGTTAGTTGTCTGTATGTATGTTTATGTACATATGGCATACATGTTTTCTCCCAGATTTTCCCTTCTTCTAGCTCCCTTCTTTCTCCTTCCTTCCATTTTGCCTTCCTTCATCAGATTTCTTGGAATACAAGAAAGGTAAAAAAAAAGAGTGGGAATGTGTTTCATGCATGGGAGTAGGCCTGAGTCAGAGCTTCAGAGCTCTCATTTTCTTTTCCTTTTTTTTTTTTTCTTGGGCCTGGGCACTGTCCCTGAGCTTCTTTTGCTCAAGTCAAGTGGTCTACCACTTGAGCCACAACCACTTCTGTTTTTGTTTTTTGGTTTTTTTTTTTTGTCGGTCGTGGGGCTTGAACTCTGGGCCTGGGCGCTGTCCCTCAGCTCTTCAGCTCAAGGCGAGCGCTCTACCACTTGAGCTACAGCGCCACTTCCGGTTTTCTGGTGGTTTATTGGAGATAGGAGTCTCACGGTCTCTCCTGCCCGGGCTGGCTTTGAACCGCGATCCCCAGATCTCAGCCTCCTGAGTAGCTAGGATTACAGGCGTGAGCCATCAGCGCCCGGCTTCACTTCTGTTTTTGTGTGTGTAGTTTATTGGAGGTAAGAGTCTCATGGAGGGGCTGGAAAGACGGCTCAGTGGTAGAGTGCTTGCCTTGCATGCATGAGGCCCTGGGTTCAATTTCTCAGCACCACATAAGCAGAAAAAGCCAGAAGTGCACGTGCTATGGCTCAAGTGGTGGAGTGCTAGCAAATAAAAGTCTCATGGAGGGCTGGGAAGGTGGCTCAGTGGTAGAGCACTTGCCTTGCATGCCTGAGGCCCTGGGTTCGATTCCTCAACACCACATAAGCAAAAAGAAAAAAGCTGGAAGTGGCATTGTGGCTCAAGTGGTAGAGCGCTAGTCTTAAGCTAAAGAGCTGAGGGACAGCGCCCAGGCCCAGAGTTCAGGCCCCACGACCAGACCCCCCCCAAAAAAAGTCTCATGGAGTTTCCTGCTCAGGCTGAGTTTGAACCCAGATCTCTGCCTCCTGAGTAACTAGGATGACAGGCATGAGCCACCAGCACATGGCTTCATTTTCTCAGTGGTGTCACTGATGGAGAACTTTTATATTTATTATTGTTGTTGTTGTTATTATTTTGCCAGTCCTAGGGCTTGAACTCAGGGCCTGGACACTGTCTCTGAGCTTCTTTTGTTCAAGGCTAGTGCTCCAACACTTGAGCCACAGCTCTACTTCCAGCTTTTTCTGGTACTGAGGAATTGAACCCAAGGCTTCATGCATGCTAAGCAGGCCCTCTACCACTAAGCCACCTTCCCAACCTTTGCAGAACTTTTTAAATGTTCAGTCTGTTCTGTCTACTGCACTGTGGTGAAAACCTTTCTCTAGAAGCTCTGTGTTTTGTCCATGCTCTGGTCTGCAGTCTGAGGCAAAGGCTAATCTCTTCCTTGTGCCTGTGGACTGGCAGCCCTCTGGTACCACTGGCTGAGACATGACCACCTGTTCACCACTGCCCTGTCTGGACCGTCTCTTCCTTTGTTCTATTTGCTGACCCTCATAGAAGGCCACACTTTGGCTGGCCATAGTTTTCCATGGTCTCTGACTCTTGTTTTCCTGATGTTAGCTCTGAGGATCTTTGGTTTTCCGGGCAAATTCAAGACCTCATCAGTATGTGGACACAGCACAGTACTGGAGTCATGTCCAGCATTACATCAACCTGGGCCCAGTGGGGCCTGGTGGGGCACCGTGTCTAGGCCATCCAGACCAAGTGGGCTTAGGACTCGGCTCCTGGCTGGGGTGTGAGCACTGTTTCCTGCGCTGCCAGCAAGGCTGCACCAGGTCCTGGAGGCACAGTTAAGCCGGCCTTGGTCACCTCCCCAGCGCCTCCCTCGTAGCATGGCCACCAGGATCTGCCTCCTGTAGAACTTTTGCCTTTTTCAGAGTATCATAGAAGTGATTCTTACTTGTCCTAGAGGCAGAAAGCTGAGGCCAGACTGACTGGAAATCTACCCTGATGGAACCCCTCACTGCCTCCCCCTCTCCCCTCTCCGCTCTCCCTGCTCCACGGGGCTCTGGAACAGCCACGCAGGGGTGGCCTTCCCCAGCCCCTGTGGCATGTTTGCCTCGGGCTGTGGAGCAGGGTTTCTTGGTTGAGCAACTGAAGAAGAGCTGCAGGGGTGACTGAAAGGTCCCATCTTAAGTTTCCGACACTGGCCTTGGTGGCCCCGGAGCAGGAGCACTCAGCTGGACGCGGCTGTGTTCCCGTGTGAAGGCCGCATTGGCCGCACTGCCCTTGTTCCGTATCCCGGCAGGCAGTGGGGTCCAGGTAGAGTATGGAAGACAGCCTGAGGAGCCCAGGGGTTCTCTGAATGTGGCCTTCATGCTTGGGAGCTGCACTAGGGTTTGAGGGCAGGTGAATGACCACATGTGCCCGTCTCAGAAATCCTCTGGATCATACTGAAGCTCTCCCCATAGAGTTGGCAGTTTGCCTGTAGGATACCCTGTTTCTAGACAGCCGTAGATCCCTCACACAGGCCTGAGAATGTTTGTCATGAGGCTCAGATGTTTGGGGGCAGGGGCAGTGAGAAGAAGATTCCTTTGAAGTACTGTACTGTCATCTCAGCCTGTAGTTTTGGACTGAGACTGCCAGATGAGAGTAGCAGCTGAGACCCTTAAGTAACTGGGCTCCTTGTCTTCCTTGGCACTTTGAGGTGCTGGTCCAGCCCTCCTGGGAAGCTCCCACCCCTCCTCACGGCTGTGGGTGGGTTGTACGCTGATGGCACCCTGTGTGTGCTTCCCCTGAACAGAAACATCAAGCCTGAGGCCTGGGGGTTGATGGAGAGCCTGCCCCATGGCAGGGACAGGGCTGCAAGTGCTGCACTCTGCCCATCATAGATGTGGCCACTACGGGAGCCAGACTTTTCTTAGTGCTGAGGAGGAGTGGCTCCCTCCCGCCGTTGTCTACTGTGCCATCCCTTGTTTTGGCACTAGAGCCTATTCAGACTAGCCTTTCTGTCTGGCAGTTTTCTGGCACCTCCAGGCTTCCATGTCCAGCCCTGCCCCATGCTCGAATTTGTTTGCGCGTGCGTGTGCTATGCTTGAACTCAGGGCCTCATACATTGCTTGGCTTTTTTGCTCAAAGTTGACATTCTACCACTTGAACCACAGCTCTACTTCTGGCTATTGGTGGTTAATTGGAGAACACAGTCTCTTAGATTGGATTGCCCAGACTGGTTTTGAACCACAGTCCTCAGATCTCAGCCTCAGTAGCTAGGATTGCAGGTGTGAACCACTGATGCCTGTCACTAAATGTCCTTTTTCCTTCAGAGAAGAACAAGATTAGATACTACAGTGCTCACTTCTGTAAGCACTGTACCAATCTATTAACTTGTGAGAATGTTGTTCCCAGCACTCGGGTCTAAGAAGCATGCATGTCAGGGTGATTGTGAGTGCCATCCAACCCCTGATGGACAGCTTTTCTGTTTCTTTTGGGCTTTAGAATACATTCCCCTGAGGCTATACAAATGCTGTGCTTTGCAGTATTGAAATAAGTATTTCTTTCAGTGAAGTCATATTACCAGACAATGAAGTGGTATTATAGAGCTATGTTTGATTATAGAGCTATGTTAATTTGCCAGTTTTCCTTTTTTGGGAGGATTGATGTTTGAACTAGGTCCTCACACTTGCTAGGCACTTGATCCATGCCTCTTGTCTGTTAATTTATTTTGATTAATTATAAGTAGGATTTTTAGGGCTGGGGGTATGTATAGCACTACTAAATTTTAAAATTATGTGCGTGTGGTTGTGCACACGTACAGTTTCAGCAACTGGGGAGGGAGAGAAGAAAATCACAAGCTCTAGGCCAGCCTAAATAACACAGATCCTGTTCTCAAGATGTTTTTTCCTTTCTTGGCGCTAGGTCTTGAATTTGGGAGCTCCTGCTCTCATGTGGCTTTTTCTTTCAAGACTGGTTCATTGCCACTTGAGCCACAGCTCCACTTCTAGCTTTTTGCTGGCTAATTGGAGCTAAGAGTCTCATGGACTTTTCTGCCTGGTTTGGCTTCAAACCACAGTCCTCAGATCTCCGTCTCTACTTAGCTAGAAATACAGGAGTTGAGTCACAAGTACCCAAGTAAGATACAAAAATTTCAAAGGGCTTAGCAGTAGAGCAGTTGCCTAGCATGCGTGAGGATTCAACCTATTGAATCCTTAGTATTGTCAATTATTACTTTTTAACATTCGAGTATGCAAAAGGTTTACATGCTGTAATGAAAAATATATATTTAAGTCATGCTCAGGAAAGTCTTGCTTCTATATGTCTTCTCAGCATTCCATTTTCTTTTTCTATTTAGGCTTCTAAATAAAGACCATAGACTGAGAGACTTACAAACAATAGAAATCTATTTCTTACACCTCTGGGGTACAAGTCAGAGCAGCTTTCGAATGTATAGCTTTTGCCTTCTTTTCTTGAGGCAGGAAGGATAGGAGCCTCTCAGAGCGTGGAACAGAGCCTTCATCCTGTAGGACCTATGCCCCGCCCCTGCCTCTCAGAGCAGAGCCTACACCCAGTTCCTGCCTCTCAGAGTTGGTGGAACAGGGTCTCTATTCTGCAGGGCCTACGCCAGCTCCCGCCTCTCAGAGCAGGGCCTATGCCCAGCCCCTGCCTCTCAGAGCTGTGGTGCTGGTTACATGGGCAGGGACTGCTTTCCTGGAGCACACTTGCCAGGCTGAAGCCTTAGGGGTTCTTGCTTCCTTGCAGGACGGAGAGGTGTACTGCATTGACGCTCGGTTCTATGGGAATGTCAGCCGGTTCATAAACCACCACTGCGAGCCCAACCTTGTGCCAGTGCGTGTTTTTATGTCGCACCAGGACCTGCGTTTTCCCAGGATCGCCTTCTTCAGTACCCGATTGATCCAGGCCGGGGAGCAGCTCGGGTACGTACAGCCTCAGGCATAATGGGAACCAGGCTGGAGGCAGGGGCCTTGCTTTCTTGGTCATCACATACTGACCAAAGTGTGGAGCCTAGATGGGTTAGCTCAGGGCTGGTGGGGAGCCCCCCACCCCCACCCCATTTGTGCTTGCTGTGCAGAAGAACTGAGTTCGGCTTCCCCCAGGTTTGACTACGGGGAGCGCTTTTGGGACATCAAGGGCAAGCTCTTCAGCTGCCGGTGTGGCTCCCCCAAGTGCCGGCACTCGAGCGCAGCCCTGGCCCAGCGGCAGGCCAGTGCAGCCCAGGAGGCCCAGGAGAACGGACTACCCGACACCAGTTCTGCAGCTGCCCTGGATCCCCTCTGAGATGGCAGCAGGTCAGGTTCTGATGACTGCAGTTTAGGAGGTTCTGCAATCTGACAGCAGGGCCCTGGAGGGACGGGAGGTGTAGACACCGTCTGGGAACATTCCACGTGGAAGCCTTGTGGCTGCCAGTGCTCAGGCACAGCCACCTTGAACCATGCACCCTGAAAACCTGGGGCTTGGTGTTGGTATAACCTTGTGAGTTCCTGGTGGTAGCTTTGTTGTTGTGGCATTTCCCACATCTCCCTCTGATCGCTGAGGCCCTTCCTCCACCACCAGGCTTATCTGTCTCCTGTCCAGCCAGGCTGCCAAAGCTGCCACCCCTCACAAGCTGCTCCGTTAGACTGCCACCCACAGCCTGTGCGGCCTGTGTCAGCTCCGGGGTGCCATGCGAAGGATGCGGGCTCCTTCGTGGGCTTGGAAAGGTTGATGTGACCCCACCACTAACTTTGGAGAAAATGGGGTTTGCTTTTTAGAGGAGTCCTGTATATCACGTCCTGTGTGTCACGCCTCTCACTGGCAAGGAAGTGGGTTGGTGGGTGCGGGCGGACCTGCACCAGCCCGGCTAGCTCCGTTGATGCACCTTCTGTCGGTTTCTAAGCCACATGCTATGAGGATGAGTACCCTGATTTGTTTTCTACCATTACCGAAAGTTAGGACAAACAAAGAATAAAACACAGACAACGGTGCTGAATCTGGTGTGGTTTCTACTCACCATGTGAAAATAAACTATCAACTGTAAAAAGAGAACAAAGTGATTTTAGAATAAAATGCAGGAAAAACTTTTTTAAAATGTTAGTCTTGTAGTGTGAATAAATTTGCTATCACCTTTTGTGTGATGGCCTGGCAAGTCATGTACTTTTTTTTTTTTTTTTTTGCATATACCTTTCTAAATACTGTAATTAGTGCAGCAAAGGTGGGTTTTTTTGTTTTTATTTGTTTCTATTTTTGTTTGTGTGTGTGTGTGAGAGAGAGAGAGAGAAAGAGAGAGAGAGAGAAACTCTTCTAAAACATTCATAATGCAGTCATGTTTTTTTCCTGTTACAATGTTTTTGACAGTTTTAAGAGCAGTCTTTTGGCTCAGACCATTTCTTGTTCTGTTTTCAATGAAATCAATAAAACAAAACAACAAAAAGTATTTCAAGTGAGGTTTTTATTACGATGCCATGCTTCTCCTGAGCTCTAAAGCCACTGCACCTCCCTCTGGATGCCATGCTTACAGACCCACAGCCAAGCTCATGCAGCTTCCCACTCACCCCAGACTGGTCCCTGCAGAGTGGGCCTCTGCAGGTGTCAGTCAGGAGGGCTGTGTGTCTGTGTTCTTGTGTGTGCATCCCTGCGTCGAGCACCAGGAGCCCAGGCCCAGGATTCATGCTAGAGCCCACCTGGGCAGCACAGGTAAGTGTCTACATTGGTCAGCAACAGGACATAGTTAGGCTGGAGGGAATGTCAGAGCTCTTCACTCTTTCTGCCTGGTCTGCACCCCTTCATAGAAACCCTAGACCAGAGCCTGCTGTGTCCTCTGCGGGACTGATCTTATTCACCCCAGTGGTTTTTGTGAGTGTAATGAAAAATAGATCAAAGACTACATTTTTCTGTACATGGAGCTCATTCCATGAGCACTGCTAGAAAGAAGATAGGCAGCCATCCTGCACTTTGCACATAGCCCAAGCAGGAGAGCCATCACTGGCTGCCCAGCCTGCAGCCCATTTCCCTGCCTGGCAGCAGTCACAATAGAACTCATGGCTCTGCACTGGAAGAAGGGTCCAGGCTGAAGTCCAGCCAGGAGGGCTTGCAAGCCGCTTCCAGGGCGTGACCGAGTGGGCCAGCTGGAGCCCTGCCAGCTTGAGAGGCCTGGCACTGCCAGGTAGTTGGCACCAGGGTCACTGGTTTTCTGCGTCCTGGTTGCATGTACTAGGTCAGGTATTTGTGTACAACAGTGTTAGCTGGACAAGGATCCAGGACAGCTGTAAGCATTCGTGGTGTGGGCAGGCCAGCAGAGGAGAGAACAGGATTGGTTGCTCCCTCCCCATTCAGTCGCTTCCGACCGTGTAAAGTAAGTGCTGTCCACAGGAGCCTGGTGAGCGTGCTTGCGGGCAGCCCACACCTGCCCCGGTAGGCAGGGAAGGCGCTTGGGCACGCAAGCTGCTTTGGATCCTGCCAGGACCCAGTGAACACCGGTGGTGCTGTGGAGGGCTCTACCTCCATTTTACTCTTTGGACAAGTAAGTCTGAAATCCTAGGCTAAGCTTAAATCCTGTGGCGACTGATTTTCAAACTCCTGTCACTCTAAGCAAAGCACCAGCTCATTCTAGCGTCTTGGCTCGAGCCACACCGCGTGTCCAGTAAGCTAAGGAAGATCCCTGCCCCCAGTCCTGCTGGGGAGGCGTCTACCCTGAGCTCACAGTAAGTAGAGCTTGGGTGGGATGTAGCCCAGCTGCAGTGCCAGGAGCTCCGGGGGCTCCTCCAGTCATGTTCTGAGTGTGACAGTCTGCGTCCCTGCTGCCATCACTCCACATGGACCCCACAGGGGTCTCACAGACCACTCTTCACAGGAATTGCTCTTCTTTCTGTAGAAGTCTCCCCTATTCATTACCAAAAACTCAATTTGCAGAACCAGGAGATGCAGTAGCCCACCAGAAGTTCCCATTCTTGGCCTCCCACAGGCTTCCAGAGGCAGGCAAGGTGCCCCATGCCACCAGGTGGCACACACCTTGGTGTCCAAATGGTGGTTAGCAGGTGCATCATGCTTCCTCCAGCTCCACACCAATCAAGCCTTTGTTGATGCACACGAAGATGTTTCCAATTTGCAACTAATATAAGGCACATTAGAAGATTCCTTTTCCATGTGTGCACTTGTCTTCTTTGGGAAGGAGTCAGAGAAGAAATGAAACCAAGAAAGTCGAGGCCTCCATGTGCCTGTTAGGATCAACCACCCCTTTCTGTGGACTGGTGGATAAGGTTGAGGATGCTGGCTGCTGGACCCCAAGGACGAGCCACTAATGAAACAGACTGGGTTTGCGTTTAGGATTTCTGTTCACAGGTGAACTGTCGCCACAGGCCTGTTCTTGTGGAGAGCCCATATAGTGCCTGAGTGGAAATTCCCGATAGAATTCTGTAAGCCGGCACCACAGTTCTGTTTTTCAAATAAAGGCTGTTTTCCTTTGACCACCTCATCAACTGTTTACCTACAAGCAACTTTGAGGTCTGATAGTAAAATGCCACATAAAATAAAGGTTGTTTCTGCCATCAGAATCCATTCTCATTGCACATCGAGAGTATCACCACTTTGCTTGCTTTTTCCTCATTGTAGAGGAAAAATTAATGTATTTTTTTGCAGATGTTTATTAATAGAATTTAATATATGTATTACACATTGTCCTTTCCCTCTTGTGAACTTCATCTATTGCTTGCATTTTTCTTACTGATTGGACTGGACTTTTTATATATTGTAGTTTTACACCCATTAAAATGTTTTAAGGTGGCAAGATCTATGACTTGACTGACTTATATATTCTATTTAGAAAATTCTCCACCCCCAAATTAATGCATACATATATATGCCAGCACTGATTCTGGTGTTTTAATCTTAAATTTTGCCTGTGGAATCCAGCTGTGGTGTGAAGTAACTAATAAAGATTATATGTTTTTACTGAGGCATAATTTATGAGTGGTAATGTGAGTGGATCTCATGAATTTAGCTCTATACATTTGAGCAAATACCTGGCTCTACTACTTGATCCACAGTGCCGCTTCCAGATTTTTTGAGTAGTTTATTGGTGATAAGTCTCACAGACTTTCCTGCCCCAGCTGACTTTGTAATGAGATCCTCAGACCTCAGCCTCCTGAGTGCTCTAGAACTTAAGTACACTGTGCAGCTGACTACCAGTTCTGTATGTCTATTTTCTTCCAAGTGTGTGTTTCAGTCATCCCATGGTTGCTGTTAGCAGTTCTGAACATTCTTTCATAGGTACATAGGTTTTGGTTTGTCTAAGATGAATCCTGGTAGAGGATTTGATCTGTGGAGTAGGTGAGCTGCACTGAATCACACAGTTTTTCTTTTCTTCTCTTTTTGTGGTGCTGGGATCAAACCCAGGATGTTAAAATGCTCATCACTTCTGTCTGCAGGAGCTGAAGTCTTCCCAATTGGGGCAAGTCTAACCTTCCTCCCAGGTCTAACCTACCCTCCCTCCTTTATTCCCTCCCTCCCTCCCTCCCTCCCTCCATCCCTCCATCCCTCCCTTCCTTCCTCCCTTCTCTCCCTCCCTCCCCTCTCTCTCTGTTCTCTCTCTCTCTTCCCTCTTCTCTCTTCTTTCTTCTGTCTCTGCTTGAACTCTGGGCCTGGGTGCTGTCCCTCAGCTCTTCAGTTCAAGGTGAGCACTCTACCACTTGAGCCACAGCGACACTTCAGGTTTTCTGATGGTTAATTGGAGACGAGAGTTTCATGGACTTTGCTGCCGGGGCTGGCTTTGAGCCACCAGGTATGAGCCCAGCTTCTTCCTTCTTGATTAATATGTTCTCTTCCTAAGTATCTTTAATACTTGAGAAGAAAATAGCTAATTTTCTGGATTCTTCTCAATTCTCACTGTGGTCTGGATGTGATTTGAGTGTTTGTATGTTGCAGTTTGGTTCATGGTGAAGTGTTAAGAGTTAATTGCATTAAAATTAGCTGGGCCAGGCACCAGTGGCTCACACCTGTAATCCTAGCTACTCAGGAGGCTGAGATCTGAGGATCTTGGTTCAAAGCCAGCCCAGGTAGGAAAGTCCATGAGACTCTTATCTCCAATTAACCAGCAGAAAATGGGAAGTGGCACTGTTCTTCGAGTGGTAGAGAGCTCACCTTGAGCTGAAGAGCTCAGGGACAGTGGCCAGGCCCAGAGTTCAAGACCCACCCATGACAGACAACAAAACATTAAAATCACCCAGCTATCCTAGAGCCAAAGGTTGAGAGGACCACAGTTCAAGGACAGCAGAGGCCAAAAGTTACCAAGACATCTCAGTCAATAATTTGGTGATACAGATCTGTTACCCCAGCTGTACTGGGTCCTGGCTCGAGTAGTACAACATCTGTCTTAACAACTGAAGTACCACCATCACCCCCCAAAGAAGGATATAAATATAATCAACTAGTGTTTGGGCCTGGGGTCTTCAGCAGGTGATCAGGACACGTGAGGTCATCGGGGTGTAGCTCCCATGAACCAATCCCATTTTGTGTGTGTGTGGTACCATACTGGAGCTTGAACTCAGGGCCTGGACGCTGTCCCTCAGCTTTTCTGCTGAAGGCTAGTTCCCTACCATTTGAGCCACAGCTTTACTTCTGACTCTGCTGGATAATTGAAGATAAGAGTCTCATGGACTTTTCTACCCCACAATCCTCAGATCTCAGCCTCCTGAGTAGCTAGGATTATAGGTATGAGCCACTGGCGTCATTCGGTTTTGGTTTTCTTTCTTCTTTTCTCCTGCCCCCTCCTCTCTCGCCAGTCCTGGGGCTTGAACTCAGGGCCGGGGCTCTGTCCCTGAGCCTCTGTGCTCAAGACTAGCTCTCTACCACTTGAGCCACAGCTCTACTTCAGCTTTTTCTGTTTATGTGGTACTAAGGAATGAACCCAGGGCCTCAGGCATGCAAGGCAAGCGCTCTACCACTGAGCCATCTTCCCAGCCCTCTCCCAGTTTTTCTTGCGTAGTAATTTCCAGTGGCATGCATTGTGGCGGGTGGCGGGTGCTCTGCTGTGTGGTCTTGGAGAGCTGCTTTGTTCTGGTGCTGGCGACCATGTCTGCAAGGTCACAGGGTTGCCTCCAGTTTTCTATTTCAGTTCTGAGGGGAGGTCTAACCTCTGCTTTGCTCTGGGCCTTGTCTGTCTCTCTTGTAGGCGTGGCTCTGGGGTAATCCATGTATTTAGTGACATTTCTCTCCTCCAGCTTCAGGCCTGTGTGAGATGCTGTCTCTTGGCCCCATTTTGAAGATCACTGTGTAGGCAGCACTGCGTGTTCAGCCAGACCCCTGGTGCAGGTTCTGGAGCTCTGGGGGCTCCTTTCTGGTCATTTCTGCTCTCACTAGCCCCTCTGCTTCCCCGGGCTAGCCCGGAAGGGCCTCACAGGAAGAGTAGCTCTGGTCTCCAGTACCTTAGCTGTGTTTGGA